ATGGTATCAGAGCAATAGAGGATCAAATGACTGCGTTGACGGGATCACCCAACTCTATATCTCAAGTAGTGATAACCTCTACAGTCCAAGCTTCATTAGCTGTTCCCACCGAATTGATCTTGCCGGTAAAATTTAGAAGAAAAAATAATCATGTTTCAAAAAATTCATTCTTATTCTGAATGGTATGATTTGATGAAATATATTGAAGATCCCACAGTGGTTTTTGTTGCTGATATTCACAATAATATATAAGCAAATCCAGAATATAAAATCTGGTGGCACCATGATCAGCAGGTACTAGGTTTTATTCTTTCCTCTCTTTTTGAATATGTACTCTCTAATATTGGACAGAAGGATACCACAAAAGAAATGTGAGATGTAATAGAAACAGCATATTCGTCGAAAGAAAAATCAAGAATTATGGATCTCCAAAGAAGACTCCACAATGCTAATAAGGGACACACGACTACTGATGACTAAATCACGATGTTTAAAAATGCAGCAGAAGAACTATCATGTGCAAGACATCCAGTTGACGATACATCAACAATTTTTGCATTTCAAAGAGGACTCGGGACCTCTTACATTCCATTCATAGTGAGTATCAAAGTAAATCTAAATCACTTGACATTTGAAGATAAAATAGCTGAATTAAAGGCTCACGATGTAATTTATGCATTTCATCAAATTCAAAATACCAACAGTCTAGCTCTTACAATCAACAATGTTCAGCTTTCTTCATCCCAAAATCAAAATAAACGGAATTAGCAATGAAAAAATAGAGGATCAGGCAAAATAGAGGAAGAAGGGGTCGAGGAAAAAGGAATTAGTAACCTTGGTGTCAAATATGCTCACAATTTGGACATTGAGGTAAGGAGTGCAAAGAAAATATTCTAATTATTTTTTCACATTTAGCCAAAGCAATCTTACACCTCAATAGAATCAAGGCAACTCAGTGACTCAATTTACTCAATTTCCTCACGCTACATCACAAGCATTTATGATGAACATTGGTAATATTTCTAAACCCTTTGCCTCAACTGCTTGGTTTCCATGCACCCTGTTACTCTTGATCAACATGTGATAAATATGCCATCAAACTATCAAGGAATGGGTCATTTCAAAATAAGTAATGGCTAAGGTTTGAAAAATCAATTTCTTGGCAATACCTTTTTAAAATATTTCTCATTTCTACTAAAATTAAAAGATATGTTGCATGTACTAGAGATCACTAGAAATTTATTTTAGTGAAAAAGCTAATGACCAATAACAATGTTTTTGTTGAATTTCATGTTGATTATTATCTTGTGAAGGATGATAAAACACAACATCCTCCTCAAGGGAAAAATCGAAGATGGCCTTTATCTTTTGAAACCACACATCAATGGAAATACTGCTTTTCTTAGAGAAAGAACTAATTTCTAAGAAGCTCAACCATTTTTCAGTTTAGAACTCTTCGTAAAATAATTGAGAAACATGCTTTACCAACTACTCAATTACCAAAACATTATTGGTTTGATGCTTGTTATATCTCAAAATCTTGTGAACTTCCATTTTTTAGTTCAAATAAAATCTCAACAAAACCTTTATAACTAATTCACTCAGATTTATGGGGACCCTCACTAGTTTTGTCTCATTTTAAATTTTCTTAAGATGTTATTTTTATAGATGATTTTAGTAAATATTTTATACTTGTCTATATCCTCTAAAACTTAAGAGTGTTTTAATAGATTTTTAGAATTTTAAAATAGAGTAGAAAGATAATTTTCTACAAAAATTATTTCATTTCAATCTGAATGGGGAGGTGAATTTCAGGCCTTGCATCATCATCTTAAAAATCAAGACATAATACATAGAGTTTTATGCCCTCATACTCAACAAAATGGCACAGTTGAAAGAAAACATAGGTGATTAAATAAAATCAAGGGTTGTTGTGAAGTGACGTGACTCAGTCGTTGTATATTAAATCACACAAATATAAAATTTATAAAACTAGAAAATACGAATTTTCGGATATTTAGAAGTATTTCAAAATAAATATATCAATTATAATTCAATAAAATTTCCAAAAATAGCGGTAATTTTCCAGGTCGATCACAGGGATGTAATATAATATCTGGTAATTATTCAGAATTTTTCTCAATGAGTACGATTTTCTTACAAATTTTATACTAGGAAATAAAAAGGAAATATATTTAAAATTCACGAAAAAAAAGGAAATAAGGGTGCGGACGTCAGGATGACGTCAGCGCCCGGCGAACGCGAATCAGGCGGAAACACAGTTCCGCCCAGCGATTCTTACGTAGGCGATTACAGACGACTCAATTAATCAAATTAAGATCTGTAAAAGCCGGAAGAATCGTAGTTGAACGAAGTATAGTTTGGTAAATAAAAATCAACAAAGTATCACTAAATGAAGCGTAAATTAAATTGAAAGCAGGAAAACAGAGTTCCGGCGTCGCGACGGCGATGCGTCGGCGATGCACCGGAATCCTGAGCATTCGGGAGGATCGTCGTGCAGTGTCCACGGCCTCGAAGGCTCTCCTTGGACAAAGACGACGTGGGCAATCTCTAGATAAAGCAGGAAAACAGAGTTCCGGCGTCGCGACGGCGACGCGTCGGCGATGCACCGGAATCCTGAGCGTTCGGGAGGATCGTCGTGTAGTGTCCACGGCCTCGAAGGCTCTCCTTGGACAAAGACGACGTGGGAAATCTCTAGATAAAGCAGGAAAACAGAGTTCCGGCGTCGCGACGGCGACGCGTCGGCGATGCACCGGAATCCTGAGCGTTCGGGAGGATCGTCGTGCAGTGTCCACGGCCTCGAAGGCTCTCCTTGGACAAAGACGACGTGAGCAATCTCTAGATCTTCTCGCGAAGTCTAGAGACCAATGAAGTGGGTCGTCGAATCGTCTCCGGCGGCTGTCACCCGGCGGAGCGGAAAAACGGCGACTTTGCGGCTCTCCGGCGGCTGTCACCCGACGGAGAGGGGCTGGATGGAGGTGAGGCGCGTGTTAGGGAGCTTCATCCTCAGGTCCGCGCAGCAAGAGGAGGCTCTTCATCGCATCTGGTACGCTCTCAGGAGGTGGCGACTGGTCTCCCGGCGGATCGTCCTCTTCCCGACGACGGCTTGTTCGTCGATCAATCGGAGATGATTTACTCGATGGATTGCGATCCTTTTATCGCGAATCGTTCAGAAATTTTAGTAGCAATGCTCCGCGAATCGCGTTGACGAGATTTTCGCCGATGATCCAGCGATTCCGGTTGCTTAATCCTTCACCGGCGATCTGCAGGAAAGTCGCGATAATCAGTTAAAAATATATGAATTTTGACTCTGGGAGGATTCGAACCCGCGGCGGTCGCCCGCCCCTGAACAAGGTGTGACGCGGGTTTAGTCCCACATCGGTTGTGCGCGGATTATTCGGGCGATTATATAGTAAAGTTAGCTTTCTAGGCAAAGTCCTCTCGCGTGTACGACCACTCCTTGCCCCACAGCCGGCTGACCACCGGTGACGTGGAAGGGGAGTGGCGCACACGTGCCCCTATCGATCCAAGCAAGCCGCTCGAGCCCCTGCTCGCGGCTACTCCCCGACTGCGCTTCCGACCCGCTTGCGGGCCCGGCTGGCCGGCGGATCCCCCATTTTGCAATATTTTTATTTTTATTTCTTGTTCTTCATTTATCTCAAAACTAAGACTGTAAAAATCGTATAAAATCACATAATTACCCAAAAATTCACGTTAATCAACTGAAAACCACTTTTCATGCTTTAACACAAATATAAGTCTATTTATCATGAGTTAAGGCTAAAACTATATTATTTACTAATTATTAACTCATGATAATGAAGACTTATCATGAAGCCCCAAAATAAATTGATCAAAAATATTTAGAATCACAAATTTACCAAATTAAATTACTAAAAAGGTAAGTACTGTAGTAAGTTCATGGTTGATCCATAGGAAATAAGAATTAGGCACTAAGTAGTTACTATTCTATTTAATTTATAGATTTAGATGAGATGAACTCAAAGAAGAAGATGCGATGGCAAACAAGGACATTTACTATCAGAAAAAGGGAAAAAAATAATTTGACGATACGAAAAGTGATTAAGAGAATAAAACACTCACAAAAGACTCGTAATATGAAGTTAACAACATACCTCTATCTATTCAAACCTATGAATGTTAGATTCTTGTTCATGCTAGGAACATATCAAACTTGAAGAAACTTATCTCGAGCCTCTATATTTCACCAAGCTAGGTGGTTTCTTGAGTATGCTTCTTTGACAATCTTAGCTGAAAACCAAAGTTTGAATCAATTTAAAGCACATCAAGATTGATGTATGACGTGACTCAATCGTTGTATGTTAAATCACGCAAATATAAAATTTATAAAACTAGAAAATACGAATTTTCGGATATTTAGAAGTATTTCTAAATAAATATATCAATTATAATTAAATAAAAATTCCAAAAATAGCGATAATTTTCCAGGTCGATCACAGGGATGTAATATAATATCTGGTAATTATTCAGAATTTTTCTCAATGAGTACAATTTTATTACGAATTTTATACTAGGAAATAAAAAGGAAATATATTTAAAATTCACGAAAAAAGGAAATAAGGGTGCGGACGTCAGGATGATGTCAGTGCCCGGCGAACGCGAATTAGGTGGAAAGAGAGTTCCGCCTGGTGATTCTTACGTAGGCGATTACAGACGACTCAATTAATCAAATTAAGATCTGTAAAAGCTGGAAGAATCGTAATTGAACGAAGTATAGTTTGGTAAATTAAAATCAACAAAGTATCACTAAATGAAGCGTAAATTAAATTGAAAGCAGGAAAACAGAGTTCCGGCGTCGCGACGGCGATGCGTCGGCGATGCACCGGAATCCTGAGTGTTCGGGAGGATCGTTGTGCAGTGTCCACAGCCTTGAAGGCTCTCCTTGGACAAAGACGACGTGGGCAATCTCTAGATCTTCTCGCGAAGTCTAGAGATCAATGAAGTGGGTCGTCGAATCGTCTCTGGCGGCTATCACCTGGCGGAGCGGAAAAACGGCGACTTTGCGGCTCTCTGGCAGCTGTCACCCGACGGAGAGGAGCTGGATGGAGGTGGGGTGCATGTTAGGGAGCTTCATCCTCAGGTCCGCGCAGCAAGAGGAGGCTCTTCATCGCATCTGGTACGCTCTCAGGAGGTGGCGACTGGTCTCCCGGCGGATCGTCCTCTTCCCAACGATGGCTTGTTTGTCGATCAATCGGAGATGATTTACTCGATGGATTCGCAATCCTTTTATCGGGAATCGTTCAACAATTTTAGTAGCAATGCTCCGCGAATCGCGTTGATGAGATTTTCGCCGATGATCCAGCGAATCTCGTTGCTTAATCCTTCACCAGCGATCTGCAGGAAAGTCGCGATAATCAGATAAAAATATATGAATTTTGACTTTGGGAGGATTTGAACCCGCGCCGGTCGCCCGCCTCTTCTGGGTTTAGTCCCACATCGGTTGTACGCCAATTTTTAGGGCGAATATAGAGTAATGTTAGCTTTGTGAGCAAAGTCCCTTCTTGCGCGTGTAAGACCACTCCTTGCTCTACAGCTAGCTGGCCACCAGTGACGTGGAAGGGGAGTGGCGTACGCGTGCCCTGTTGGTCCCCAAGCCAAGTCGCTCGAGCCCCTACTTGTAGCTTACTCCCCGACTGCGTATCCGACCAGTTTGCGGGCCCGGCTGGCTGGCAGGTCCCCCCATTTTTGCAATATTTTTATTTTTATTTCTTGTTCTTCATTTATCTCAAAAGTAAGACTGTAAAAATCATATAAAATCACATAATTACCCAAAAATTCACGTTAATCAATTGAAAACCAAAAATCATTCTTTAACACAAATATAAGTCTATTTATCAGGAGTTAAGGATAAAACTATATTATTTACTAATTATTAACTCATGATAATGAAGACTTATCAATGTAGAACCTCAATGTAGTTTCACTCTAGCCGACTAAACATTGAGACATTCAAAGTTTAGTTTTCTACCCCTAAATGGCAGCTTAAATGTATAAGGATTTACACGAGGATATGAGAGTACACGTGTAGGGTTGATATCTGCCTTTTCGTGAGCTGGTTCATCTGAGATCATTTGATCTAAGGCTGTGATTAAGTGAGAGTAATTTTATCTTTTTGGTCACAATAAGATGAGGCGACGATCGATTTCCTCTTGGGTTGATTTGAAATGTTGGATTTGGAGGTCTTGTCATAGTTGTAAGATCTTTCTTAATGTTGAGATCCATTGCACCCTTGATAAGTATGTTCTATTTGTCATTAATTGTGACATTTTTGAAGGCTTCTAATTTCCTTGTGTTAGTGCTTCAACCTTTGATTCCGTCACCTCATCCCTATAAATCAAATCTCAATCATAGAAGCATATATTGACTTCCTAAAAATCATAAAAAGATTTCAAAAATTCTTAAAATTCTCTCATATTAATAAAAAATCATTTATGATTGTAAAACTTAGAGAAAAATTCTAAAAAGTTCTCTAAAATAGAAAAAAATATGAAATAATAAATGTTAACTCTTTTAATATGATAACATGCTAGATTATAAGATTTAATTTCTTAAATAAAAAAATTCTTACACTTTTTGTCTAATAATCAACATGTTATTAATAGCCACCTCATAGAAACATGTTTATCAATTCTTCATCAAGCTTCAATGCCAAAATAAATATTGGGATGAAGTTGTATGCACTACCACTTATTTAATTAATCAGATGCCAAGACTAATATTAATAAATAAATCCTCATATGAAGTTCTATTTATAATGTCTCCTAATTATAATATTTTAATTTTTTTTTGTTGTTTATGTTATTTATACTTACAACCCTACACTCAACATAAATTCACATCATGATCAGATCAATGTGCTCTACTTGGTTACAGTCCATTACACAATAGCTACTGATGTTTATCTATGAATTCAGGTAAATTGTTCATTTCAAGGCATGTTATTTTTAATGAACATATTTTTCCTTTCTCTTCTTTAAATATTGAAATTCTAATATATCTTCTGATAAAGGTATTCTTAGAAATTGTCCAATTTCTTATTCTTTTCCTACAACCTCCACAAGTCAATCAACTAGTCTCACAAAATTTGATTCTCTCACTTACAATTCTCCATTCTCTAAGTTAAATATTTCTTCCCCAATTATTGATCATCAAATAGTTGAAACACTAAATTCATTTTCATTTCATTCAAATACACTCACTCAAAGCCCACAATCCACTCCCCCAACCAAACATAGGTCTCTTAAAGACATATACACAAATTGCAATCTTGACCTAATTTTCCTTAAAACAGAACAAAAACCCCATGTTAATCTCACCACTCTTAGTACAAAATATCTACTATCGATATGCTTGAATAGTACCTTATTTGACACCATAGAACCAATGATTTTAACTCAGCGTCCAAAAACCCTCAATGGATACAAGCTATGACTACTAAATTTAATGCACTTATTAAAAATAATACATGGACTCTAGTACCTAGATCTCCCAACTTTTATGTCATAGGTTGTAAATGGGTGTTTAAACTAAAGCATAAGCCAGATGGAACTATTGATATACATAAAGGTAGGCTAGTAGCAAAGGGGTCTAGCCAACAAGAAGGCTTTGATTTTTCTGAAACTTTTAATCTAGTTGTGAAAATTACATCAATTCATATTTTAGTATCTCTTACTATCAATCTTAATTGGTCCATTCATCAACTTGATGTTTTAAATGCATTTTTTCATGGAGACATCTCAGAACTTATTTACATGAAACAACTGATGTGACTTAGTCATTGTATATTAAATCACGCAAATATAAAATTTATAAAACTAGAAAATATGAATTTTTGGATATTTAGAAGTATTTCTAAATAAATATATCAATTATAATTTTAATAAAAAATTCAAAAGTAGTGATAATTTTCCAAGTCGATCATAGGAATGTAAATAATATATGGTAATTATTTAGAATTTTTCTCAATGAATATGATTATATATATATATTATACTAGGAAATAAAAAGGAAATATATTTAAAATTCATAAAAAAGGGAAATAAGGGTGCGGACGTCAAGATGACGTCAGCGCTCGACGAGCGCAAATCGAGTAGAAACAGAGTTCTACCCGGCGATTCTTACGTTTACAGACGATTTAATTGATCAAATTAAGATCTGTAAAAGTCGAAAGAATCGTAACAGAACAAAGTATATTTTGGTAAATTAAAAACATAAAAATTATCACTAAATGAAGTATAAAGTAAATTGAAAGTAGAAAAACAGAGTTCCAGCGTCGCGACGGCAATGCGTTGGCGATACACTGGAATCCTGAGTATTCGAGAGGATCGTTGTGTAGTGTTCACAGGCTCAAAGGCTCTCCTTAGACAAAGACGATGTGGGCAATCTCTAGATTTTCTCGCGAATCCTCTCTGGCAGCTGTCACTTGGCGGAGCAGAAAAACGATGACTTTGTGGCTCTCAAGCAGCTGTCACTCGATAGAGAGGAGTTGGATGGAGGTAGTGCGCGTGTCAGGGAGCTTCATCCTCAGGTCCACGCAGCAAGAGGAGGCTCTTCATCGCATCTGGTACGCTCTCAGGAGGTGGCGACTCGTCTCTCAGCAGATCATCCTCTTCTCGGCGACGACTTATTCGTCGATCAATCAGAGATGATTTACTTGATGGATTTGCAATCTATCACAAATCATTCAGCAATTTTAGTAGCAATGCTTTGCGAATCGCATTGATGAGATTTTCACCGATGATCCAGTGATTCTCGTTGCTTAATCCTTCATCGGCGATCTGCAGGAAAGTCGCGATAATTAGATAAAAATATATAAATTTTGACTCTAGGAGGATTCAAACTCATGCCAGTCGCCTGCTTGTGAGGAAGGTGTGACCTAGGTTTAGTCCCACATTAGTTGTGCGTCGATTTTTTGGGCGAATATATAGTAATGTTAGCTTTGTAAGCAAAGTCCTTTCTCTCACGTGTACGACCACTCCTTGCCCCACAGCTGGTTGGCCACCGGTGACGTGAAAGGGGAGTGGCGTACACGTGCCCCTATCAGTCCAAGCTAAGCCACTCGAGCCCTTGCTCGCAGCTACTCCCCGACTGCACTTCTGACTCACTTGCAGGCCCAGTTGGCCGGCGGGTTCCCCATTTTGCAATATTTTTATTTTTATTTCTTGTTCTTCATTTATTTTAAAAGTAAACTGTAAAAATCGTATAAAATCACATAATGACCCAAAAAATTACGTTAATCAATTGAAAACCACAAATCATTTTTTAACAAAAATATAAGTCTATTTATCATGAGTTAAGGCTAAAATTATATTATTTACTAATTATTAAATCATGATAATGAAGACTTATCACACCCACCCCCCAACTTAAATCATTGCTAGTCTTTTAGTCATGGAATTATGAAAATAAAATTTTACAAATCTCAAACATCATATTTCAATACAGAAAAGAAATATATAATTAGAAATGATATACCTTTAAACACTTTGAATTCTTATATCAAGTATTTAAGAATGATGACAAGCACTTAAATGTTTAAACACTCCTTGGAATAACAATCTAGACTTCACTTCTTCTATTCACATCTTTATCACTTCTTCACTCATAGATGTATTTACAAGATGTTTCAATTATCAATACTCATCCAAGAATAATATTGATCTTACATTTCCCTTTTTCTATGACTTGATTTTTGAAGTTTGCACTATATTTCTTCCTTCTTTTTTTATATATATATAGTTGATAAGTAGCTTTTCCTGTAGACAAATTTCGACAATAAGAATGATGTCTCACAACTTCCATGTGTACTCTTCATTTTCAAGGCTTTCACTTTATCCACTTATTTTTCAGCAAGTGTTTTTCTATACACGATTTTCGACAATGAGAATGATGTCTCACACCCTCCATTGTGTACTCTTCATTTCTAGATTTTTCACATTGCTCTCTCTTTTTTTTTTCAAAATAAGTTGTTTCTCCTCACAAGTCCTATAGATCAAGGTGCAAAAATCTCTATTAAACTCAAATGATCAATCAAATTTTCACATCAAGTAAATACTATCCATCAAGATCATGAAGTGAAAATCTATAAAATCAAATCCATGTTATCTATCATGTATCCAAGGAGTATTTCAACATTTCATGCTACTAAATTATTCTTTTGACTCAATAATAATCTTCCTATTATCTTTTGGTATCAATCAATCTAATTGATTTAATTTTTCATGCATGCAATATGATGTAAAGAATTTGTAAATTAGATAGTTCTGACAGTTCTGTTTTCTGTTTTCAGTTTTATTTTTAGCAGCAATAAATTTGTCAAAAATAAATCAAAACTATCCTCTTTATAGCTGTAATTTTGAATTTCAGTAATATATATCTAGGGGATTGAAATGTGAGAAAAGGGTCTTCTAGAATTTCAAATTTTGGACTGTATTTTGTCCGCTGTTTTTGATAGTCTATTGTTTCTGATAGAAAACCAGAAAATAGATGTTGTAGTTTTTCTGAATTTTATGTTATTTTTTTATTTTTTATTTTAGTTGCTGTTCTAAGTTGAATAAAATGCAAACACATGTTCTTAATTGTCCTACAGCATAAATTAATAATGAATACTTCACCCCCCAACTTAAAAATGACATTGTCCTCAATGACATAGAAAAATCGAAATAGAATATACAGAAAATATAATTTTCAAGTGAAGCATGCATATCTGCAAAGTTAAGCATTAAAAATATTTTCATAAATGATGAAACTTAGAAAGACATCACCTCAACCTCGTTTTTAATTTTCCACTTCATCTTATACTCCTCCTCTTGCACTTTTTCAAAAAAAAACAAATACAAAAACAAGTACTGTGAAATTCTAAGGAAAACAAAATTTTAAAAAAATCAAACAGAATAAAATAAAAACCATGGGTTGCCTTCCATGCAGTGCTGAATTTAATGTCTTCAGCTAGACTCCTTGGTCTTACTCTTGAATTTCTTTTAATAATAAAATTTCTTTTTCTGCAAGGCGTTCATGTTCTATGTAATGTTTAAGCTATTATCCATTTACCTTAAAGTTATGATCACTTTTAGGATCTTTAATCATTACAGCCCCATGATCATATGTCTCTTCCACCACATAAGGCCCTTCCTATTTTGATTTTAATTTTCGTGAGAATAATTTCAACCTAGAATCATATAACCACACTTTTTCTCCAACATCAATTTTTTTTCTACTAATGTATTTATCATGAAAAGTTTTAGTTTTTTCTTTATATATTTTATGATTTTCATAAGCTTCATTCCTCAACTCCTCTAGTTCATGTAGCTGAAAAATTCTATGCCCACCAGCTGATTTTTCATCCATACATAAATTTTTTATAGCCCATAATGCTTTATGCTCTATTTCCACAGGAAGATGACATGGCTTTCCAAAAATGAGATGAAATGGGGACATACCTATGGGATTTTTATAAGCTGTTCTATAAGCCCATAGTGCATCTTGTAATTTCGTGGGTCAATCTTTCCTATCTGGTCTAACTATTTTTCTCAAAATTCTCTGAATTTCTCTATTTGCTACTTCAACTTGCCCATTTGTTTGGGGATGATATGAAGTGGCTACTCTATGGTGTACTCCATTCTTTTTCAACAGTTCTTTGAAATGTTTATTTGTAAAATGTGTTCCTCTATCACTAATAATCACTTTAGGACATCCAAATCTTGAAAAAATATTTTCGTGCACAAATTTCATCATGATTTTATGATCATTAGTTCTAGTAGGAATAGCTTCCACCCACTTCGACACATAATCAACAGCAAGCAAAATATATTCATATTTTTCAGCTGATGAGAGGGGACCCAAGAAATCTATTCCCCATACATCAAAAATTTCAACTACTAACATGTTACTCATGGACATTTCATCTTTTTTACTCATGTTACCTATAGATTGGCATGAAATACATGTTCTACTAAATTCTATAGAATCTCTAATGATTGTAGGCCAATAAAAACCATACTAAAAAAATTTTGCAGCTATTTTTCGTCCAGAGAAATGTCCTCCACAGTTAGATGAATGACACATGTTAATAATGCTATGATATTCTTCTTCAGGAACACATCTCCTTAAAATTTGATCATTGCCCAAGTAATATAAATTAGGATCATGTGAAAAATAATTTCTAATCTTAGAAAAAAAATGATTTTTTCTGTTCTTATCCCACTATTTTGGAGTTTTTCCAGAAACCAGAACATTAACAATATATGCATACCATAGTGATGGTTGATGTTGAGCTGCCATTAATTGTTCATCTGGAAATGTGTCTTGTAAAGGTGCTGCATTTATTCCTGTATCACTTAATCTAGAAAGATGGTTAGCAACAACATTCTCGAAACCTTTTTTATCTTGTATTTCTAAGTCAAATTCTTGCAACAATAAAATTCATCTTAATAAACGTGGTTTTACATCTTTCTTTTTTAATAGATATTTTAATGCTGCATGATCAGTATAAATAATAATTTTAGCTCCCAAAATATATGATTTAAACCTTTCTAATGAAAATACTACAGCTAACAACTCTTTTTCAATCGTGGTATAATTTAATTGAGCATCAGATATAGTTTTACTAGCATATGAAATTACTATAGGTTTTGACTCTTTTGTTTGTCCTAGAACGGCCCCCACTGCATAATTCGATGCATCACATATTATTTCAAAGGGAAGGGACTAATCAGGAGCTTGTAAAATGGGTGCCTCAATAAGTAATCTTTTTATTTTAGAAAAAGACTCAAAAAATTTCTCATCAAAATTAAAAGGCACATCTTTAGATAATTAATAACATGGTGAGAGGTTTAGAAATTTTCAAAAAATCCTAAATAAATTTTCTATAATAACCTACATGACCCAAGAAAGATCTAATCTATTTTACTGAATTTGGAGGTTTCATTTTAGATATAATATCAATTTTTGCTCTATCCACCTCTAAACCCCTTTCACTCACAATATGACCCAACACAACTCCCTCTTTAACCACAAAATATGATTTCTCCCAACTCAAAACTAATTTTTTCTCTATGCATTTCTCAAGTACATGTTGTAAATGATTTAAGCATTCATCAAATGATTCACCAAAAATAGAAAAATCGTCCATAAAAATTTCCATGCATTTTCCAATCATATCAGAAAAAATAGACAGCATACATCTTTGAAATGTGGTTGGAGCATTACACAGGCCAAAAGACATGCGTTTAAAAGCAAAAGTACCAAATGAAGAAGTGAAAGTTGTTTTTTCTTGATCTAAAGGGTTTATATAAATTTGATTATAACCAGAGTATCCATCCAAAAAATAAAAAAAGTTTTTTTCCAACTAATTTTTCTAGAATTTGATCAATAAATGGTAGAGGAAAATGATCTTTTCTAATAACTGAATTTAATTTTCTATAATCAATGCAAACTCTCCAACTAGTAGTTAGTCTTGTTTGTATTTCATCCCTATTTTCATTTTTTATAACCGTGATCTCTGATTTTTTTGGCACTACTTGTGTAGAACTAACCTATTTGCTATCTGAAATAGGATAAATAATATCAGCAGCCAGCTATTTTAAAATTTCTTTTTTTACAATTTTTATCATGTTAAGATTTAATCTTCATTGTGGTTCCCTACTAGTTCTAGCTCCTTCCTCTAGATATATACTATGCATGCATACACTCATATCAATGCCCCTTAGATCATCTATTGTCTAGCCCATAGCCTTCTTATTTTTTCGAAGTACATCTAATAATTCTTCTTCTTGTTCATCACTCAAATCAGCTGCAATAATAACAAGAAATTAATTATTTTCCTCCAAAAATATATATTTTAAACTAGAGGGAAGAGGTTTCAACTCTAAATTTAGATGATCTTCCTCTTTCTTTTCTTCTAAATTTATATTCTCTATTTCCTCTAATTCTTCCAGCACACAGACATCAATAACATCTAGATCATCAAAATCATCTAGAAGACCTATGGTATGACAATCATATAGTTGGGATTTCTTAAGATCATTTGATATCTTAAAAATTTTAATTTCAATTGATTGATCTCCACATGAAATTTTCAAAATACCTGTGGGAAAATCAATATTCATCTTTACTGTATGCAAAAATGGTCTCCCTAGGATGATTGGTGTATCATAAAACTATCCATTAAAATCTATTTCCATCACTACAAAATTAGTTGGAAATTTAGACCCTTTAACTGTTACTATCACATTTTCTAAAATACCTTTAGTATGTTTTATGGATCTATCAGTAAATTGTAAGGTAACAATAGAAGGTTTAAGATCAAAAATATTAAATTTATCACAAATGCATTCTGAAAAATAGATCCATCAATATCACACGAAATTAAAAGGGCACATGTATCTCTCAATTTATATGGTAACTGATTTAATAATAATGCACTAGAATGCATAGATAATTTTTCTATTCTATGTGCCCTTTTTGGTGTATACATTTCTTTCAAAACTCTAGCATATTCAGAAATATGTTCAATGGCAATGAGTAAAGGAAAACTAACTTGCACATCTTGTAAAATTTTCTTTATTTCTTTGTCTAGGCTCTAGAGCTTTAGGAAATAGAATGGTTGTCCTCTCTTTTGAAATTTCCTTGGTAGAATCTATAAAATCCTCTTCTACTCCTATTTGATTTTGTTTTGGGTTGTTCACATTTTCTTTTTCTTCTAATGTTTGGGGATAAGGATCAGATAAGATCTTACCACTCTTTAATGCACTCACTATCCTAACATTTTCATTTCGTGGGTTTTTTCTTAGATTCATGCTACTAGACTCCCTTTGCTGAAATCCTATTGTTGGGCGGTTCCTTGGATTTTCTATGGGCTGACTAGGTAGCTGTCCTTCTTCTCTCTTATTCCCAAGAGCCTCTATAATTTGTTTCTGGTGAAGCATCATTTGATTCATAGTTTGTTGCATCATTTGGCTCATTTGCTGCATCATTTCCAAAGCATTAGGTTGGATTTGAGATGACTGATTTTTCTAAAATCTATTTTCTTATTTTGGACGAAATTCAAAGTTTGAATTGGGTCTAAGTGCTTCTAGATTTTGAATATTATTTGGGTCTCTCTATGAAAAATTATTCCTCCAATTAGGATTATAAGAATTTGAAAAAGGCTCCCTATTTCTATTAAAATCGTGAGCTACTTGCACTTGTTCTTGCATAGGGTGAAATGATTGATCTAAAATATAACATTGAAATTCAGAATAATCATTTTCACTATACATAGGACATGTACTATTCGAATTAAGTTGAGGGTTAAAAGACTTTCTAATATTGTTAATAAGTAAATTAATTTTTTTTAATCTTTGATTAATCTGATTAACCTCATTTCTAAGTTTAGAATCATCATCATGATGTAATTTATAAATTCCTCTCTTCTTATCCCTGTCATATAATTCAAAAGAAGCTTGATCTCTAGAATTTTTACTTAAATTCTCATAAAGACTGTAAATCTCATCAGGAGTTTTCTCTATAAAAGCTCCTCCACATATAGAATCAATCATATTTCTATGTTGTTCTAATAATCCATCATAAAAAATTCTATTGAGTTGCCACTTGGGTATAGCATGATGAGGATACTTTCTAAGTAAATCTTTAAATTTTTTCCATGTCTCATGCAAAGTTTCTCCTGGTCTTTGAGAAAAACTCTATATATATTTTCTCATATTTTGAGTTTTTCTTAAGGGATAAAATTTTTGAAGAAAATCCTATTCTATATCTTTCCAGCTAGTTAATTCTCTATCTAATGTGGATAGTCAATTACTAGCTTTGTCCCAAAGTGTATGAGGGAATAATTTCATCTTAAAAATTTCCAGTGTAACTTGAGGGAGATTAACTAAATCACATATCATATGAAATTTTTACAAGAAAATATTAAATATTATGCAATACATCCCTGACAATGGCGCCAAAATTTCACGTGACTTAGTCGTTGTATATTAAATCACGTAAATATAAAATTTATAAAACTAGAAAATACAAATTGTTGGATATTTAGAAGTATTTCTAAATAAATATATCAATTATAATTCAATAAAAATTCCAAAAAATAGCGGTAATTTTCTAGGTCAATCATAGGAATGTAAATAATATCTGGTAATTATTCAGAATTTTTCTTAATGAATACGATTTTCTATGAATTTTATACTAAGAAATAAAAAGGAAATATATTTAAAATTCACGAAAAAGAGAAATAAGGGCATGGACGTCAAGATGACGTCAGCACCCAGCGAGTGCGAATCGAGCGGAAACAGAGTTCTGCCCGGCGATTCTTACGTAAGCGATTACAGATGATTTAATTAATCAAATTCAGATATGTAAAAGTCGGAAGAATCGTAATAGAACAAAGTATATTTTGGTAAATGACGTGACTCAGTCGTTGTACGTTAAATCACGCAAATATAAAATTTATAAAACTAGAAAATACGAATTTTCGGATATTTAGAAGTATTTCAAAATAAATATATCAATTATAATTCAATAAAAATTCCAAAAATAGCGGTAATTTTCCAGGTCGATCACAGGGATGTAATATAATATCTGGTAATTATTCAGAATTTTTCTCAATGAGTATGATTTTCTTACGAATTTTATACTAGGAAATAAAAAGGAAATATATTTAAAATTCACGGAAAAAAAGAAATAAGGGTGCGGACGTCAAGATGACGTCAGCGCCCGGCGAACGCCAATCAGGCGAAAGCAGAGTTCCGCCCGGCGATTCTTACGTAAGCGATTAGAGACGATTTAATTAATCAAATTAAGATCTGTAAAAGCCGGAAGAATCATAATTTAACGAAGTATAGTTTGGTAAATTAAAATCACACAAAGTATCACTAAATGAAGTGTAAATTAAATTGAAAGCAGGAAAACAGAGTTCCGGCGTCGCGACGGCGATGCGTCGGCGATGCACCGGAATCCTGAGCGTTCGGGAGGATCGTCGTGCAGTGTCCACAGCCTCGAAGGCTCTCCTTGGACAAAGACGACGTGGGCAATCTCTAGATCTTCTCACGAAGTCTAGAGACTAATGAAGTGGGTCGTCGAATCGTCTCTGGCGGCTGTCACCCGGCGGAGCGGAAAAATGGCGACTTTGCGGCTCTCCAGCGACTGTCACCTGACGGAGAGGAGCTGGATGGAGGTGGGGCGCGTGTTAGGGAGCTTAATCCTCAGGTCCGCGCAGCAAGAGGAGGCTCTTCATCGCATCTGGTACGCTCTCAGGAGGTGGCGACTAGTTTCCTGGCGGATCGTCCTCTTCCCGACGACGGCTTGTTCGTCGATTAATCGGAGATGATTTACTCAATGGATTCGCGATCCTTTTATCGCGAATCGTTCAGCAATTTTAGTAGCAATGCTCCGCGAATCGCGTTGACGAGATTTTCGCCGATGATCCAGCGATTCTCGTTGCTTAATCCTTCACCGGCGATCTGCAGGAAAGTTGCGATAATCAGATAAAAATATATGAATTTTGACTCTGGGAGGATTCGAACCCGTGCCGGTCGCCCCGCCTCTTCTGAGGAAGGTGTGGGTTTAGTCCCACATCAGTTGTACACCGAGTTTGTTAGCTTTGTGAGCAAAGTCTCTTCTCTCGCGTGTACGACCACTCCTTGCCCCACAGTCGGCTGGCCACCGGTGACGTGGAAGGGGAGTGGCGTACGCGTGCCTGTCAGTTCCCAAGCCAAGCCGCTCGAGCCCCTGCTCGCGGCTTACTCCCCGACTGTGCTTCCGACCCGCTTGCGGGCTTGGCTGGCCGGCGGGTACCCCCATTTTTGCAATATTTTATTTTTATTTCTAATTCTTCGTTTATCTCAAAAGTAAGACTGTAAAAATCGTATAAAATCACATAATTACCCAAAAATTCACGTTAATCAATTGAAAACCAAAAATCATTCTTTAACACAAATATAAGTCTATTTATCATGAGTTAAGGCTAAAACTATATTATTTACTAATTATTAACTCATGATAATGAAGACTTATCAGTAAATTAAAAAGACAAAAATTATCACTAAATGAAGCGTAAAGTAAATTAAAAGTAGGAAAATAGAGTTCCAACGTCCCGACGGCGATGCATCGACAATGTACCGAAATCCTAACTATTCGGGAGGATCGTTGTGTAGTGTCCACAGCCTCGAAGGCTCTCCTTGGACAAAGATGATGTAGGCAATCTCTAGATCTTCTCATGAATCGTCTCTGGCAGCTATCACCCGACGGAGTAGAAAAACAATGACTTTGCGGCTCTCCAACAGCTGTCACCCGACGGAGAGAAGTTGGATGGAGGTGAGGCGCGTGTCAGGGAGCTTCATCCTCAAGTCTGCACAGCAAGAGGAGGCTCTTCATCGCATCCGGTATGCTCTCAGGAGGTGGCGACTCATCTCTCGGTGGATTGTCCTCTTCCCGACAATGGCTTCTTCGTCGATCAATTGGAGATGATTTACTCAATGGATTCGTGATCCTTTTATTACTAATTGTTCAGCAATTTTAGTAGCAATGCTTTGCGAATCGCATTGACGAAATTTTCGCCGATGATCCAACAATTCTCGTTGCTTAATCTTTCACCAGTGATCTGCAAGAAAGTCACGATAATCAAATAAAAATATATGAATTTTGACTCTAAGAGGATTCGAACCCGCGCCGGTTGCCCGCCTGTGAGGAAGGTGTGATGCGGGTTTAGTCCCACATTAGTTGTGTGCCGATTTTTTGGGCAAATATATAGTAATGTTAGCTTTGTAAGCAAAGTCCCTTCTCTCGCGTGTATGACCACTCCTTGCCCCATAGCCAGCTGGCCACCAGTGACGTGGAAGGGGAGTGGCGTACACGTGCCCCTATCGGTCCAAGCAAAGCCGCTCGAGCCCCTACTTGCAGCTACTCCCCGACTGTGCTTCCGACCCACTTGCAGGCCTGGCTAGCCGACGGGTCCCCCATTTTGTAATATTTTTATTTTTATTTCTTGTTCTTCATTTATTTCAAAAGTAAGACCGTAAAAATCGTATAAAATCACATTATTACCAAAAAATTCACGTTAATCAACTGAAAACCACAAATCATTCTTTAATACAAATATAAGTCTATTTATCATGAGTTAAGGCTAAAACTATATTATTGACTAATTATTAACTCATGATAATGAAGACTTATCAACAACCATCCAGTCTTAATCATCCATCTTTTCCTAATCATGTATGTAAATTATAAAAATCACTTTATGGTCTTAAATAAGCCCCTCATGCATAGTTTCACAAACTAACATATCATCTTCAAACACTTGGTTTCATTGGTTCTAAAATAGATACATCTTTATATTATAAAAATGATTTTCTTAATCCAGTATTCAAATTACTAATTTACATAGATGACATGCTTATTCTTAGTCCTAAAAAAAATTGCATTGACACTATGATTAATTCTTTGCATGTGAATTTTGCTCTTCATGACTTAGGTCCAACCCACCATTTTCTTGGCATCAAATTTATTAAAAATAATTATGATTATATTTTATCTTATCAAAATACATCACCTCATAATTACATTGTGCTGGGATGGATCAATGTAAACCACTTTCAACGTCATACTCTACTTCCTTCTCTCCTATTATGAATTCTTCTTCTTTAGTTGATTTTACATTATATAGAAGCATAATAGGAGCACTACAATACTTAACCATCACGTGACCTGATATTTCCTTTGTTGTTAATAAAGCCTGTTAGAAGATGCATACACCAACATTTATTGATTGGATTAACCTCAAACATCTCCTTAGATATTTAAAAGGAAGCATTATGCATGGATTACAATTTTATAAAAATTCTGAAAAAGTAGTTTCAGCTTATAGTGATGTTGATTGGGCTGGCTCAAGAGAAGATCAAAGATCGACAAGAGGATATCTTATTTTCATAGGAAACAACCTGATCTACTCATCTAAGAAACAACCAACAATTGCTCGATCAAGTACAAAGGATGAATACAAAGCTTTGGCAAATACGACGGCAGAAATAACTTGGATTCACTGAAATCAATATTCAACTTTCATCTCCAACAACAATTCACTGCAACAACGTTGGAGTGACCTATCTAGCAACAAACCTGGTATTTCATTCACACATGAAACATGTGGAGATGATTTTCACTTTGTATGTGAGAAAGTAGTGTCTAAGCAATTACAAATCTCCTTCATTTCAAGCACTCATCAGTTACCAAATGCTTTGACAAAACCTTGACAAAGAAATGCTTTCTCTGGATCAGAAATAAGTTTTGCATCGTTCCAATCCTTAGCTTGCAGGGAGATGTTAAGGAAATTCAAGATGACGGTACTACAGTAAAACAAAGTAACTGCCAACTGACTGTTCGGCCGATTGGAAGAGAGAATGACTGCTCGTCAACTCACTTAAAACAGGAAACCACCGATCCAACAGTTATTAAAGATTGGTGGACCAATGCTCACTAATCCAATGGTTCTAACTTAGAACCTTATAAATAGAACACTGTAAACACAAAATAGTTTAATGCAATTCATTTTTCGATTCCTCTCTTCCACTATTTCTTTCTCTCTCTCTCTCTCCCTTTCTCTTCCTCTCTCCTGTTCTTGAATTCTTCACAGTGCAAAATCAAGGAGTTCATGGCTCAATGTCCAGTCTGTCAACAGAACAAGAACGACTCCTTATCTCTGGTGGGGTTACTCCAACCCCTGCCGATTACAGTACGGATTTGGGCGGACATCACCCTCAAGTTCATTGAAGGACTGCCCCGCTCTAACAACTTCAATGCCATATTAGTCGTCGTAGATAGACTAAGTATGCACACTTCATTCCTCTAAAACACCCGTTCAATGCCACATTAGTCGTCGTGGTCTCAAAGAAATCATCCGGTTGCATGGATTCCCCGAGTCTATCATTTCTGACAAGGATCAAATATTCATGAGTTTCTTTTGGAGGGAATTATTTAAGCTTTCTGGTACCTCTCTGCGGCGGACCAGCTCGTATCACTCACAGGTCGACGGATAGTTGGAGTTTTTCAACCGAAGCTTAGAAACTTACTTACGATGTTTTTTAAGAGATCGACCGCATCAATGGAGCACTTGACTAGCATGGCCCGAGCTCTAGTTCAATACCAAATTCAACATCTATACCGAGACATCTCCATTCAAAATCGTGTATGGACGCAACCTCCCGCCTTACTGCAGTACAAGTCAGGAGAGGCAGTCATGGCGGACCTCAACCAGCTCCTACAAGAGCAGGATGAGGCCCTGGAACAATTAAAGCAGCACCTAGCACAGGCACCGGCGCCGTGATATGGAATTTAACCCAGAAGACCTGGTTTACCTTCGGTTGCAACCCTACAGGTGGCAGTCACTCGCCATATAACCCTACAAAAAACTTGCCTCAAGATTTCTTTGTCCGTTTAAGTTCCTAGAGCGAATTGACGCTGTGACATATCGTCTAGAATTACCGCCGAAAAAAGCGGCCATCCTCCCTGTATTCCATGTGTCCTAGTTGAAGCCGGCCAAAGGAGCAGAACTCCGTGAGCCCATCAGTCCACTCCGCTTAAACGAGGAACTGTCATGGACGGTAGAACCCACAGAAGTTCTGGAAGGAGCTCCCTCCGTCACAGGACCTGAGGTCCTAATCAGTTGGAAAGAGCTCCATCCGTCAGAGGCAATGTGGAAGAAAACACGGAGCCTCCGACATCAGTTTCTTGAATTTGACCTTGACGACAAGGTTAATGCCTTTGGGGGGAGTATTGTCGTGGCTCTGATCATGGATTCTCCCCCTCCCGTGGACAGAGTTTGGGTCGGGCGCAAGGGAACAACGGGATCCGTCATTTAGAGATAGGCATCCTGACCGTCTATAAAGAAGCAGACCCCAGCACGAGAGAGGGGGAGAAGAAGATTGATTGAATATAGACTCCTGCGAGGAGAAAAGGAGAATAGCGATCTCCAATCAGCTACCCGGATGACTTTTGGAGTTCCTGTAGTTATTCCTCTTCATTTCCTATCATCCCAACTCTTCCCCGCTCCTTTCCCACTGATCTGTTGTCACTCCCTTTCCCCTACTGTAAAACTCTGTTCGCAGAGTTTATTTGATGTTAAAGGGACAGATTTTCTGTTAACCATCGCATCTGTTCCACTCCCAATGTTGGGTTTGCATCATGTCCACCCACCGAAGCAGCCACCAGTGGCAGCAAAAACCACCTGAAGATTTGTCAAGGATCCAAGGTAAAGATGAGGCTACATTGATCCAGTAATCTGGTGTTTCGAGTGTCTATGCCTGAAAAATGTGTGGAAAAAAGTTAGGCATGTGGTAGAGGCATGAAAGAAAGGTATTTCTCTTTTCATAGCGTCTTAAGCAGAAGCGTAAGGGTTAAATACTTTAGTCATTTGTAAAGTTGGGAGTTCAACATCAGTTATCATTACCTTCGTAATCATAAATAGATTAATTTCCTAATTTTGACCTTTTGGAGTTTTAATTTTGAAAGACTTGGAAGGAATCAATATATGAATGAATGAAGGCCGCTGAGACGGACAATTTCTCTTACATTCGTAGTCCATCAACTAGATTAATTTCCTAAGTTTGACCGTTTGGAGTTTTAGTTTTGAAAGACTTGGAAGGAATCAAGATATGAATAAATGAAGGCCGCTGAGACGTGAACAACCTCTCTCTCTCTCTTACTTGCTGCAAGCTTGAGAGCTCTAGAAGAATGCCAGGCATGACTAGGGCGCAGAAGCTCATTAGATGTCATAAATAGCACGCTTTCAACTTTCTACATGAGAAGGATACTATAAAATTCCCCGATCCCACTCCAAACAGCCCCTCTCTGCCTTACCCAAGAGCTGTCGAACTGCATGGAACAGGAAGCCACGGATGCACCCATATTTCAGGCAAGCTGCGCCATGATATCGTCCAGGGACTTGAGTGTCTTCTCATAGTAGACGTACGACTCGTAGACCTTGGGGGTACGGACGTACCGATCCAGCTGACCATAGGATGAAAGTTCGGAAGCTACGATTAATCGATGATCAACAAAGTACATTCAAATATATCAAGATCTGTATTATAGAGAATGACGATTTGATCCTAAATGTGCGTAAATAAATATGGAAATGTAAATTAGAAAAACTGAACGGAGAATTTTCCACCGAAACCAACGTCAGTAAATTTGGCAGTCAGACTGGAATGGGCGATCTTAGGTATTCATACCTCGGCCATGTTGTCGACCAGCTCGTTGGCCGCCGTGACGTAGGGCTTCCGGCGGCCCTCCGGCAGCGTGGCCATGGCATTCTTGAGATCGGAGGAGAGGTAGGCCATCTTGAACCGGATGTAGAAGAGGACGTACCTCCACGACATGGTATCTAGCATGTGCTTCATCTCTCTCAACCCCTCGGCGGTTTGCCGGATGCGCGCCACCGAGTCCTCCGGCGATATCTCCGGCTGGAAATACTTCTCCCTTACGTAGGACCGGGCGCCCCAACTCTCCGCAACCGCCAAGGGGGGTCTTTGGGCTACGGCCGGCAGCAGCGCGGATGCGGCGAAGCATGAGGAGGCGAGGACCCACCTGCGAGACGCCCCCGCTGGACCTTCGGTAGAGGAAGAGCATGTGGCTGTCTCGCTACGAGGATGGAACTGCCGGTGGGAGGGTTGCCTGGAATAGGCGTGGCACATAACCATGTGCTTCACGAAGCTGCCCATCTGGCCGAATTAGTTCCAACCGGCGTCGACGGTGGCGGCGGCGGCGGCGGCAGGTGGTTGTTCGGAAAGATGTGTTCTTTGTGTTGGGACCTTAGGCGGAGACCGTCTCACCACTGTGAGCAGCTAGTTTCTCGGCACGTGTCCCTACTTTATCCTCTCATAGAGAAAGGAGCAAATTAAGAGGAATTTCTTCATCAAGACACGTACCCCCAGTTATCCCTGAAGTGTCTTTTGGATGGCTCTCATATTCTTTTGTCATCCTACCTATGAAAATAATGACTGCGATTTTATTTACATTATTTCTTCTGAACCGACTGACTAAAAACTTGTCACACCTCAACCTTTGGTAATAATATCATAAATTGAATTATTAAAATAAATAATGTACCATTGTTAAAATTAATCAAAATTAAATTATAAGTGAAATTAAAATAAATTATTTTGGAATTTAAAACCCCTTAAATGTAGTTGGATTAAGTATGATACTACTCTCAACACAAGCTTGCCCATGCATATTTAAAATAGAAACATGAAACAATGTATTAATCAATAAGGGACAAAAGATCTAGGTCAAGATTTATCAACATTTGTAACCATTGGATATCATATTTAAACCCACTCTAAAGCAGCTTCATGAAGCACAACCTTCAAATTTATTGCCTTTGGAAAAATCTATTGAGATCAATGTTGTCAGAGTTGGACTTGTTTAACTAATGGCATAGTATATTGGTTTCCTAACATAGTGCAATATTTTATTTTTTTAGCATATATTTTAAAATGATTTATGTATTATATTATTTTTATCCATTACAAGGTTATTTATGTCCTTCATATATCATCTTCTTTTATCTTTCAAGAAATGAGTCAACTCACTTTGCAACATGTGTTTTACACTCATAGTTGCCAAGGTAATGATTTTGATGTTCCCAAACAAAGTTTCAAACTTGTTTAGAATGAAAATACATAAATTATATTGGAGAACACAACTGTTCAAATCAAGATCTAAATCTTTAGATTTAGTTTTGGATATTATAGAAGTATGTCATGCCTTATGTCAAAAGTTATGAAATCAAAATAGTAAAATACTTTACATAAGTAAAATAAAGTATGTTGATGGGTTGTGATAAAGCCTCAATATTATATGATAGGATATGCATATTTGACATGATTATAGTTTAAATGTCTTAATGAAAGTATACATTTGATGTAAACATGTTGTTTATGTGAATTTATATTGTTTGAATTACATACAAAAAGTATTAAATTTTATATATTTTATAACATGTATATTCTATTGAATCAAATAGTTTTTTAATATAATGCTAGGTGTTCTATAGATGGAAAAATTATATATACATGTAGGGAAATTAGAAGAAGGGTAGTTTAAATTTTAAATAGATTTTTTATAATTTTTAAGTGTTTAATGAGTTGAACAGTAGACCCATTACAGTCGGCCCATTATTTGGTCACATACCAGCCCATTCTAATGGGGGTATTTAAAGAGAGAGAGAGAGGAGAGAGAAAAGGGGGGAAGCACACATGATCAACATAAAGTAGGACTCATAGAGAGAAGATAGAGGGTGACGAGTAGAAGGATGAGAAATCACTATAGTGACAACCACAATGATGATGGCAGTGACAACATCGATGGTGGTGATGAGTCTTATTTTATGTGACATGTAGAAAAGAGGCTGAGCACAGTACTGGTGGCTCTCATCATGGACAACAATAGTGGTGACAATAGCAGCAATGCTGGAAACTCCCATTTTACATGACAAGCAAAGGAGAAGACGAGCATAGTGACGGTGACACTCATGATGGCAACACCAACAATAGTGGCAACAGCAGTAGTGGCAACGAACTCTAGTTTGGCGTGATAGGCAGAGGAGGAGACAAGCACAATGGTAGCGGCAACAATGATGACAATACACTCTCGACATCAACAACAGTAGTTATACTCTCAAGCTTCGAATTTAATGTTTTAGTTTCTGCAAGTGTTTAGTTCTATATTTCTTTTTCTTTACGAATGCTACAAATAGGGGATTCTATGAGACTTTCAACACTCATAGAATTTCAACACACTAATTGTGTATTTTTTGCAATTGTCAATACAATCTAGGGTTCCCTCCCATACACAAGTTTAGTGCTTTGCTCTGATTTTCCACAAATTTATAATATGTCTCATATCATTTTTTCTTTTGTTCCTCTGATTTTGAGTTTGTGAAAGAGCTAGACAAGTTTTTAGGTCTACTTTCTTCTTTCATTCCTTTTTGTGTTTTTAGTGGAGAATAGAATGGTACTAAGGGCAATCAAAAGATATTTGATGGACTTGTTGATCCTCATATCCTAGTGCCTTTTCCTAAGGCTTTACAACCAAAACTAAAAAAAAAGGGCAACTAAAATGAGGAACTAATAAAAAACTTTGGGAATGTTCAAGTGAGCATTCCCCTTACTAATGCCATTAGGCATGTCCCAACCTATGCTAAGTTCCTTGATGAACTTTGCACACCACATAGAAAAACTAGAAAGATCCAATTATTTGAAAATACAAGTGACATAATTCAAATGGATCTTACGAAAATGAAAGATCCTAGCATACCACTTATTACTTGTGAAATGGGAGGTATGTAATTTCAAAATACATTACTAGATTTAGAAGCAAGTGTGAATCTTTTATCAACTGCCCTGTATGAGCAGTTTCAATTAGGGAAATTAAAACCCACAGTAGTGATCTTACAATTAGTAGACAAATCAGCCAAAACACCTAGAGGATTAATAGAAGATGTGATTGTGAAAATTAAAAGATGTAGTTTTCCTATAGATTTTCTAATTTCAGATATCCCATCATCAAGTAAAATTTGTCATATGCCAATTATTTTAGGACACCCCTTTCTAGCAATGACCAAGGCAAATATCAATTGTGCAAATGGAGTAGTTGATTTTTCTATGAGAAGTAGAACAATATCAATTGATATATTTAAAATGTCCTGATTTTAGAAGTTGATGTAGAATGTAATATTTAGGTATTATTGATGAATGCATATGCCAAAATGAGCGAGATATTATTCAAATGATTGACACACCTAGCATATTAGTATCCTCAGCCACAGTAGACCCACAGCATGATGAAAATATAGAGCTTAAATCATTACAAAAATCTTTGAAATACATATATTTAGGAGAAAATGATACCTTACTTGTTATCAAAGCCTCTTATTTGACTAATAAATAGAAAAAATTGATTATTGAAGTATTGAAAGAATATAAAGAGGCAATAAGATGAACAATTACAAACCTAAAAGTTTTAGATCTAAATATTTGCATGTACCACATTTATGTAGAGAAAATTATAGGACTTAGTCGAGAGATGCGAAGATGATTGAACCCTAATAGAAAAGAAGTTGTGAAAAATGAAATAATTAAATGGTTAGATTCAGATATTATCTATGCTATTTCTAACAGCCAATGAGTTCATCCTACGTAGGTGGTGCCTAAAAAGCCATCTTACTATTGTACAAAATAAAAAAGGAGAGAAAGTGAAAACTAGATTGCCTACAACATGGAGAGTATGCATAGATTATTGAAAGCTAAATATAGTCACTAAAAAGGATAATTTTCCCCTTCCTTTTGTTGACCAAATTCTAGAAAAATTGGTAGGACAATAATATGTTTGTTTCTTAGATGGGTATTTAGGGTATACCTAGATTGCTACATAACCTAAGGATCAAGAGAAGACGACCTTCACCTGCCCTTTTAGGACATTCGCATTTAAATGAATGCCCTTTGGCTCGGGCAATGCCCTATCACTTTCCAATGGTGCATGATGGTTATTGATAAGTCTTCATTATCATGAGTTAATAATTAGTAAATAATATAGTTTTAGCCTTAACTCATGATAAATAGACTTATATTTATGTTAAAGTGTGAAAAGTGGTTTTTAATTGATTAACGTAAAATTTTGACTAATTATGTGATTTTCTATAAATTTATATCATTTTTATAGTTTTATTTTTTAAATAAATGAAGAAAAAGAAATTAAAATAAAAATATAGCAAAAGGGGGGGACTCGTTGGCCAGCCAAGCCCGCAAGTGGGTCAAAGGCATAGTTAGGGGAAGGTGTAGGTAGGGGCTCGAGGGGCTTGGACCAATGGGGGCACACATGCACCACTCCCCTTCCACATCACCAATGACCAGCCGACTGTGGGGCAAGGAGTGGTCACACAAGCGATGTGAGATTAAACCTACATCACACCTTCTCCCGAAAAGACTTCAATGGTAGGCAACCGGCATGGGTTTGAATCGTCCTAGATCCAAAACTCATATTTTTATTTGATTATCGCGACTTTCTTACAGATCACCAATAAAGGATTAAGCTGCTAGAATCACTAGATCATCGAAGAAAATCTCATCAACGAAATTTGTAAAGCATTGTTACTAAAACTATTAAATGATTCGTAATAAAAGAATTACAAATCCATTGAGTAAATGATCTTTGATTGATTGAAAAAAAAGTTGTCCTCAAGAAGAGGACGATTCGCTAAGAGACGAGTCGCCACCTCCTAAGAGCATACCGGATGTGATGAAGAGCCTCATCTTACTACGCAAACCTAAGGATGAAGCTCCTTGACACGCACCCTACTTCCATCCAACTCTTCTCTGTCGGGTAACAGCCACTAGAGAGCCACAAAGTCACCATTTTTCTAATCCGTCGAGTGACAACTGCTAGAGATAATTCGACAACTCATTTAATTAATCTCTACACTTTGTAAGGAGATCTAGAGATTGCCAACATCATTCTTGTCTAAGAAAAGCCTTTAAGGTTGTGGACATTGTACGATGATTCTCTTAATTGCTTAGGATTCAAGTGCATTGTTGACGCATCGCTGTCGCGATGTCGGAACTCTATTTTCTTACTTTCAACTTAATTTCTACTTCATTTAGTGATAAGTTATGTGATTTAAAATTTTCAAGCTATCATTCATTCAATTACGATTCTTCTGGCTTTTACAAATCTTAATTTGATTAATTAAATCATCTATAATCCCTTATATAAGAATCGTTGAGCGAAACTCTTTTTCTGCCTAATTCGCATTCATCGAACAATTCTCTTATCATATTAGAAAATATAACTGATGTGACTTAGTCATTGTATAGTAAATCACATAAATTTAAAATTTATAAAACTATAAAATACTAATTTTTAGATATTTAGATGTTTTTATAGATAATTATTCAGTATTCGGTCCATCTTTTGATCAATGTCTTACAAATTTACAAAAGGTGCTTTTGAAAAAAAACTAATATTAAGTTGGGAGAAGAGTCATTTTATGATTAAGGAGGGAGTAGTGTTGAGCCATATTTTCAGTGAGAGAAGATTAGAGGTAGATAAAGTAAAAGTAGATATCATAGCCAAATTACCCCCACCACTAACAATTCAGTAGATTAGATTTGCCTTTGGGAATGCAGGTTTCTACCACATGTTTGTACATAACTTTTTAAAAATTACAAAACCATTAACACAACTATTAGCTAAGAATCTGATTTTTAGATAGATGACCACTGTTTAGAAATATTTAATATATTGTAAATAGCATTGATCAATGATGTGCACTTGTTGTGGTGTTTAAATGCATACTACCTAATAAAATTTATAACTAAGACTTAATAAAATTTAGTATAAAAGTAAGTATCAAGTCGAACATAGAGAGATTAATTAATCTGTCATGAAAACTAATTTAGTTTATATATAAAGTGATTTTAATATTTTATGAATAGTTAATAGAAATAATAAAATAGAAGGGTGAGGTGAGAAGAATAAAGGAAGGGAAGTAGAGAAAAGGAAGGAAGAAGGGAGAGAAGTGCAAAAGGAAGAGAAAGAGAGAGGAAGAGAGAAAGCTCTCACAAGAGAGAGAAGGGATGAGATCTCTTGCGAAAGAGAGAGAAAGAGAAAGGAGGAGAGAAAACTCTCACAAGAGAGAGAAGGGATGAGATCTCTCACAAAAGAGAGAGAAAGAGAGAGAAAGAAAAGGGATGAGATCTCTTGTGAAAGGGAGAGAAAGAGAGGAGGAGAGAAATCTCACGTGAGATAGAGAGAGAGAGAAAAGTCTCATGAGAAAGAGAGAGGGAGATCAATCAAGAGAGAGAAAGAGAAGGAGATCGATCAAGAGAGAGGGAGAGAAAGGGAGAGATCTCACAAGAGATGGAGAGAGAAGAGAGGTCTCACGAGAGAAAGAAATAAAATGAAAATAAAGAAAGAAAGAAATACGATCAAGCCATTTTCTCGAATAATGTGTGTTTGAGGATTCAGACACATGATATGAGGTCAGTTGTGAATGTCTTCAGTTTGTTTTAATAGTTGGACTCTCATTAATCAATCTTTAATCTTGGTGATAATGTATTCAAAAATAGAATAATACCCGTTATTCGTGGACTGTCAGGAACATGAATATGTCAAGATTCAACTATGAAAATTAATAGAAAATAAGTTGAAAACAGTCTTAGCTTGATCATAGATGAGTTTTGGAAGATTCAAAATAGGAACGAAGATCATTCATCAAGTTTTGAATTAGTTCTACTCATTTCAATCGAAATGTATATGAAATGGAAAGAACTTGTCATAAAATATAAATAAATGACAAAAGTAGGTAAGTAAATGTTTAAAGTAGGAAATAAATAATTACCCAAATTTGGTCTCTCTCTTAGAAAACTAGAGATACTAGTGTGACGGCTTGATTTTGTCCAAACATGTCACACTACACTGGAAGTCATAGAAGTATCATTTGGAAGTGTTGTGCCACTTGTCGAAGAGATCCGCCAAAAGAGGAGTTAACTATGCTATCACCATCGTCTAGGGGGAGGAAGGAAGAGTTGACCACTTGCTAGAGGCCTTGAGTGTAGTTGGAGGAGAAAAACTTGTTGATTGCCAGAATCATTGATCATGCAAAATGAGGGATGAAACGGATTGCTGTATTCGCGACTACCATTAGGATTTTAAAGATAATTGATAATATCTATTTTATCAAATAATAATCAATTATTATCTTTATATCCCTAATGATGATACATGCAAGAACTTAAGTTCCCACTATCATGGTACGTCGGGAGCCACTAGATCAAATATGCTTGGTCATGTGGCACATTGAGCGATGCAAGATCAACTTGCCGCAAATTGCTACTAATTGAGAACTTAAGTTATAGTACCATGACGCCTCCTAGTCATCAGATCATCCTTTAAGGCTACATGCATGCTAAGTGGTGTCAGATTCGTGAACCGTCGATAGATTGCTTTATAAATCTAGTATCATGGTGATTTGCTAGCCGTAGGATCTAACTAATCTGATGACGTGACTTGCTAAATACCACTAGATCACACTACGCTCTAGATGGCTGCATTGAAATGGACGAAAATGATTAGGTCCCACATCGGAAATATTTTGGTGCATGAGCTGAATTTAAACTAAAGCTACACCCTTTCAGCACATATCTTTTCTCACAAAGTAAAATAATGCCTAGGACCATTTTGGAGATAGCAAAAAGCTGATCCACCCTCGTGCACACATGTGTATGGATACTTGACGTGACTCAGTCGTTGTATATTAAATCACACAAATCTAAAATTTATAAAACTAGAAAATATGAATTTTCGGATATTTAGAAGTATTTCTAAATAAATATATCAATTATAATTCAATAAAAAGTTCCAAAAATAGCAGTAATTTCCTAGGTCGATCACAGGAATGAAATATAATATTTTGTAATTATTCAGAGTTTTTCTCAATGAATACGATTTTCTATGAATTTTATACTAGGAAATGAAAAGGAAATATATTTAAAATTCACGAAAAAAAGAGGAAATAAGGGTGCGGACGACAGGATGACGTCAGCACCCGGCGAACGCGAATCGGGCGGAAACAGAGTTCCGCCCGGCGATTCTTACGTAAGCGATTACAGACGATTTAATTAATCAAATTAAGATCTGTAAAAGCCGGAAGAATCATAATTTAACGAAGTATAGTTTGGTAAATTAAAATCACACAAAGTATCACTAAATGAAGCGTAAATTAAATTGAAAGTAGGAAAACAGAGTTCCGGCGTCGCGACGGCGATGCGTCGGCGATGCACAGGAATCCTGAGCGTTCGGGAGGATCGTCGTGCAGTGTCCACGGCCTCGAAGGCTCTCCTTGGACAAAGACAACGTGGGCAATCTCTAGATCTTCTCGCGAAGTCTAGAGATCAATGAAGTGGGTCGTCGAATCGTCTCCGGCGGCTGTCACCCGGCGGAGCGGAAAAACGGCGACTTTGCGGCTCTCCGGCGGCTGTCACCCGACGGAGAGGAGCTGGATGGAGGTGGGGCGCGTGTCAGGGAGCTTCATCCTCAGGTCCGCGCAGCAAGAGGAGGCTCTTCATCGCATCTGGTACGCTCTCAGGAGGTGGCGACTGGTCTCCCGGCGGATCGTCCTCTTCCCGACGACGGCTTGTTCGTCGATCAATCGGAGATGATTTACTCGATGGATTGCGATCCTTTTATCGCGAATCGTTCAGAAATTTTAGTAGCAATGCTCCGCGAATCGCGTTGACGAGATTTTCGCCGATGATCCAGCGATTCCGGTTGCTTAATCCTTCACCGGCGATCTGCAGGAAAGTCGCGATAATCAGTTAAAAATATATGAATTTTGACTCTGGGAGGATTCGAACCCGCGGCGGTCGCCCGCCCTTGAACAAGGTGTGACGCGAGTTTAGTCCCACATCGGTTGTGCGCGGATTATTCGGGCGAATATATAGTAAAGTTAGCTTTGTAGGCAAAGTCCTCTCGCGTGTACGACCACTCCTTGCCCCACAGTCAGCTGACCACCGGTGACGTGGAAGGGGAGTGGCGCATACATGCCCCTATCGATCCAAGCAAGTCGCTCGAGCCCCTACTCGCGGCTACTTCCTGACTGCGCTTCCGACCCGGCGAGTCCTCCCATTTTGCAATATTTTTATTTTTATTTCTAGTTCTTCATTTATCTCAAAACTAAGACTGTAAAAATCGTATAAAATCACATAACTACCCAAAAATTCACGTTAATTAACTGAAAACCACTTTTCATACTTTAACACAAATATAAGTCTATTTATCATGAGTTAAGACTAAAACTATATTATTTACTAATTATTAACTCATGATAATGAAGACTTATCAATACTTCTTCTCAACAATTGATTGGCCACTACGACATGGAAGGGGATTTGACATGACTTAGTCGTTGTATAGTAAATCACACAAATTTAAAATTTATAAAACTAGAAAATATGAATTTTTAGATATTTAGAAGTATTTCTGAACAAATATATCAATTATAATTCAATAAAACTTTCAAAAATAATAGTAATTTTCCAAGTCGATCATAGGGATGTAATATAATATCTGGTAATTATTCAGAATTTTCTACAAAGAATATTATTTTCTATGAGTTTTATACTAGAAAATAAAAAGAAAATATATTTAAAATTCACAGAAAAAGGAAATAAGGGTGCGGATGTTAGGATGATGTTAGCATCTCGGTGAACGTGAATTGGGCAAAAATAGAGTTCTACTTGGCAATTCTTACATAAGCGATTACATACGATTTAATTGATCAAATTAAGATCTATAAGAGCTAGAAGAATCGTAATAGAATGAAGTATATCTTGGTAAATTTAAAATCAACAAATTATCACTAAATGAAATAGAAGTTAAGTTGAAGCAAGAAAACAGAGTTTCAGTGTCACGGCGGCAATGCATCGGTGATGCACCAAAATCCTGAGTGTTTGGGAACATCATCATGTAGTATCCACGACCTCAAAAGCTCTCCTTAGACAAAGACGATGTGGGCAATCTCTAGATCTCCTAGCGAAGTCTAGAGATCAATGAAATGGGTCATCAAATCATCTCCGGCGGCTGTCACCTAGTGGAGCGAAAAAACGGCAACTTTACAGCTCTTCAGCAGCTATCACCTGATGAAGAGGAACAAGATGTGGGTGGGGCACATGTTAGGGAGCTTCATCCTTAAGTCTACGTAGTAAGAGGAGACTCTTCATTGCATTTGGTATGCTCTCAGGAGGTGGCGACTCATCTCTTGACAGATCGTCCCCTTTCTGACGACAGTTTGTTCTTCGATCAATCAGAGATGCTTTACTTAATAGATTCACAATCCTTTTATCGCGAATTGTTTAGTAATTTTAGTAACAATGCTCTACAAATCGCATTGATGAGATTATCGTCAATGATCTAGAAATTCTAATTACTTAATCCTTTAATGGCAATCTATAGGAAAGTTGCGATAATCAGATAAAAAATATATGAATTTTGGTTCTAGGAGGATTCGAACCCATGCCGGTTGCCTGCCCTTTCTGAGGAAGGTGTGATGCAAGTTTAGTCCCACATCGGTTGTGCGCTGATTTTTCGGGTGAATATATACTAATGTTACATTTCTAAGCAAGTCCCTTCTCTCGCGTGTACGACCACTCCTTGCCCCACAACCAGCTGGCCACTAGTGATGTGGAAGGGGAGTAGCGCACACGTGCCTCTATCGGTCCAAGCTGCTTGAGCCCCTGCTCTCCGCTACTTTCCAACTATGCTTCCAACCCGCTCGCGGGCTTGACTGGTCAGCAAGTCCGCCCATTTTGTAATATTTTATTTTTATTTCTTTTTTTTTATTTATCTCTAAAGTAAGACTGTAAAAATCATATAAATTCGTATAAAATAATATAATTACCCAAAAAATCACATTAATCAATTAAAAATAACTTTTCACACTTTAACACAAATATAAGTCTATTTATCATGAGTTAGGCTAAAACTATATTATTTACTAATTATTAACTCATGATACTGAAGACTTATCAAGAGTGACGCATGTGTGCATGGAGTGAGTCCTTTGCCACTTGAGCCCAACTTGTGGTTCCCTCAATCTAGGTCTATTGGCTCAATCATAGCACCCCTCCAAGTCAACTATCAAGTGTCGGCTTGCCAACAAGTGGAACATTTTTTTATATTTTATTATTTTATATTTATTCTGCATATTACCAAGGTAAAATCAAATAATAAAACTAATTAAAACACAAAAAATCTAGCTTTAACAATTATAGCCTCTATTCTATGTGCACTTGACTAGTCACTACTGTTTGAGATTATGTGTGATGACTCTAATTATGTTATTGGTGCAGTGTTAGGTTAACAAATTGACAAAAAACCTATAGTGATATACTATGCTAGTCATACCATATCTAGAGAACAATTTAACTATACAACCACAAAAAAAGAGCACTTGAGAAATCGTTTTTGCCCTTGAGAAATTTTGATCATATTTTCTAGGAGCCAAAATTATTATTTATTCAGACCATTCAGCATTGAATTATTTACTCACCATATGAGAAACCAAACCTAGGCTAATTCATTGGATCCTTCTACTATAGGAATTTGATATTGAAATTTGAGATAAAAAAAGGTTTAAAAATATAGTAGTAGATCATTTATCATGATTAAACAATACTGATAACACCCCACTACATAATTTCTTCCCTAATGAATAGCTAGTTACAATAGCACAAACAAGCCCACCATGGTATTCACATATTGTTAACTATCTACTCACAAGACAACTCCTCATTGACTTGTCAAAATCTATCAAAGATTTCTTATTTTTTGAATTAAAATATTACTCTTTAGATGATTCAAAATTATTTTATTTAGGACCTAAACTGATTTTTAGATGATGTGTACCTAAAGAAGAATATAAAAGTATATTAGATTTCTATCATACTTTAGCATATGGTAGCCCCTTTTAAGTCATAGAACTGCAGCCAAGGTTTTGAAAAGTGGGTTTCATTAGCCCACTTTATTAAAAAACTCATTTGAATATTGCAAAACCTACAGTAAGTGTCAAGCATCCGTTAGCATCTCCAAGCGAGATGTTATGCCTTTAAATCTGAGTTTAGTAGTAGAACTCTTCAACATATGGGCGGCATTGACTATATGGGACCTTTCCCCCAATCTTTTGGATATGAATAAATTCTCTTAGCTGTTGATTATGTGTCTAAGTGAGTGGAAGCAATACCCACTCAAACTAATGACCAAAAAGTAGTCATTGGATTTATTCAAGTCATATTTTTTCTTGATTTGATTGCCCACAAGCCATCATCATTGATGGATGGAAACATTTTACAACTAATCAATTTTCTTCTCTCTTGATGAAATATAGGGTGAAGCACAAAATGACCACCTCATATCATCATCAATCCAGTCAGTAGCCGAAGGTATCTAATAAGTCTTCATTATCATGAGTTAATAATTAGTAAATAGTATAGTTTTAGCCTTAACTCATGATAAATAGACTTATATTTGTGTTAAAGTGTGTAAAGTTATTTTCAGTTGATTAACGTGAATTTTTAGGTAATTATGTGATTTTATATGAATTTATATGATTTTTATAGTCTTACTTTTGAGATAAATAAAGAAAAATAAATTAAAATAAAAATAAGATAAAATGAGAGGGACCCACTGGCCAGCTAGGCTGCAAGCAGGTTAGAAGCGTAGTTAGGGAGTAGCTGCGAGTAGGGGCACGAGTGGCTTGGACCAATAGGGGCATGTGTGTGTCGCTCTCCTTTCACCTCACCGGTGGTCAGCTAGCTGTGGGGGCAAGGAGTGGTCGTACATGCGCGAGAAAGGGACTTGCTTAGAAATATAACATTACTATATAGTCGCTCGAAAATTCAGTGCACAAGTGATGTAGGACCAAACCCGCGTCACCTTCCCCAAAAGGGGTGGGCAACTGGTGCGGGTTCAAATCCTCCTAGAGCCAAAATTCATATTTTTTATATGATTATCATGACTTTCTTGCAGATCTCTGGTGAAGGATTAAGCAACCAAAATTGTTGGATCATCAGTGAAAATCTTGTCAGTGCAATTCACAAAACATTATTACTAAAATTGTTGAATGATTTGTGATAAAAAGATTGTGAATCCATTGAGTAAAGCATCTCTGATTAATTGACGAACAAGCCGTCGTCGAGAAGAGGACGATCCACTAGGAGATGAGTCCCCACCTCTTGAGAGCATACCGGATGCGATGAAGAGCCTCCTCTTGCTACACGGACTTGAGGATGAAGCTCCCTGACATGCGCCCCACCTCCATCCAACTCCTCTCCATCGGGTGACAGCCGTCTAAGAGCCGCAAAGTCGCCGTTTTTCTGCTCTGTTGGGTGACAACCGTCAAAGATGATTCAACAATCCATTTCATTGATCTCTAGACTTTGCAAAGAGATCTAGAGATTATCCACATCATCTTTGTCCAAGGAGAGCCTTCGAGGCTGTGGACACTACACGACAATCTTCTCGAATGCTCAAGATTCTGGTGCATCACTACCGTGAAGTCGGAACTCTGTTTTCTTACTCTAACCTTAATTTCTATTTCATTTAGTGATAATTTGTTTATTTTAAATTTACCAAGATATACTTCATTCTATTATGATTCTTCTAACTTTTAGAGATCTTAATTTGATCAATTAAATTATTTGTAATCACTTACATAAGAATTGTCAGGTGGAACTCTATTTTCACTTGATTCACATTTGCTAGGTGTTGACATCATCGTGACATCCACACTCTTTTTTTTTCTGTGAATTTTAAATATATTTTCTTTTTATTTCTTAGTATACAATTTATAGAAAATAGTATTCTTTGTAAAAAATTCTGAATAATTACCATATATTATATTACATCCCTTGATTGACTTAGAAACTTATCGCTATTTTTGGAAGTTTTATTGAATTATAATTGATATATTTGTTCAGAAATACTTTTAAATATTTAAAAAATTTTATTTTCTAATTTATAATTTTAGATTTTGATATACAATGACTAAGTCACGTCAATATCTATAGAGAAATTAAACATATCCTAGAAAAGATAGTACGACTAGATAAGAGAGACTGATGTGCACGCTTAAATGATACTCTTTGAGCATATAAGACTGCCTATAAGACAGCTCTAAATATGTCCCCATTTAGGTTAGTATTTGAGAAATCGTGTCATCTTCTAATTGAATTAGAACATAAGGCATATTGAGCTATCTAACAATTAAACTTTGATTTAGTTCAAGTAGATCAAAATAGGATATTACAATTAGAAGGGCTAGATGAACTCCGAAATGAGGCAAATGAAAATTCAAAGATTTATGAAGCCAAAACTAAGGCATTCATGATCAACACACATCATCAACAGTTCTCTTTGAATTAGAGAATTTAGCTTTACAACTCTAGGCTTTGCCTCTTTCTTGAAAAATTAAACTCTAGGTGGGATGGACCATATAATCAATATAGAAGAACATGGTTCATTGAACATCCTAAGTCAAGCCAAACTTTCAAGATTAATGCCCAAATACTTAGACCTTACTTTGAGCATGAACTTAAACCAAAAAGAGAATCTATTTCTCTACAGTGATTTTGACAAACAAAATCTGTCTAGCAGATGACATTAACTTTAGTGCTTACTGAGAGGCAACTCAGGTCATATTTGGTTTCTTTTGTTCTATTTTGTTCTTGTTTTGCATATTCCAGCAGCTAACCATTAGTTAATGCAGAACATCTTTTTAGCCAGAACTCAATTTCAACAAGTTTATGATTATTGCTGCGACAATCTACATATAATTGTCAATAGTAATCTCTCTTATATGCCTCCATACTTTTTTTTAGTATTAGCATATTTGATACCATTGAGGACAATGTTGTCCTAAGTTAGGGGGTGATAATTTCAAAATGTTGCATATATTTGATACCATTGATTTTAGAATGTTGCATTCATTTCAAAAATATTGCACACATGTTTGCAAACTCATAGAGAATTTTAGAATGCATATTTTTCATTTTGACTATATGATTGTGCCAAATTGAGGTAGTAGAAATGATTTTGAACCTAAACATGTTAAGATAGTTAGCTAGATTAGTACCAAGAAGAGAGATTGTTCATATCAAAATATTCTCAAGGTACATAGTAAGTTGCATGGAGTAGATCTTATAGAACTACATTTCAAGTCTTGACTTTCATGATCTTCTTGCTATGAGAGAATCTTGTTGAAAACTTAGTTTGACTAAAGTCATAGAAACTCAATCAATGAAATTGTGAGGAGAAGAATCTTAAACCTTAGTACATTCTTGATAGATCATCTTACACAGTAGAGTGAAAGGCCCAAATAAAACACAAATACAGAATTTTCCACTTGTCCTGTGGAGCCTATCCACATGCATGTTTAGGACAAGTTCAATAAGATACCAATTTGCTATAGGGGTTTCCTACTTGTCCCATGGAGGCTTTTCACATGCACGTTTTCGACATGTAAAGAACAAATTGGGAAAACCTATACTACAAGTGAAAAAAAATGAAAAATAAAAAATAGAAAAATAAAAATAGAAAAATAAAAATAGAAAAATAAAAAATAGAAAAATCACAAATTTCTATTAGAATGTTGGTGTAATAAATAAGAGGTGAGATAGAATCTTCAAATCATATGCTCAAAGATTGTAATTATATGATAGAAGTTACTCTAAGGATGTAGATGAGCTTTCAATCTTGTAACAGACAATGTTAGTTGTGGAAGGAATTTTAGTTTTGTAAGTGAAATGAAATGGAACCTATGCTGGTATCTCAATGAGTATTCAAATACAGAAATCTCAATTCAACTACAAAATCTAGCAAAGAAATTCACAGCATTGGAAGATCCATCATTTTGAACATCAATTTTTGCCATCATTAGATATTTATCAGTTGGCAACAGTCATGAAAACATGACATATGGTTAAGCTCAAAATTTATTCTAAAGATCATTACTAAGGGACTAGTAATGAGGTAAGTTGAGGGGTGTGATAAAGCCTCAATATTATATGATAGGATATGCATATTTGATATGACTATACTTTAAATGTCTTAATAAAAACATACATTCGATGTAAGCATGTTGTTTATGTGAAATTATATTGTTTACTAAATTACATATAAAAATATCAAATTTTATATATTTTATGATATGTATATTCTATTGAATCAAAAGATTTTTTTATGTAATACTAGATATTCTAATAGATGGAAAAATTATATTTACATGTAGGGAAATTAGAAGAAGGGTAGTTGACGTGATTCAGTCATTGTATAGTAAATCACGCAAATTTAAAATTTATAAAACTAGAAAATATGAATTTTTAGATATTTAGAAGTATTTCTGAATAAATATATCAAGTATAATTCAATAAAACTTTCAAAAATAGTAATAATTTTCCAAGTCAATCACAAAGATGTAATATAATATCTGGTAATTATTCAAAATTTTTCTCAAAGAATATAATTTTCTATGAATTTTATACTAAGAAATAAAAAGAAAATATATTTAAAATTCTCAAAAAAGAGAAATAAGGATGCAAACGTCAAGATGATGTCAGTGCTCGGCAAATGCTAATCGGATAGAAATAAAGTTCTGCCCAACGATTCTTATGTAAGTGATTATAGATGATTTAATTGATCAAATTAAGATCTATAAAAGTCATAAGAATTATAATGAAATAAAGTAGATCTTGGTAAATTTAAAATTAACAAATGATCACTAATGAAACGTAAAGTAAGTTGAAGGTAGGAAAATAGAGTTTTAGCATCGCGGCGACGATGCGTCGGTGATGCACGAAAATCTTGAGCATTCGGGAGGATCGTCGTGTAGTGTCCATGGCTTCGAAGACTCTCTTTAGACAAAGACAATGTGGGCAACCTTTAGATCTCCTTGTAAAATCTAGAGATCAATGAAATGGGTCGTCAAATTATCTCTGACAGCTGTCACCCGGCAGAGTGGAAAAATAGCGACTTTGTGGCTCTCCAATGGCTGTCACCCGATGGAGAGGAGCTGGATGGAGGTGGGGCGCGTGTCAAGGAGCTTTATCCTCAAGTCCATGTAGTAAGAGGAGGCTCTTCATTGCATCTAGTACACTCTCAGGAGGTGACGACTCGTCTCTTGACAAATCGTCCTCTTCCTGACGACAGCTTGTTCATTGATCAATCGAAGATGCTTTACTCAATGGATTCGTGATCCTTTTATCGCAAATTGTTTAGAAATTTTAGTAACAATGCTTTGTGAATCACGTTGATGAGATTTTCGTCGATGATCCAGTGATTCTGGTTGCTTAATCCTTCATCGGCGATCTGCAGAAAAGTCGTGATAATCAAATAAAAAAAATATGAGTTTTGGCTCTTGGAGGGTTTGAACCCACGCTAGTTGCCCTGCCTTTTCTAGGGAAGGTGACGTGGGTTTAGTCCCACATCGGTTGTGTGCCAAAGTTTCTGGTGAATATAAAGTAATATTACATTCCCGATCAAGTCCCTTTCTTGCACATGTACGACCACTCCTTACTCCATAGTTGGCTGGCCATCAATGACATGAAAGAGGAGTAGCACACACGTGGCCCCATCAATTCAAGCTGCTCGAGCCCTTACTCGCAGCTCCTACCTGACTGTGCTTCCGACCTACTTGCGAGCCCGACTAGTTGGTAGGTCCCCCCCATTTTGTTATTTTTATTTTAATTTCTTTTCTTTTATTTATCTTAAAAGTAAGACTGTAAAAATCATATAAAATCATATAAAATTACATAATTACCCAAAAATTCACATTACTCAACTGAAGACTACTTTTCACACTTTAACACAAATATAAGTTTATTTATCAAGATTTAAGGCTAAAAATATATTATTTACTAATTATTAACTCATGATAATGTAGACTTATCAGTAGTTTAAATTTTAAATATGTTATTTATAATTTTTAAGTATTTAATGACTTGAACAACTGACCCATTACAACAAGCCCACTATCAGGTTACACATTAGTCTATTCTAATGGGGGGTATTTAAAGAGAGAGAGGAGAGAGAAAATGGGGAAAGCGTGCACGTCGACAGAAATTAGGGCTCATAGAGAGAAGATGGAGGAGGGCGACGAGCAAAAGGACCCAAAATCATAGTAATGACAACCACGATGATGACAACAACGGCAACATCAACAATGGCGGTGAGTCCCATTTTGTGTGAAATGTAGAAAAGGGCCTGAGCATGGCAATAGTGGTGCTCATGACAACAATAGTAATAGTGCTGACGACAATGATAGTGGCAGTAAAAACTCCTATTTTGTGTGACAAGTGACATGACTCAGTCGTTGTATAATAAATCACGCAAATATAGAATTTATAAAACTAGAAAATATGAATTTTTAGATATTTAGAAGTATTTCTAAATAAATATATCAATTATAATTCAATAAAAATTTCAAAAATAGCGGTAATTTTCCAGGTCGATCACAACGATGTAATATAATATCTGGTAATTATTCAGAATTTTTCTCAATGAATACAATTTTCTTACAAATTTTATACTAGGAAATAAAAAGGAAATATATTTAAAATTCACGAAAAAAAGGAAATAAGGGTGCGGGCATCAAGATGACGTCAGCGCCCGGCGAACAGCGGAAATAGAGTTCCGCCTGGTGATTCTTACGTAAGCGATTACAGGTGACTTAATTAATCAAATTAAGATCTGTAAAAGTCGGAAGAATCGTAATTGAACGAAGTATAGTTTGGTAAATTAAAATCACACAAAGTATCACTAAATGAAGCGTAAATTAAATTGAAAGCAGGAAAACAGAGTTCCGGCGTCGCGACGGTGATGCGTCGGCGATGCATCGGAATCCTGAGCGTTCGGGAGGATCGTCGTGCAGTGTCCACGGCCTCGAACGCTCTCCTTGGACAAAGACGACGTGAGCAATCTCCAGATCTTCTCGCGAAGTCTAGAGATCAATGAAGTGGGTCGTCAAATCGTCTCCGGCAGCTGTCACCCGGCGGAGCGGAAAAACGGCGACTTTGCGGCTCTCCGGCGGCTGTCACTCGACGAAGAGGAGTTGGATGGAGGTGGGGCGCGTGTCAGGGAGCTTCATCCTCAGGTCCGTGCAGCAAGAGGAGGCTCTTCATCGCATCTGGTACGCTCTTAGGAGGTGCCGACTTGTCTCCTGGTGGATCGTCCTCTTCCCAACGACGGCTTGTTCGTCGATCAATCGGAGATGATTTACTCGATGGATTCGCGATCTTTTTATCGCGAATCGTTCAACAATTTTAGTAGCAATGCTCCGCGAATTGCGTTGACAAGATTTTCGCCGATGATCCAGCGATTCTCGTTGCTTAATCCTTCACCGGCGATCTGCAGGAAAGTCACAATAATCAGATAAAAATATATGAATTTTGACTCTAGGAGGATTCGAACCTGCGCTGGTCGCCCGCCTCTTCTGAGGAAGGTGTGACGGGGTTTAGTCCAACATCGGTTGTACGCCGATTTTTCGGGCGAATATATAATAATGTTAGCTTCGTCAGCAAAGTCCCTTCTCTCGCGTGTGCGACCACTCCTTGCCCCACAGCCGGCTGGCCACCGGTGACGTGGAAGGGGAGTGGCATACGCGTGCCCGGTCATTCCCCAAGCCAAGCTGCTCGGAGCCCCTGCTTGCGGCTTTACTCCCCGACTGCGCTTCCGACCCACTTGCAGGCATGGCTGGCCGGCGAGTCCCCCCATTTTTGCAATATTTTTATTTTTATTTCTTGTTCTTCATTTATCTCAAAAGTAAGACTGTAAAAATCATATAAAATCACATAATTACCCAAAAATTCACGTTAATCAATTGAAAACCAAAAATCATTCTTTAACACAAATATAAGTCTATTTATCACGATTTAAGGCTAAAATTATATTATTTACTAATTATTAACTCATGATAATGAAGACTTATCAATAGGCAAAGGAGGAGATGAGCACAATAGTGGTGGCACTCATGATGGTGACAGTAATAGTGATGGTGACAAAAATAGTGATTGCAAACTCTTGGTTGGCATGATAAGTAGAGGAGGAGACAAGCACGGCAGTAGCAGCGACAATGACGACAATACGCTCTCAACAGCAACAACAATAGCTACACTCTCAGGCTGCACGTGGGGGCACCAAGAGGCAGTGTGTGGGACACCAAGAGGTGTCGCATGCAGCACCTATAGTTGGTGCATGGGGCACCGGTAAGAGATGGTGCCATCAAGTGTGTAGGCATAGTGACATGTCAAGCGGGTGTGCAAGACAATTCTGGGCAAGCATCAGATGGGCACGTAGGTGCGTGTGATAAGAGACACGACATGCGTGCAGGGTTACAAAGACTAGACACCAAGTAAGCATGCAACATTGCGCTACAAGAGATTGTGTCAAGAGAGGATAGGTGATGCCGAGATAGGAGAGGATAAGTGATGCTGAGATAAGAGAGGAGGTAGAGTGGTGATGGTAGAAAAACCCCAAGAATTGTGATATCATGTTGACAAGAGGAAGAGAAAACTCCATAATTCATATTTTGAAGAAGAGGAGTACATGAAGTTATATAGAAGAGAGAAAGAAAGAGAGAGAGAAAGGAAGAATAAGGACATGGAGAGAATAAGTCCAAAATAGACCTAGTGGGCTTAGTTGGCCTATTCTAAGAAAACTACAAGAGAATGTCAAGTTGAGGAGTAAAAATTGATTCAAGCATGATCATCCTCAACATGATTGAAGTTCTAAAGTATTTTATATCATATTACTTCTCCACATGAAGAGGACAAAGAAAATCACACCTAATTCATCACTCTCTTCACTAAACTTTATGAAGTAACTTAAGATTGATAATGACAAAAAACTCCCATGTTGATATTCTTCCTTATTTTCTATTGGAAAATATATGAATAAATATGAATTTAATCATTCATGCAAGTTGATCCCTATAATCAGTGGTAAACCTCACAAAGCCTTGAATTTAACAAGAATTTTGCAGTAAAATTCTTTGAGATCTAAGCCTTGTAATTAACAGATGTTAACCTAAATAGTTGATTTTGGTAGAATTAAAGAATAGAGTGTTCTTCAAGAGTGGGCGTAGGTAGGAGGTTGATCCACAAAAAAATTCCTACTGCCAAATATGTGATCCAATGGGATTTAGGACTGGAAGAAGGAAATTAACAATTTAACTAATTGAAATTCAAGTTAATATCAACTAACTAAAAGTCAAAGTTAATATCTAAGGAATTTAATCTCCTTTTTTATCTTAGTGCAACCTAAAATTTATCTAGAATTATGGATGTTCCATTAGAGGTCAAGTATGTTTCAAGTGAATATTTAGGAAAACTTTGATCCATCTCTACACCTTAATGTTTTCAATCTAAAGAGGCTTAGTCCCTTTACTCTTTGACTCATAATTCACTTTTATTGTGAATACATGACTTGTTCTTCCAATTCAAATTTATTTCTTCATGATTCTCATGACATAAATAATCTTTGTATGTACTCTATTTCATCCAAAATTATGATCCAAATATATTCATTGAAATTTCATCTAATGAAGAAGAGCATCCCTAAGAAACTACTTGATCTATGATAAGTCTTTATTATCATGAGTTAATAATTAGTAAATAATATAGTTTTAGCCTTAACTCAGGATAAATAGACTTATATTTCTGTTAAAGTGTGAAAAGTAGTTTTCAATTGATTAAAATGAATTTTTGGATAATTATATGATTTTATATAAATTTATATGATTTTTACAGTCTTACTTTTGAGATAAATGAAGAAAAAAAATTAAAAAAAAAACAAAATGGGGGGACTTGCCGGTCAGCCGAGCCTACAAGCAAGTCGGAAGCGCAATTGGGGAGTAGTCGTGAGTAAGGGCTCAAATGGCTTGGACTGATATGGGCACGTGTGCGCCACCCCCCTTCCACATCACTGGTGGCTAGCCGATTGTGGAGCAAGGAGTGGTCGTACATGCACGATAAAGGGACTTGATCAGAAATTTAATATTACTATATATTCACCAAACACTTCGTCGCACAAGTGATGTGGGACTAAACCCGTGTCACACCTTCCGTAGAAAGAGCAGGCAACCGGCGTAGGTTTGAATCCTCATAGAGCCAAAATTCATATTTTTTATATGATTATCGTGACTTTCCTAAAAATCATTGGTGAAGGATTAAGCAACCAGAATCACTAGATCATCGGAGAAAATCTCGTCAATGCGATTCACGAAGTATTGTTACTAAAATTATTGAACGATTTGTGATAAAAGGATTGTGAATCCATCAAGTAAAGCATCTCCAATTGATCAATGAACAAGCCGTTGTCAGGAAGAAGACAATCTACCAGGAGACGAGTCACCACCTCTTGAGAGTATACCAGATGTGATGAAGAGCCTTCTCTTACTATGTGGACCTGAGGATGAAGCTCTCTAACATGTGCCCCACCTCCATTCAGCTCCTCTCCATCGAGTGACAACTATCAGAGAGTTGCAAAGTCGTTGTTTTTCCACTCTGCTGAGTGACAGCCACTAGAGATGATTCGATGACCCATTTCATTGATATCTAGACTTTGTAAGGAGATCTAGAGATTGCCCATGTCGTCCTTGTCTAAGGAGAACCTTCGAGGCTGTGGACACTACATGACGATCTTCTTGAATGTTCAAGATTCTAGTACATCACTGACGCATCACCATTGCGAGGCCAAAATTTTAATTTTCAATTTTTAACTTAATTTTCATTTCATTTAGTGATAATTTATTGATTTTAAATTTATTAAGATATACTTCATTTCATTATGATTCTTCTCACTTTTATAGATCTTAATTTGATCAATTAAATCATCTATAATCACTTACATAAGAATCGTCGGGCATAACTTTGTTTTCGCTTGATTCGCATTCATCAAGCTTTGACGTCATCCTAATGTCTCCACCCTTATTTTCTTTTTTTATGAATTTAAATATACTTTCTTTTTATTTCTTAGTCTAAAATTCATATAAAATAGTATTATTTGAGAACAATTCTGAATAATTACCATATATTATATTACATCCATATGATTGACTTGGAAAATTACCACTATTTTTAGAAGTTTTATTGAAGTATAATTGATATATTTGTTCATAAATACTTCTAAATATCTAAAATTTCGTATTTTCTAGTTTTATAAATTTTAAATTTACGTGATTTACTATACAACAACTAGTCACATCAATCCATCTATAGAAGACATTCATTTCTGAAAATAATTACAAATAGTCTATCTATAGAAGACATTGATTTCACCTAATGTCTCACAAATATTTGACATTTCAGAATATTATCAAATCTTACAAATCATCAAATTTTAGAATGAACAAAGGTGGATGGTTACACCTCATAACTACTAGATGTTTAATTAATCCAAACTTAGTGAACAAATTGGTGTCATTTTCTACATCTTTAATGTCACTTATGTTACTCATTTTTGAGAAAATGTCTATCTTTTAACTAGTAATGTCATAGTGTTGGATTCAAGGCCACACTTAAGTTAAGAAGAGGTGGTTGAATTTACCAAGTTTTAATCTTGACTTTGATCAGCTCTAACCAACATCTAGATTATTCTTCTTAAAATGTTAAGTCTTATGATTTTTCTAGAGTTATCAATATATAACTTGGAAGTTTCTAAATTTGTTCAGCCCCTTTACTTTGTCTAATCTTTGAGAACAACTCTCTTCTTAGCTTTTAGTCATTCAAATATCCAAATCACAATCATAGATTATTGGATCAGTTCTCATAGAATTCCATCACAAATTCTCTTTTAGATTCACAACTCTATGAAGTCAATAGTTGATCAATAGGTTCAGCTCCCTTGAATGATTAAATTATTCTCTACTCATAATTTGATCTAGAAGATAATGTTGACTTGAGCTTCATCCAAAAATTTGACAAAAAGTTATTTGATGAAGTCTTGATTCTTGCATTCCTCTTCTTTGGATGTTGGTAGTAGATAGAAAGGAGTGTCACTTTAATCAAAGTGAGGAAGATTGTTGAATGCTTCAACTCAACTTTTTTGCACTTGCAATGTTTGACTAACATGAAGAACATCATGATTTTTCTTAGAAATTTCTATAGAAAAACTCAATGAAGCTCTTGTGGTCATGGAGAATTTAGAGGTGATTATTCTCATATAACTAGCAATTGAAAAGGTGATGTATTACATTGAAATTGAAAACCTTCCCTAATTTTTGTGATCTCCTAATGTATATTTTACAAAAAAGAGAAATTCTAATGACTAGAGGACTGATATAATATATCCATTAAAGGTTTGAATATATTTATGAAAGACCAGTATGTGATTTTATTAAAGTGTAACAACTATATTCAAAGTGTATTGGCTGGGTCAAGTCTTGTAAGAATTTACTATACTTAAAATAGAACCAATAATACTTATCTAGATAAAATGGTAATCTACCCATATTTCTTCAAATAACATATTATCATCAAGTAGCCGCATTGAATCATTATCTCAATAGTTCCGACCATAATTTTTCAAAACAAAATCATTATTATTTAGAAAGTATTATGTAGGAGAATAAAGGGTCGAAATTCAATCAATTTAAATCAATGTGAGTAAGCTTGATGCTTATTCTAAACCATTCGAAATTAGGGATATAAAATCATAGGTACAAAATAACGTCCATAAACTTTGTTGATCATTGATTTAGAAAATTCTTATTGATTTGAATGTTCAAATCGTTGCTTTTCTCATTGTAACAACTTTTGTATATATTGATAATTTTGATGGTAATAAATAAAATAATAATTCTACATGATGAAACAAGCCAAATAAATGGTTGAATACTATGGGAAATAAATACACTTAATATGTTCATATTTTGATATTTGATGTCATTATTTTTTATTATGTTCCAATTCTTATCTAAAAAAATTAACACGAATATAATGTCATAAATTAAGCCTATTGGAACTAAAGCATACTTTAATGGTATAATGCTTTTAATTGATCTTATAAGTATTTGTCATCATCAAAACTATATGAATTTAACCATTAAATATATATTAGAAGCTATGGAATACTAAATGATGGGATGCCATTTGATTCTCAAAATGTAGAGGAAGTTGATAAATTTTACCATGAAATTATCATAACCTGATCTAACATTCATATAATAAAATTAAGAATTATTTATTTCATATCTCTACAAATATCATTCTTGCCCAAATGATGAAACTTGCCTAACTACTACTGAGTATTTTCATACTTTCCATCTCATGACTGATTATTCAAGCTATTAGGCTTATTGAATTAATCATTGACTGAATGAAAGAAAATATTCTGAATACTAGGTCATGATGAAAAATACACATAGGAAAGATCATTGAATCAAATTATGCTATGCATACAATACTCATGGAATGTGCATAAATATTCCTCTAGACATGCAGAATAAATTAATTAAGTAGAAATTCATGAAGAATTAAGAGAATGATGTTAAATATTCAAATGGAAATTCAAGAAAATTATTTTAGTCTCATACTTTTTAATGTTTGAATTTCAATGAATTCACCAGTCAAAATTATTACCTTATTTATTACTATAAGAAGGTTTAATATTTATATAAATTTCCACTAGTGAAAGTCAAAATTAAGATCTGATGAATTCAATACTTCTTATTGATCTAAATATGACCTATAATCCAACATTAGTAATTAAGAAAGTTAGATGTCTCAATTGGAAAGACAAACTTTGTCATGCACTAAATTAGTTTTAGCCAACCTATAACCATTACTCTTCAAGATGTAATATTTCTGGAAATCTAGTTTGGTCAAGCTTAAGCCATCAATCTAAAGGAAAAATTAGCTAGATGGTGTATCTATCCCTTCAAGCCATTAATTTAGTTGGCTAGGGTTATCAAATCTAATGGAGACTGGTTCTAAACCTTTGTGTTCAGTTCATGTAATAATAGGTGTTATAAGAAACTAATAATGCATCCTTTTAGGTGTAGGGTTAGATAAACGTGTTGAACCACAATAGTTCTTATTCAAAATATTAGATAGCAGGTTGCAAACAAATTAATTTCCCCTACTCTTAGGTCCTCTAATAGCCTCCTTAAAATAAACATTGTATATTGATGACATTTATATATTCTATGTAGATGCACTATCTACCTTGCATTCATGAAATATATTAGTTAATTCACTAATAAATTGTTAAAAATAGTAGAAAAATAATTTTATTTTTGAAATTTTAGAGACATTTTTCTCACATTTCAACCACCTAGACAAGTATAGCTGAAATTTAAAATTACAGTTATAAGATGATAGTTTTCATTTATTTTTGACAAATTTTTAGTTGCTGAAAATAGAATTATCATAACTATCTAATTTAAAATTTTATTACATCATATTGCATGCACAAATAATTAAATCAATTAGAATGGTTGATATCAAAAGATATTAGGATGATTATTGATGAGTTAGAAGAATGATCAATGACATTAGATGTTTGAATACTCCTTGGATACATGATAGATAACATAGATTTTATTTGACATAATTTTCACTTTATGATCTCAATAGATAATAAGCACTTGATGTGAAAATTTAATTGACCATTTGGGTTTAATAGAAATTTTTACTCCTTGATCCATAAGACTTGCAAAATAAATTATTTATTCTGAATTGAAGAAAATTATGACAGCATGAAATTACTACCAACTATCTACCCAATAGGATCATGGAAATCAATAAGTTAGAAATCATAACAATCAATTATTTTTAATTCAGTCCCCCCCATGCTGGTATTCATTTAATTTTGTTGGTATTAAATTTATTTCGTGTGATAAACATATATGTGACCATTATGGTGAGTGTCTTTCATTTTTTTGTAAAAGTTTAATGGAATAAAGCTTACTTGTATTGAATATGATGAATAAATTCATTAAAAGTATAACTAAAATGACATTACCAAATCTATGGAATGTTATGTGCAAATTTATAGATCAAGTGGGAATACCTAGAGAGTTATCAATCTATGGAATGTTTTTCATATTTAGGTTGTTACTTAATAGTTGTATTTATTGCTGAGGTAGATGTTTGAGAGTAGACTTGTAGATGTCTCTTCATAGAAAATAATGAGATATTTAATGTTCATCAAGTAACTAATAATTTGCATTGTAAAAACTTATCAATGAAGGGAAAATTGATGATAGTTTAATTTCTTTGTGCTTCTTCTAAAGGAAGTTTCTTCAATCAATATAATTGAGTAGTATTCCTGAATTGACCAATTTCCTTTTTATTATTATGAGTCATTTTAATTCTTCAATAGAATTAATGAAAGATAAAGATCAGGGCCATTTCAACATCATACATGTTGTTCCTCTAATAGATTGGTCGAACTTTGAAAGGGAAAGAAGAGGGAAAATATAAGAGGAAAAGTGAACTTCAATCTAATGAATAGTAATCATTAAATCATTATGTTCTTGTGCTCCTAATTAACAATTTTGAACGCAGCCACCATTGACCAGTCCACATCAATATGAGACCAGTTTCACTTCTGTGTTAATTTAAAAATTATTGTGAAACATCATTGAATAGTTCACAACAGAGCCCCCGTGATAGTCATTCAACGATTCTTTGATTATAGACAAGGACTTTGTCAATTTCTTACGCATTGCTTCCTCTCGTGGTTTCCGGAAAAAATGCTTAGTAAGAGCCTTTCTACTCGCACAAAGCTATGAATTTTGCAAATTGAACAATTTCAATACTTGTAATTGACCAAAAAGGAGACGGAAAAGAAGAGACTGGTACAGCGGATGTGGATCTGAGTCATCCTTTTCTTCGTTCCCGATTTCCTATCGTGGGCCCTCCCTCTTTCCCCGTTGTTAAGGACCGACCAAGCCCTAAAATCGCCCGCTTCGTGTCCAAGGCGACTGTCCTGCCCCCTCCTGTCGCAACCTGGAGAAGAACATTTGCTCGGAGAGCCTCTTCTTTTTGTACTGTTGTCGTTGGCGGCGATGGGAAGCCTGCTGAATCTCGAGGAGCACTTCGCCTTCTACGGAGCGTACCACAGCGCCCCTGTCAATGTCCTCATCCACATCCTCCTGGTGTGGCCAATCTTCTTTACAATCCTCCTCCTCCTCTACTTCACACCCCCCTTCTTCCACTCCGCCGCCCCCTTCGGCTTACCCCTCGTCTTCAACGTGGGCTTCATTATCACCCTCGTTTACGCCATCTTCTATGTCTGCCTCGACCGCCGGGCCGGCTCCATCGGCGCGCTTCTCTGCGTCCTCTGCTGGGTCGGCAGCAGCGTCCTCGGCAGCTACCTCGGCGCCCAGCGCGGCTTGCGCGTATGTATTCTACCATACGCTCCTTTCTCGCCTTGCTCTTCCTCCTCCCACAAATCAGACTGGTGTCGATGGAGCCTTCCCCATTTTTTATGCTTTCACGGTTTCCTCCAAATGATCGAATTGGGATCTACGAATCGAAGGTCAAAGCTATGAAAACAGGACATTTTCAGGATTATTGGTTTCCTAAACGCGTATTGTCGGTCTCAGAGAACTGAATCTAAAGAACCCATGTCTCTTCGCCGATCGTACGCACTGAGGAACCGAGATTCCCTAAAAGCCGTCTCCCTCCCTCTTCATCCTCAACTCTAAACGCTGCGAGGCTGTTGTTCTTCCAGGTGGCTCTGGCATCCCAGCTCTTCTGTTGGACCGGACAATTCATCGGCCATGGAGTATTCGAGGTAAACTCTTCGAACTGCAACGGCGGGGATTATTATGGTAACGTTGGCGATGAAACACCCTTGGCAATTTCCGTTACAGGGCCGGGCGCCCGCTCTTCTCAGTAACCTCTCCCAGGCCTTCTTGATGGCCCCATTCTTCGTTCTCCTGGAGGTAAGACGAGGCCTCCACGTCCACACCTGATCGATCGCCGATCGCAGCACCACCAAGCTTCTCACGGATGCTTACGCACAGGTGCTCCGTGTATTCGGCTACGAGCCCTACCCTGGCTTCGACGCCGCCGTGCGGGCGAAGATAGAGACCGAGAGGGAGGCTTGGCAGGCCCGCGTGCAGAAGAAGAGCACTTGAGTGGGCCGAGACACGCTGCTGGTGTATGAATAACTCGCTAGAGGGCGAGCTTCCATCGGATCATCATCTCCAGTGGATTCTTCCTCGATCCCAGATTGATGTGGAATGTGAGACATTGTAGGATCACAGGGCGAAGATGAGGACTTCCGTGGAGAGAGGAATCGAGGGAGGCCGCAGCCTGGTTCCGCGACAGGGCGAGCTTCCGTTGGATCATCGTCTCCTTTGGATTCTTCCTCGAACCCAGATTAATGGGGAATGTGAGGCATTGTCGCTCACCGGGCGAAGAGGAGGCCTTCAGAGGAGAGAGAAATCGAGGAAGGCCTTGCCTGAACCAGGCTGCGGCCGGCCGCCTTGGGCACGCCACGCTCGTCCATGAGCATCCTCACCTTCTCCACCTCGCCCCACTCACCCACGGAGGCGTAGGTGTTGGACAGCAGGACATAGTCCCCACTGTCGGCGCCGCCGCTGACGCGTAGGAGCCGCGCGTTGGCGAACTCCGCCAGGCGTACGTCCCCGTGTGTCCGGCAGGCGCCGAGTAGCGCCCTCCACACAACGGGGTTGGGCTCGACTCCCATCTGCTCCGCGAAACGTAAAGCCTCCTGCAGGAGCCCAGCACGGCCGAGCATGTCCACCATGCACCCCAGGTGCTTGACATTGGGCTTGATGCCGTACTCCTCAGTCATGAGGGCATAGCACCACCGTCCCTCCTTTACAAGTCCGCGGTGGCTGCAGGCGGTCAGGACGCTGACAAAGGTCACCTCGTCGGGCCTAACCCGCCGCTGCCTCATATCCGCGAAGACCCGCATGGCCTCCCTAGCGTGGCCGTGGAGAGCGAGCCCTCCGATCACCGAGTTCCAGGTCGAGATGTCCCGTTCCGCCATGCCGCGGAAGACCTCGAGGGCCCGCTCAATGCTGCCGCACCTGGCGTACATGGCGATGAGGGCGTTGCCGAGGGTCACCGTGGGTCGGACGCGGCGCGACCTCACCATCGCCGCGAGGGACGCGTGCATCCGTGCGCCGGCGTCGAGCGCGCTGAGCTCCGCGCAGGCGGACAGCAGGCTCAGCATGGTGACTTCGTCCGGGCTCTCGCCGGCGCGAGTCATCTCCTCGAAGACCTCCAGCGCCTTCCCGGGTGATCCGCTCTCCAGGTAGCCGGCGATTACTGCGTTCCAGGAGACGACGTCTCTATGCGGCAATTGGTCGAACAACTCGCGCGCCTTGTTCATCTCTCCCCTCCTTGCGTACCCCGTAATCATTACGTTCCACGAGATCAGGTCCTTGCAAGGGGTCCCCTCGAAGAGTCGCCGGGCGGCCTCCAGGTCGCCCCTCCTCGCGTGGCCGGCGATCATCGCCGACCAGGCCACGACGTCCGCCCGGGCTGGCCCGTCGAAGAGCACATTGGCCGCCGCCATGTCGCCGCAGTTGGCGTGAAAGTTTATGAGCGCGTTCTTGACGAACCCATCAGACTCTAAGCCGTGTCTGGTGATCTTGGCGTGAAGCTGGTTGCCCAGTGAGGACGACGAGAGCCTGACGCAGGCCTTCAGGAGGAACGGGAATGTATACTTGTTGGGTTGGAGGGATCCGCTGGCGTCGCGCCTCTCCATTTCGAGGAAGAGGGAGACAGCGTCGGAGGGGCAGGGCCCGTGGGCGGCGCCCCGGATGAGGGTGTTCCAGACGAAGAGATCCGGCTGGGCAATTCTGTTGAACAGCTGGTGGGCATAGACGAGGGCACCCGGGATCAGCACTGCCGCGCAGTAGACGAGCTCGCGGACCGCTGCCGGGTCGGCCTCAAAACCGGTGACGACCATGCGGGCGTGGAACTGCCTCAGTGAGCGCACACTCCGGCAGCGCCGCCACAGCGCCGGTTGGTAGCGCTTATGGCCAGACTTGCGGATCATGTGTCCACACCAGAGGCGGCAGGAAAGCCGGGACTTTTCGAGACGTGAATGGGAGACGGATCTCCTTCCGCCATCGAACGGCGCTGCCCTCACAACCCCTACCCCGGTGCAAATTTTGCAGCCTGCGGACCGCGACTGGACGGCTGGGATATAGTGAGCGTCAATGGATGAAGCAATTCACATTGGCTCGCTGTTGCCCGTAGACTGTCGAGAACACAAGGATATTCACCAGACTTTCAGATCCCTCGCGGAAGACTTTCGACTTATTTCTCAAATATGTAGATATTCAAGTCACCTTTCTCAAATATGTCGAAATTTAAATCTCCTGTTTTGAAATAACATAGGTATTTCAAAAATAATTAAAGCGGCCATTATCCAATAATTTCAGCAACAACTCGATCAGTGGTGTCACGAAATCAGTTAAATTTTATCTGCCATTAGAAGTGCCCGACAGTAAGCTAGTACTAAAATATGATTGGTTATCAAAGTTTATGCAAGCTAACCCAGCTATCTGATTTTGATAGGTTCCCATGATCGAATGAATCTATGAGGCCTGATAAAAGATAAGCACGAATAAAGTAATATTCACTTATTCTACAAAAATGATTGAATTGTGGGATCCAAGCCACTTTATCCAAGCAATTACCAAATGGAAAACGAGATTAACCTAAGATTGGAGCACATTCATGCTTTGGAAATTCATGATGCCTAAATGTTGTCAGTGGAACATGAAGAAATTAGAATAGCCTCTTTGGGCATCACAAAAAGCATAGACTCTGAATTTTTGTTTCTATTGGATGATAATAATTCATGTGAAATTTTGACTCGTATCTTAATTATGAAGGTGATCATTGAAATTTAATGGAACGTTGTTTTAATAGTTTCTCTTCTCTACAGTGTTGTGATGTTAGCATACATGCTAAGAGACAGCATTTCCCATTGAAAATTCATAAAATGATCAATGTCTTCACGATTAGTTCATTCAAAATCAGTTCATGCATATATTTGATTTGCAATGAACATACTAAAAAATATTTGAATTTCCTTTATCAAATTCAATTTATGAGCTTACTAGGATGTACTTTGTTTTTTATTTAAAATTTGATGTAATCTAAAGACTTCAAGAGCATAGGACTCATGTTGAAAAACAGTTGGCTATTTCATAAATATATTCATTGATAATTCAGATATAGTGACAGCGAATAGTTTTGAAAATAATTTTACATTTATTTAAGAAAATGACATTTATTCATATTTATCAATTATTTAAACCTTGTATTATCCTTTATGCATGCTTGACATGCATGCCGTATGCCTCTACATGTGCACTGCACATCGCGGTGCCTTGTGTCATGGGCCTCCGTTTGTGCATTGCATGTGCCATCATGCATTGTGCTAGGTCACTACCATGTCACATCATGCAATCATTGTGCCATCTCATGTTAATGGCTTCAAGGTTAATGAGATGCTCCCTTGAACATCCTTTTGTGATGGCAAAATCAACTACTTTTGCCATGCACACACATACCATGTTTGGGCCAATGCATGCACCTACATGTAGATCATAGTACAAGGTTCACATGCACCTTTCATGAACCACAATACAACCTACAAGTGTCTTGTGTCTAACCGTACCTTATGCAAGCCTCTATTGGTTGTGCATGTTGCACCAATGGTACTCTTGTGGGCATGCATTGTTGTGTCAAAATGATGGTTGTGCATGGATCTCAATGCAGCCTCATGCACAAATTAGGGTTTCACTCCCAAAACATCATTCCTCCAATGAAGAGTGTCACATTGAGTCCTTGGGCCTTATTAGTGGTCAATCTCAAGTGCTTTATATATACACTTGAATGTTATTGCTTATTAAATCATATTACAAATCAAGATTCTACTTTAGTCCAAGCTTTGAGCATCTAAAAGTTTATTGAGTAAAAAGTTATTCATTCAACTATAAGACATTCAAAAATACTCATTCGTTAATCTTGCATGTTTACATGTAAAGATACTTAAGGTAGTATTAGTAATAAGAGAAAAAAAGTTGTTGCCTATGTCTAGTGTTGTGAAATAGACCCCTAAAATCTATCATGTAAATAAATTGACTGATTATTTATTTCAGCAGTTGTTTTCTTAGAGAGAATGGTGAAAACTATGGGTAGGAACCTTTAAAGAAGTGTCTCTTGCTGACTAGGAAATAGTGAGCCAACTTGAGTTTGTTGACTCAGTGTGTATCTAGGCTTATGTCACTGTACTTTAGTGCAGCATAAGAAAAAACATTAAAAACCTTGGAAAAGGGTAGAAACTTAAAAGAATTAATTCAACCCCTCCTACTCACACCCTATATAGCCTACCTTGAGTGCAATGGCTCTTAGTGGCTAGAGGACCATTGGTTGTTTGAGTGGTGGTAGGCATTAGGGAGAGACAAGGGGAGAGGCACATTGCCACTTGAAAGAGAGGCATTGATGCTTGGGACAAGGTGAGATATATGATGATACTCAAAGGGGAGGGAGGGAGGAGAACATTAGAGATCATGTACCCAAGTGGGAACATGCTAGGATGCACCTCAAGTACTTGATGGGGTTGAGAGATGGATTATAGAAGTGAGCAAGAATAGGACAACTTTTCAATGATGTCAATGAGTGGTAGAGGGATAGTGTGGATTCAAATCACAATATGATTTAGAGAGACATTTGAGCACCCATGACATTGTAAACTTGTGGAATGATTAGCAAAAGTTAGGAAGGATGAGTTAGCCTTTATTGTAAATCTTCACATAAATTAACCTTGATCAAATTATTTACTATTGATGGAGTGTGAAGAGGCGACTCCCTAATTTTGAGGTAGTTTAGAAGGACTTAAAAAACCAAGAGAAATGACAAGAATCGTCTCTAAATCTAGTAATCAGTGAGGACTTGAAACTAATTAACTTTTTATTTGTTTTATAAAAATATTGTTATGTTGATATTGTTATCAAATATGTAAAGGAACTGATTGATAATGCCTATGCCACATTGGATTTCTCTAAACATGTGTATACCTAATCTACACACACACATTCTCTCTCTCTTTCTTTCTCTCTCAATCTATGTACACGTGAGTAATTACACTAGGGTTAGTTGGGTCTAAAAATTGCTAATCTAGGAATCTCGAGATATCATGAGCTTATGGCATTTACTCTTGACTATTCTTCTTCGCCCTTAGTCTATAACTCTAGTAGTCTTCTAGGATTTAGAGCCATGTCTCATGGCACATGGCCGCATTATTAGTCTCATCCATTTATCAGGTTAAATGTTGTGACAAGCACGAAGCATCTTAGTTATTGGGGGTGTAAAATCGAATTTTTAATGTTGCAAATGAAGTTAATAGTTTAAAAGTCGAGTATGCTCACGTTACTTAAGCTTACTTGAATTTGAAGAGTGATTTATTTTTTCCCATTCAAGACCACTTTTCTTTTCCCGCCCGGCGAGAGCGAGCGAGAGAGAGAGAGAGAGAGAGAGTCAGTGGCGCGCGGGAGGGACGACAGTGAAGGCGCCTCCCTTCCCATCCTCGAGAGCCTTTATCACCTCTCTCCCCACGGCACTCTTCTTTTTCTCTTCTCCATTTCAATAGTCGATCTGATCCACCAAGTCTGTTTTCCTCCACCTCTCGCAGCAGTCTAATTGGTGGGCTTCGCTTCTCAAGGGCGTGTCATCTGTTTTCTCCTTCTCTATTGTTCTCATCTTTGTCGTTACGCGCTCCAGTTGATCGTCTATTTTTTTTTTAAATTAGAGCATCATATTTTCTTGTTTTTAATATCTCAGCCGAATTTTAGTTCTCAACTAAAACTGATTTTATTCAGGGTTCGGATCGTTTTTCTGGCCTTCACCTTTCCTTTCCTTGCTTTATTCATTCTTTGGTCGTTTTAAGCTTCTATCGGTGTAAGCTCTGAGAAGCAGATTGTTCATATTGAAACCAAACCACGGTTTGGATGATTATTGTTTGCCTGTCTCTCTTTGCCTTTTCTCACTCTACTCAAGCATTTTCAATGTTTATTAGAGTCTTACATTGTTTTCTTAATATATGACTTTACTCCTAAAGTAAAATTATAATTTATGAAGATCTTCCCGGCTTATTGTCATTAGCTTTAAGTTGGACGTCGTTTTTCTAGCTTAGTAAAATAATGGTAATTTTTTTGATCTTTTTCCTCGCCCATATAACATAATCAACAATAAGTTGATTTGCATGTGAGGTGACATGTTTAATGAAGTTTCATGGAAATAGAAAGTATGTGTTTCCTATAGCGCACATAATGTCAATTAGTTTTGAGTAATATGAGACAAACTTTTTAGCAGTATTATTGCTTTCATTTATTAGAGAAAATGTGAAAAATCTATGTGAGTTCCTTTGGTTGACCTATTTAAGTGCTGTAAATTTCCCTCCCCCTCTCTCCCCCACAGCTTATATGTGTGTTTCTTTTTTATTCATCTTTATTAGTTCTGTGAACTTTTTCTTCTTTTATTTATAGACAAGAATTCCTTATGATTGTTGGTTCTTTCCTCTAGATGGTAGAAGCTGCTGTTCAGTTTTCTCCCACAAAACCGCCTGGGCAGTGGGGAGGGGAAGCTAAGGAGCAGAATCCGGCTTCTATTGCTACCATGATGAGTACATCTTCATGTGTTGAAAAGATATTTAATACAGCCTCTGGAGGGAGGAGGTCCAGCCCTAGATTTGTAAATAAAAGCCTCGAACTTGTTGAAAGGAAGTTGACAACTAGTATAATAAAAAGAAATGAAAGGAAAAGACAAAGACTAGATGATGAAAAGGAAGAATCTGAAGTGTCTATTGTTCCTGCAAAAAATGTGGCGAATGGAATTGAAGCAAGCAAGGGCAGTCCTGCTCAAATTGCACCTGGGACGAATGCTCATTATTTGGTGGTGAAAACATTGAGAACTTTTAACAGACACTATCTTCACTTTGTTCAGGTGTGTATCCACATGAATATACTAGCTCTTTGTTTGAGAAACTTGGAGGTCGTCATTAATTTATTGGCGATTCTTGTCTCTTGATTGCTTCCATATCATTTCAGATTAGAACCTATGGTTACTGTAGCCCTTTTACTTCAACTACTTGTCATTTTTAGATTTCTCAGAAAGCTTTCTAATCAATTGGGCCTTGTTCAATACAACTGAGGGTATGATTGACAAGTTAGGACCCGGGAGTGGAAGTTGCTTTTCAGAACAAAAGGCTCATCTTGAATGGGGTTCAATAACCAGCTTGCTTAGACTTTTCCAGAGATTTTTTTGACGCAGTCATTTTTTAACATGCTCTCATACAGCTGGCAATCTGGTTCATGCCTCCTGTGACATAAAGGTGAAGGGTTTTTTACAGTTGGTAATGGATACAGTTTACTTCAAATCAACGACTATTTAAGACATTTTCTTGTTCGGACTCATGATTAAACCACGAATACATGCTTGTGGTAATCATTGCTGTTTTTGAGAAGCAAATGAGGTGAAAAACCTCAGGTTATTAAAAATTACCTCGTGAATTATAAATTGCCAGTTTTAGAAAGTCAGTTGTCTAAAATTTTATGTTAGACCTCGTCATGGCAGGATTTGTGACAATTTGTTTTACAGGAATGTTAACTATGCCAAAGGAAAGTATGAATAAAACCCTGAATTCTCCTGTCCGTGTCTTATTTGATTTAGTGTTTGATGGAAAGCAAAACCCCTATTTGAAATATTTTTAAAGCTGTTTAGGTATCCATTGAGTCAAATGTCAGGAGAAATATTTTGGTAAACATTGTATTGGTGAGAGAGACCAGGTAATCATGGCAACCAAGATGTGTGAATTGGAAGTTTGAAGAGATTCTTTTAGTATTTGTCGTGCTTGAAATTTACCATCATGTGAATATTTTCTTTTAAGTCGTAGTAAAGTATGAATACTTTATTTTATTCACTTTTCTGTAAAAATCAATAGTAGTGCACATCCAGTAACTATCAAATATAAGGGAAGTGACATATAAATCTATTTTGGGCAGCTTGGGGAAACCCTTTATGCAACACCTATAGTGTAAGCAATGCTAATTGTGCAAGGTACCAAAAATGACTGAATCTTACGAACTTATTGCAAATGCTGTGTAGGTTATGCGGACTACACAAAATTCCTCAAATTACAGAATTCTGCTAAACAAAATGTTTCTCATCTTATTCGTCCGATCCATTTCTGATATACTGTTTGTGACAATATTCTTTTTTTTTGTAGAAACTGTTTTTCCAAAAGCTGTCTAGACAGAAAAATTAATATTGTCAGTTACTTTCAATGAAAACAGAAGGGTTAAATGGTCATAGCTCCCTGAGACAAATAATACTATGGGCCACACTATTTTAAAATTTTCCTTACCTAGTGAATAATCCATGTTGCCTGTCATGATGATGCCAATTTATCTCCTTGAATGAGTCACAGTCTATTAATTATCTAGCCATTATGGCACAAAATTACGTAAAGTCTGTATAATTCGTTGTGATATTCATTTTATTTGAAAGCTATTCTTAGTTTTTTTAGCTGCTAATTGATTTATATATATTTATACATATACTGGAAATTATTTATACATATACTGGGAATCTCAATTCTCCTCTGCATATGATAAGGGAAATTATTTTTGCTTTGGACCACACAAAAAATTTGCTGTAAACTCTGTGTAGGGTTCTTTGATTTTTCTTCTTTTGATGCACGATGGAATCCTCAGAATATGAGACATTTGGTGGTTAGCTCCTTGCATCTTCTCTTTCATATGTCAATCAATTTGACGATTCTTTAAAGTCATGTTTCTCAATTCAAGACTGGATTTCGTATATTTCTGCTGCTGTTATTGTTATTACTATATTCGTTACTCCTTTATCTTGGCAACTTTTATTGTTACTGTTAGATGGGGAGATATCTTCGTTGCTATCTTTGTAATGTTATGCAGGAAGAAGAACAAAGGGTTCGGGGTATACTTGTGAATGCATCAATGTTGAAGGTAAGCTTGTCTTGCCAAACACATTTTGTAAACGGGAGAAAAACTCTAATGGTTTTTTCACACTGGGGAGGCAGAAAAACAAGAATGCATTCAGTTCATCAAAAAAGGATCTAGAACTTCAGAATCCAACACAATGTAACTTTTATTTTTTTTAGAATTATTTTCACAGTTGACCATTAGACTCATGGATTTATAATAGTTCATTCACTGGTGATCGAACATCAATGATATTACCCAAAGGTGTTGTAAAATAGTCAGTAATAAATTTTTTTGCTTCAGCTTTTCAGTGCTCTCTTAATTTTACCTACTATTTTTCTGTGTCGGGTTTTGGGAATAGTATTGTACCAATTTATCAAAGGGATATTTAATTAGTGAAAATTTATTGATTTTTATTGGTGTACATAGTTTAATGTGTGAGAGGGAACCATTGATATGCATGGTGGTGGTAAGATAGAAAGTAGAAAACGGCCATCATGCTGTTATCCTTTTCACTCTGATTTTTGAATTGCAGCTCTACCCTATTTAAACTGGATGTGTCTTTGGGATTGGGTAGTTTCCAAACATTATTTACCCTCTTTTCTCATTTTTCATTCAATGATGAACAGTCTTTCTAATGTGAATGTATAACTGAAAAACAAGTTCAATAATAGGTTTGTTGACCATTTGAGTTTTAATTCTGGAGTTACCTTCTCTGCTTTGTAGCTGTCTATTTTTTAATAACGTCCAAAGAAAATATCTAGATTTACTCTATAAAAGTTCTTCCATTTTTTAGAAGAATTAAATTCTTTGTAATCTTTGTTTATTTTTCTTGGATCATTTTTATGTAGAAGTCAGTGTTTCGAAAAACTTTCATTGGTTTGGTAACTGTAGACCATGTTTGATGGTCCAATATGACTCATCTTTTGTATGGAAACTTATACGTTAGTTTCCTTCTCTTTCCTTTGGCAAGGACATCCCTAAATTTTATTTTTTATATGCTGTATTCTATGGCTTCATTGTTTTTAGAAAATCGTGTAAGTATAAAATGTATTAATGTATTTAACTTGCATTTCTTCTTTGTTTTGTATCCTTGTATACTAAACAAACGGAAATATTCAACAGTTTTATCTTAACTCTATCTTCTCATTTCCCAGAAGATCGTTGTAAACTTGAACCTTGAATTTTCAGCTGTTATTTACCTGGCTCTTACTAGCACATATATGCTTCTTTTTTTTCACTATTGGCTTGTATAGGTTGATGAAGGAGAAGACCAAATCAAGAAGCGCGGGTCAAAACGACCGGATCTCAAGGCAATTTCTAAGGTCAGTATGTATAATTATTTGTTATTGGAGATTTATTTTGTATTCTACTTTTCACATTCTGTTGGAAACCTCTATGTTTAAAAGAAAATTTATTATGTGCTTCTCATGAGAAACAAGGTTTTTTTATTGTAGAACATGATACTTTCTTTACATAAGCCAATGTATTTGATTGTCTTGTTTGAATTCGTTGTCTTTATCATCATGACAATTTGTAGCTGCATAGCTTTACTTTCGTTTTTAACCTCCTTGCTGCAGTTTTCTAGTCAGGAAGTGAACAATTAACAATCAAAATCGCGCATATATCATACTATTATTAGAAATTATTTGGCTCGAAATTCTTGACTTCAAATATTTAGTAGGTTCCCTCAAGGTATCATTTTTATATTACTAGTGAGTAGGTGTTGTAGCATGATTCGTGAATTTTTTGTTGCTTTATAATGTTTTTAAATTGTGGTGCGTTTATCCTTTTGAATCTCATTTTAGCATTTAAAATAATGAATATCATTAGAATATGTTTGAACTTCGGTATCCAACTTTTTTTGAGTCCTCTCTGGCAATGTTGTCAGTATTAATTATATTCTTCAAATGAAGGAAAACTCTTTGTTTAATTTCCATAAATGATGCTTACAATATAGGATGTATGCCACATTTGATGAGGAATCAGAAAGCATGATCAAGCTAATGGTTTTTATGGCCTTGATATAAATGCAAATATATAATAGTGTATTGTTAACTTCATTTCGTTTTATGACATATATTAATATGGTATCAACTCATAAAGTAAAGTAATGTGCTGGAATCAACTGGAATGTGGGTTATAGGGAGTTTATTGGAAACCATTCAATAGAAAATGATGGCAGGCCTTTAAAAACGTCAAAGTTTTTGTGAGAACAGTGGTGCTAAAAATGAACGATAGGATCACTATGAAAAAGCACACACCACAAAAGAGACATTTTTATTTTGATTTGGTCAAATTTAAGCATATTCAGTTCACTCATGTCTCCTCTCCCCATGGATAATCTCACAATGCTTCTCTCATGCAGATTAACTATCGTAAGTTTATTTTACGCAATTGAGTTAAGTTTCTGTGGTGAACAGTGATGCAAACCCTAGGAGAATATGCAGAGGAAAAACTCAACTCACACATCATAGATGACTGTTATATACAAGTACCATGGTCACAGAACTAGGAAAATACCTAACAACTAGAAGACCAACAAACTAGTAAACGGTCCAACAAAGAACCGAACTCCTAATTATGCGTTCTTTCCCAGTTTCCAAAAGTACCTCCAACTTTCAAACCTTGCTTAATCCAAGGGTTGTAAGAGCACAGTAATAAGCAAGAGTAAAGCATCACACTTTCTCCTGCGATGTTGAGATGGGTTGAAAAGTTTTAACTGCTCACAAAATAGTGAAACTATTATGAAGCTTTGTGAGTTGAAAAAGCTTCTGGGTAAGTGATTTTGAGATATGGAGGCTTGAAAATCTCTCCTCTTTATTAAGTTTTTATTGATGAAGATCTTCCACAAATTTTTCTTAAATGTATCTCCAACAATTATTAATGGCTTGATTTACAGGTTTTCCGATTTTCAATGTAGGCATAATAATCATTGGTTTCAAGTTTGTTGATGTTGACCCCAGTCAGCGGTCACTTTTCAGCTTGTTTTTGTTCTTCATTTGTGATACTTTTGGGCTCTTGTGTTGACACTTACGTTGTTTGAGTTGACTTTTGTGTGTCCTGATTTCTATTTTCATCTCATGGGGTGATACTGTTTTAGAGGATCAAACTATTTATATAGATGTGAGTACTTTCAGTTCAAGAGTCACCACTTGAGTTTATTTTCAAGTTTTTTCACATAAAATAATTTTTGCACACATTAGTTTCTAACTTTGGTCCATCATTGCTTGTCTTATTGTCCTTTTTGGGTCGAAAACCTTCATATCTTTATGTAAAATTTATCCATAAAGTTAACAAAAAGTAGTGCGAAATTTGAGGTTCTGTAACTCATTGAGTTCTAAAAGCCTATGGAGAGTGGATTTGTGTACGACATAGTTGGCGCAAAACCTCCTCTCTTGCTCAGTCCTGCCATGTCTGTTGCATGCTCAGCACCAAAACCGTCCAAGTAAGCATAGATGAGGTTGTCTCCTGCCCAACAAAGTAGAAGAGCCTGCACTCTTCAATCACTTCATCTGTCATCAACCTAGATTTTTCTTGATTTCCTTATTCTCGTGGTAACTTTGATTGAATTTGAGGAGCAAGCCCAGAAAGTCATCATTTCTGACTGTCCCCAGTTGCATGGCCTCTCTCTGTCATAATGTTCTTGAGGATGCCTTTCAGATTGCTATTGATGGCTCTAAATCTCTGAAATTTGCAACCTTTGTTCTCAAAATAATGGCTATTTCTTCAAACTCAGATTGTTCTCTTTGTCATTTGTTAAAAAGCGCAAACAATCTTCTATATGTGGGGGACATTTTGCCTCTAAAAAGACTGCTGCAATTTTTTTTCAAAGTGGCTGCTATTGGCCAACTATTTTTCGAGATGCTTATAATTTCTGCAGGTCATGCTGCAATCCCACTCATACTAATTTGTACAACATGTCAAGAGAGATGCAATGCCACTCCTACTAACTATAGAGGTAGAATTTTGTTGGTGCCCTTGTCCTCGGTGGCCGCCGGTCTTCGCGACAGCCCTCCTCTGCCACCACCCCTCACCAATGCCTCCTCCACTTCTGCTCCTCTCCAGGCCACTGCACCGCGGCCAGCTGCTCCTCCAGGCCGTCATGCCAGAAGTCACTAACAAAGAAACCATAAAGACAGTTATTTAATCAAAAATCATTCAGAAAATTTACTCCTTGAATAATGTTGTTATCTCTTACAAGCTATATCTATTCAAAGTTTATACTAGTTTAGTTGATTAAAAGATAACGATCCAGATTATTATATCTAGGGCAAAGTGTAAACTAACTACTTTTCATTTTTTGAAAGTGGATGGTACCACTATCATTTAAGAAAGAAAATAAAGGGAGGGAAGTGCAGATGTTCTGTGAGCTCTTAAAAAAAACCTATACGAGGTAGGATTGCATCTCAAGGAGCTTCATCCTCATGTATGTGTAGCAAAAAAAGGTTCTTTATTACATTTGGAACACTATAAAAGGATCGCAACAGATCTCTAAGTGGATCACCCTGTTTTTTATGATAGCTCATTTGTCGATTAACTAGAGATGATTGTTGCAATGAATTCATGATCTTTTTCTCTATATAATCCTTCATCAATTGGGATAGATTTATGTATGACATAGTTGATAGATGGGAGTCAACTTTAGAGTAAATTGGAGTTAATGTGAGATTGATTGGAGGCATAGGCTTGTTAGTGAGGTGAATTAAAACTCCTCAAGTGATTAGTAAGTTGAAACTTGTTGGTTGTAAAAGTTTTTTAAAATGGTTAGTGGACTGGAGTCTATTAGCAAATGAAATAGAGTCCATTACATAATATTGCTTTTGATTAGTCAATGAAAAAGTTGGTTTGAGCCCATTTATTCATGGTACTTTAAGACCATTAATTAGAATGTGGGTTTGAGCCATGAGTTAAAGGTTCGTTAGAGCTCATTAAGTGGGGAGGTGTTTGTGCCAATTGGTAAATGGGCTGTTGCCCATGTGGATGATGGAGATCTATCTATGGCCATGGAACTTTGGCCCTTATTAGCCCTTTTTAAAATAGAAGTCTTAATGTATAAGTCTCCATTAGAAAATATGCCTTCTCTTTAGGCTAGAACTCATGCCCTTATATGCCCTTATAAGCAATTACCTTATTTACTAAGGAGTTGAAGATGAGTTTTTGTTGTTGGTTATTCAACTTTATCATTTAAATGGCATTAGTAAAAGAAAAATATTTTAATTTCTACCTGAGCACTGCAGCAGTCATTGTTTATTATTTCTCAGTTTGAATAAGATGCTAGCAAATAGAAATTATTGTTTGTTGTATTTAAGTCCTACTTTGGTACTGATTAAATAGTAATTAGAGGATGAATTGATTTTGTCAAAAGTTCTATCCATTAATGGATACTAGGGATAATGTTTGATCATTTGTACTTGTTTTAGTTTGTGCATCTGAGAATTCTTTTTTATTGTTTTTCATTTGCATTGTCAACCTCTTGTAAAGTATCTTTACCTTGGGTGTTGAGGCATTGTAAACAGTGAAAATATTGTAAATAAAATCCTCTAGTGTGCTCACTCTTTGCATTGATCTTCATATCAAACATGTCGTTGACTTTCTGTTTTTCCCCTTTGATGTTGAAGTATGTAATTTTTTTCCAGACTAAGATTTGTTATTTTTTCAAATTGTCATTAACTTTGATTTGATCAGTGTTTCCTGAATGCAATGGCCATTGAAATATTTTCATTAATTTCTGACAGATGCTTGAGGATCAAGCTGTTCTTTACCCAAAAAAACGAATCGGCCATCTTCCAGGTATTTGTTGCATGTTCTTTGTTTTCTTTTTAACTACCAGTCTCATGAAAATTTTATACAATCTTGGTTACAACTTTTGTGTTTAGAGACATCTGGTTGTGTGATTATCAATAGATGCATCTTTTCAATAGGTTGAACATGAACTATCTGCATTGAAAAATGGTAAGAGGAATAACATCTGCTGAATTCTTAGGTCAATTTAAACAGGTCAGAATCAGCTATGGCCTGTCTGATGGATGGAAAATCCAATCACCTTTGAAAAGAAAAGGGAAGTAGATCACTGGTGATCAGTGAATCTCAGGAAAGGCATTGCTTGGCCTTTTAAAACATGAAAAAAAGGAGACCGTATTTTTGTCTGGATTGAGACTAATAGCCTTCTTGAACAGAAAAAAACAGAGAAAAAGTCATCATTCCACGGATTTGTGAAGTTATCATCTCAGTATGGCTTCTCCTTATCATCTACAAAGCTGCATTGAAGGCTACATCGTTCATGAGCTGACCTTAACTTGATTTCCAAAGGAGGGGACGAAGCCCTGGTTTCGTGTTCCTAGAACGTAGCTGGAGAAAGGAGAAGTCCTGTTTCCTGATGTTCGGTAGCGAAATTTGGAAGTAATAATGGTCATGAAAGGAAATTCTAGAAGCACTGTTATTATCACTTGGCGCTTGAAAAATTCTAGAAGAAGAAAACTACAAGCCACTTAAAAATGACAGAATGAAGGCTGACAGGACTCTGTGCTGACCCTTACATGTTGATCTTATAGTTGGAGGATACAGTTTACATGAAGCCAGAGGTTTCACAATAGCTGACAGGATTGGAAGCGTTGTCAGCTATTTGAGGCATAAGAAGCTGCTACGAAAGAGGATACTTGAGACCAGAAGAAAGGGGTGATGAAAGGAGTCCTGCACCAGCAAGACTTGTAGTTTCACTCTTACTGGTTAGTGGCAAAAGCTCTTCAGTTCACGATGTCAGGAAGCAAAGATATTGGTTGTCTGGTGCTACAGCCTCATATCACCGTAGGAGAAACAACAAAGGAAGAGAGGATTGACAACCAATGCTGAAAAAGGAAAAGAGAAGGCTCCGATGAGATAAGGAAATGGCTGGGAAGACATCTTTCTATTTGTTGAAACCATGAGGTTAAATAATATGGCAATTTTCTGACTAATCTTTTTGCGATCGAAGGGATTGGACAATTGACATTGATGTCTGTGGAAAAGAATGAAATCTCATAGACATGCAAATCTTCCATTGTACCGTTGGGCCTCTAAAAGATGGGCTCTAATGTCCACAAAATGGCATGTACATAACAAAGACGAGGAATAGAAAAGAAACTTAACAACAAGACGAGGAAGGAAGGATGTAGGGAAAGATTGTCTAGCAGAAAAACATTTCTCTCCTTCATGAGTCGTATGCATGCAGATAACTGTTTGAGGGCTGTCACCATAGGGGAAGTCCTCTTGTAAAAGTCAAATCGAAAAACCTTATTATGACTTTGAGTTCTATGGGTAAAATAAAAAGTGTTACTGAATGGACCCTGACCTATTGTCAAATATCTCTCAGCTTATTACTATGCAGACCCAATCTGATGTCAAATATGCTCTGACACTAGATCATGTGTGCTCCAAACGAACGTCAAATGACCCAGGACAATGTTGTAAGGGTTAAACTGTGTTCTTCAGCTAACTCAAATCCACCTCTAGATTATGTACCATCTGGATTTATGTTTCCTATTTGACCTAAAATTAATCTTCTTTATTTCTTTCTTTCAGCAAGGTTATTTTGAAATATGCTTGACAGTTTGAAGTTTCATGAGTAGTGAAAAAAATATAAATGCTACGAATTTTTAATTATAATTAAACTTTTATTAGAAGAAACCTTATTAATCAATCGGTAATGATAAAATTTATAAAAGAGATGCAAAATAATTAAATATTTGGAAATGATTAGAAATACTGTATAAAATAAAAAAAGAAACAAGAACACATTCAATACCTTCAAAAGATTTCAAAGAAAATTAAAGTACTTCTCAAAAATATTATTAGTTCCAAAAACGCAACAACCTTGGGAATCTGACTTCTAAAAGTAAAATGATGTCTAAAGCAATCTTAATGGTCATGTTTATAGCATTTTTGAGGTATCACTCAGAAACAATTAATGGAAGTTACTGCTTTGTGAAAATGATATAAATTCATAGTGTGTTTGAGAGAGGTTTCAAATTTAAATGAGTCCAGTCTATCATTGAACCCAATAAATTTATACCAACACAATTGTTCAGTAAGAGAGGCCTAAATAAATAAATCAAAGTGTGGAAATTTCATCAAAGACCCTCGTATGTCTCAGAGAGATCCAGGAACATTAAACAAACGAAAGAAGGAACGGACATTTATGGCCAATGGAAGATAAATAGGAGGAAATGGGATGCGTTTAAAATGACCGATGAAGAAGAAATGGGACATGGTTAATAGATAGGGCGAAAGAGTATTAAAAGAAAGGGGAACACAAAATATCTCTGCTATGTCGATATCCACTGCTCTCATTTTGCCACATGCCACTCATGGCCAATGGCAATTGCTACCACTTGTCTTCTTTTGCTGTTAAGATCATAATGGATACTGGAATGAACAGGGACAATATATAGGATTGGTTAGTCTATTCTGTGGAGGGAAATCCAATTCCCTCTTAAAGGATTTTAAACGGTTTCCAAACTGCACAGATTGGCCAATTTCATGGAAAATCTGACTAAATCCTACTTGGATAGGCGGATTTACAGCAGCAAGGGTACTGATGTCAGCTTGTTGATGGAGGACATGAAAGAAGGATGAAGCAGAAAATAGATAAAGGGAAAAAAATTGATTTGGAAACACTGATTGTTGTTGGCTACTCCTGGCCATTCTGCTTCCTCTTTCGACCATGCTCTCACCTTCGACCCATGCCCCTATGGGAGAGACGATCTATCTGGTTCCAGAATTTGTTGAAATAATCTGCATTAATCGTTTGTTATATATCGTTACGTTCTGTGTTATGTTCTATGGACAGGTATTGATGTTGGACACCACTTTTTCTCAAGGGCTGAAATGGTTGCTTTGGGTCTGCATAGCCATTGGCTAAACGGCATTGATTACATGGGAGTGCCCTACGGTAAAATGGTAAAATTCATTTATTATTTCTTTTTTCCAAATCAGCATTATTAGAACTGGATTCATTCTTCTGGTGTGCTGTATTATGAGATAAGATGCCACCTTCACATCAGCCAATTTGTGATTTAGACTTGTTATCATTGAAGCAGATAATTTATGATTCTTAACCCTAAATAAATTTCTTATCATATTAGGGTCCTTTTTTGAATAGGAAACTCTCTACACTGATGACTTGAAAGGTACCTGCTTGAAAGTTGTCTTTTTATTTTATTTATGTCTGTAATAAATCAGAACTCTGCAAATATTTCTTACATTTGACCTGATGACCAGCCTCATTGTTTATCAGAACTGCAATCTTTTTCTTGTTGCACGCAGCCTTGTCTCATTTTGCTAAAGCATAGAGTCTGAGCTTTATGACTTATGACTTAGCCTGCCTTAATGTCTTACACAAAAGTTCTGAAAAATGGAAGGTGCAAAGTAATTTTGTGATCATTTTACATTTCCTGTTTGAGCAATGATATCCTGGTAATGCCCTTGATATGAGAACATTGATGTTACCTAGAGAGGTTGCAAAGTGATCACAACTGAGATGTCTCCTTTGTAAGATCCTCTACGTCAAAATCTATTTTTTATTAGAGTTATCAAAATGTTTAAGTGACGATTTTTTCTTAGTTATATCATCTTAACAGGGTTTTCTAGTCTTTGGTCAAGGGTAGTTTTGTCTTTTGCCTTATCAGGTCATATTTTTAATGATAGATATTTTCCTCAATAATAAACTCTAATGGCGCTATGATGGGCCAAAGTTAGCAAACCGTTATTTGTGTTCCGCCTTTGGGCCCCTTACATTATGCATGTGCACGCTATGCAACCAATGTTGCATTTGGTCCTATATGCAGCATTGCCTGTACCTCTGTATTTCCAATGCAAGTGGTGTGCATCACTATTGCCAATGCGTGTTGTACACCCTTCATTATCGCAATACATGGTGTTTCAGGCATGGCATTTTCATCCTTAATGAGCTGTATGCTTGTATGCAATATAATCTGCGCACCACAGAACCTTGTAGTTGTGCATTAGGTCAAATATTACATATCTCATATTATACATCTACTTTTTGCTATGCCTTTATTCTCATGTGTGGTACCTATTAACTACTTTGATGGATTAAAAGACATGTGAGTAAGATTTTTTTCTGCATGAAAGAATAATCTCTTGTTGAAGGTCAGAAAAGACAAGTAAGAAGCTTCAGAAAAAAACTTTTGGAAGTCTTGCAGTTTTTAACATTGAGTTTGAATAACTGAGAGGGCAATGTTCCAACCTTGATCATATCCTCTTGACTAAAGATGTATTTTATTGGGTCTTAAGTGCTAAGAGATGAACAATTATGAGCAGCATCCCAGGAATGCTCTTTCTAAAGTGGTAAAGCATTTGGTATTTCCAAGCATAACTAGTGATAAAAAAAAACCTAGAAATCAAGTGGAAGGGAGTATATGCGTTGTGGAAGGCCAAATCATGTGTGGAAAAAATGTTTGGAACACCATCTAGAGAAGAAACGACTAAAATTAGTGTAGGACAGAATAGGCTGCAAGTGCATAGCCTTGCCAAGGCTGCACTTATTCCTTATCTAGTAATCGATGTCTCATTTGAGGGCACCTCTGATTGTACTCATTCCATAGGATCTCTACTTTGAGATGCTATTAATTACAACTGATTCTACAGGAACGTAAGAAAGATTGAAATTTGAGATTGAGGTGTTGTCTTTGACTTTGGGGCCTCATATTTCATGATGTGTTCTTTCATATCTGTTATTTCATGTAGTATTTTCAGCTCAAGACTTGACGAATAGAGTAGATTGAACTTGAGCCTTGGGCATGAAGAAATGGTCCATCAAGCTAAATGATTACCTGGTCTTATTTGCTACATATTTTTATTCCATCCTGGCAACTTTACTTTCATTAAGTCATATCCTGTAGCTACCAACTCTGATCATTTTGTTTTTCACAACCTGGAAACTAATCAAACAGTTAAGGGCAGTCTTTTAAGTGTGTGGTTATGATATTTTAAACATTGACAAAAGATTGCCTTGTTCTTTTTTAACGTGGGTTGTTTTATATTCTATTGCCCCATCTTTTTGGTAGGCTGTCTGTCTTCTCCTTTTCTATCAAAATTGTCTCTCGTCTATGTTACAATCTTGGGACATGTGGTTTGCCAGCCCACCATGTTTTTGTTGCCTTCTGACTAAATTTGGATATTCTTGAAAAATAGGATGACAAGACAATGTTTCTTAAATGAAAAGATATCCAGATAATGATTCTCTTAGTTGATGTTTGATGATATGGCTATTATCAGGGTGAATACTGAGGATATCGATAAGTTGAAGAGCAATTTAGCCAGGATGTATGGGATCAAGGATCTTCATATTTGTGTATTTGTTGCGTGTTGATGTTGTAAGGTTTGAAAAGGCCATGATTTTTTGCTTTAGGAAATGTGGTCTTATCTACTGCAATAAACAAGGAAAGTGAGGCATAGAATATTCACGATAAGAAAGGATGCTGTCTCCATTTCCTGTCTTTACTTTAACTAAGAAAACAAAAAGTGAGGATTTAGAGAGTTGCAGAAGAGAACATTGCTAATATATTGAAATCAGGTCTTCTTAAATCTGTTATGAAACACACGCATTTCCTCTAATTCTCTGAAAAGGAAACTGCTAATTCAAACCTCTTACCGAGAGGTTCAACTGGGAAAAAAATTATGCTTTCCAAAATCATCCTAAATCCACTTTTTAGTCCTTTAGTAACTTATTGCGGTCTTGGAGTGCATGTCATTGAGCTGAGATTTGCTCTCATAATGGAGATCCTTGTAATCTTGTTAATTTACAATGTCTCTGAGATTTATCACTCTACTTCAATTATCTTAAGTTACCACTTTTCGTACAAGACATTGCTCAATTACTAGAAAGCCACAAAGTTTTTGGAAGATCTACTTCTTGCTTATAAATATAACTTGAAGCCATTTCTGATCGATTTCCTTTTTTTTTAGGCAGAGTACAGTGAGTATTCTTTTCCACTCGCCATCTGCATTGTGTTGTCAGGTATGTATGAAGATGATTTGGATAATTCCGAAGATATTATCTACACCGGCCAAGGTGGGCATGACTTGCTTGGAAATAAGCGTCAAATTAAGGATCAGAAGATGGAACGTGGCAACTTAGCTTTAAAGGTCATTTTCTTCCATTGTTTTCCCTTGTTCCAGATCTAGCCCTTATGTGTGATGCTCACTTATTGGCATTGGCAAATGTGTTTAACTTTTTGAGTCCTGACTGACACTTTCTGTGCTATAATCCTGTATTTTTTTAATTTGTGGTGTAAAGAATGGAAGCAGGACTTTCGCATTAAAATATTTGCCATTTGAAATCAGTCTTCAGGAACTTCCAATCGATTTTAGGAATTTTTTTTTGTGTATATAAGACTGTTAAATATGTGGATTGTTTATCTACATTTCTATTGCTAGCCCAATCTTCCTGTTGAACGAACTGAAATGCAACTGTTAGAAAGTGGATTTGGGGACTGGGTGGGGGCTCTACCCAACCATGATGATGTAATACTCTGCCCATTAGTGAATTCCCCTGAACATCAGCAAGACACTGAATAGTGCAGGCAAAACACTTTAAATATTATTCTTTTTCGTTACTCACTTATTAATTATGGTGAACAAAACACCATAGAAGACCATTCTGCCCAATTGTAATTTTCTTATCGGCATAATTAATAACTGATTTCTTTAGCCTAATGAATAACTGACCTCATGGTCTTGTTAATGATGACCTTTGTATCTCTGGAGTTATGATAAATGCAGCATATTTGACAACTGAAATTATGAAGGGACAATAGCAGTTTAGTTCTGCAAAAGGCCACGAATATATCTGTAGTTTGTATTTTCTATTGTCTCTCTGCAAAACAGCTAAAATAAAACTGTTATTGTTGCCTTTTTTAAATGTCAATTCTTTCATCAGGGAACTCTCCTCTTGACCAAGTGTGTTGATGTGTTAGTGATGAGGTGACAAGTTAACACGATCTTGTTAGTTTATGCCATGCAGATTGGTTGAAATTCCTAAAGAAAAATGATCATTATCGATTAACTATTATATGTATGCTTGAAATTGGTGATTGTGGATTTATTCTTTGCTGGGATGGTCCCACTGAGAATTATTAGAGAGAGCTGATGAACAAAAATAATGAGGTTTCTGGATTTATTACACTGGAAATATGATATATCTTACATATGTTTTCGATGTTCTCACTTTCAATTTTTGATTGATATTCTTCTACTTCTTCCTCCTATTGCTTTTTAACCTCCATATTTATTTCATCTATAAATTCGTATGCTTTTTCATAGTTGATTTTATAGCTGTTTACGTCGATTTTATTTTTTTGAACAGTAACATGCACATCTGCTACTTAATTATCCATTTGTCGTCTTGCAGAATAGCATGTTGCATGATGTGCCTGTCAGAGTTGTTCGTGGCCATGAATCAGCAAGCAGCTACTGTGGCAAAGTTTACACCTATGATGGTTTGTATAAGGTAGAAGTTGTACAATAACATATTTTTGAACTCGGTTGATTGAAAATTTATGTTTGCTTGATTATCCCATCAATGTTACAATCTGGACTATGTATTGGACTTTTACCTTTCTAAAATGGTTCATTGAGCCACTGCTTCATGTTCTAAGAATGAGAAACCAAAATGCAAGTTACAATCTTCAATATTATTAGTGCTGATGTAAAAAAACCTAAAGAGTAGCAAGAAGAATAATTCTACTTTTATTTCTATCGGTTCCACATGGAATACCTGTCTGATTATACACGAGATGATGAAAATGCTCCCAGTTAAAATAAGTAAGTTTGGCCTTAACCTCTCTAATGTGGTTTCACGTGAGGAAAAAGCTATCCTGATACCATGTTTTGTTGCTAATAGCACCATACTTCATCGCTGAACATTTGATTTACTTCTAAAAACTTTCCACCCAATAGTTCTCTGCAAAACAATGAGAAATTTTGCGAAGTCCCATAACTTTCGCTTGATACTTTTTCCTGGCTTGTTATGATATTCTACCAATACTAATCCAAAAAACTATTTCCTTCTTACTCCACTTGTCCCCAATATTCCTATGTTCTGTTTATTCTCAAGGACACAACTTCTTCCCTCGGTCTAACAGGGTAATGACGGATGCTACTTATAAACGTATTGAGAGATGAAGCGAACCATCTATAGCCTCCAGAGAGTGGCCATTGGAGTATTCGTACTTGTATCATAGAATTGATTCAGTTTGGATAATAAATTCAAACCAACTACAACCTATTATCTTCATTGGATAATAAACAGTTTGTGTTTATGAGAAGCATGATGGTATTTCATGGATGGAGGCTGTTTCTGTAAGTCTATGCTTATGGTCTTCAATGAAGAATTATTTTCATTCTCAAAACACATGCAATTTCACCCACAAGATTTTTTTCGACTTCTTCTACCTCCTTCTCTTTTCCCACTTTTCTTTTTCTAACGATATCATTATTTCTTAGTTCTGATGATCTCTGCTTCCTTTCTTTAATTTTTTTCCCCTCTTTTTTCTTCTCCTTTCTCTATTTCCAGTTGATTAGGTTACAAAAACTGATGGGTTAAACAAGGAGAGCACTATGCTATAGAACTATTCTGGTCACTAAGAAGCACAAGGTCAAGCTTCCATTTCTTCTTCAAGTTTTCTGCGGCAAGTCTCCCCCTCATTGAGATTGACCATACATAAATCGGTCTTTGAGCACAGATCAGTTGATTTTAGTTCGAGATTAGGAAGGAGTTAGCATAGTGCCTATTACATTATTTCCTTAATGGAAAAAAACTTTCTTGTAAGGGGATCAAATTCTAGTTTGACATTGGATCAAATTTTCTGTTCAGAATTGCATTCAGTGGTCTGGTTGGAAACCATCTGAATTTTCCTACCGTGGTTTGGCAGGTTAAGATGGAGTCATGCAGTGCTTTTGTTGATTTTTCTGTTTGATTGTCGTCTTTAAAACAGGTGCACAAATATTGGGCTGAGAAAGGCGTCTCTGGATTTACAGTCTTCAAGTATCAACTTAAGCGACTGAAAGGGCAGCCTGCCCTTACTACTAACCAGGTTTCTTGTGGCAATTAATTCATCTGGATTTATGTTTCGTTGTTTGTTAATTATTCTTGATTCAATGTTTCTTGATTTAGATTTCTTCCACTATACTTGATTTTATGACCTAAAAAGGAATGTTAGTTTAAACTGATAACATCAAAAGATCAAAAATAGAGAAAATGTTGAGGTTAAACATTGATTGTCACATAATTGATATTATAGGAATAGTGTGCATTGTGTTCATTACAGATCCAAGAAAAGGATGGAAACGCTAGAGAATCAATTTTTTGTTAGAGCCCAGTTTTGATCCATATTGAGAATTGATCTTGATTGAGATTCTTGCAACTTGGAGATTGAAAGGAGTCAATCTTCATGATCCTCCTCTTCTAGGAGCAGAGTTTCCGCAATGCCAAAATCTTATATCAATTATTTCGGTTTCCTGCTTAAGTACAGGTTACATGAGTTAATGGGCTAGGCCCATTACACTAGTCTTTAAGTGGATCTGTTAACAGTCTAATAGATCCACTTAACACAGGGCATGACATAGAAGGACGAAAATACAGTGAAAAGAAACAGATGGAAAGGAAAAACAATCCTAGAGAGTTCAACACCCCTTCTCAAGTTGGGTATGGATGTTTTCCATGCCCAACTTGGACACCAGCCTTTGAAATACTGGTCTTGTGAGTCCTTTTGTGAATATGCCAGCAACATGTTCTGATGTCCCAACATATATCAGATCTACATCTCTTGTTTCTACTTTTTCTTTGATAAAATGTCGATCTACTTCAATATGTTTAGTCCTGTCATGTTGTACAGGATTTCGGGCAATAGCTATTGCTGACTTGTTGTCACAAAATAATTTCATGTGTTTTGATTGGTTGACTCTCAATTCATCCAGTAAACCTCGAATCCATAAGTCTTCACGTATCCCTTGGGCCAACGCCCTGAATTTTGCTTCAGCACCAGATTGTGCAACTACTTGTTTCTTTTTGCTTCTCCAAGTCACAAGATTTCCACAAACAAATGTACAATAACCTGATGTTGATCTGTGATCTATAACAGACCCTGCATAATTGGCATTGGTATAGCTTTCAACTGATTGATTCCCTCCTTTTTTGAACAGAATGCCCTGTCCTGTTGTTGTCTTTAAATATTTCAACAGTCGATATGCTGTCTGTAGGTGTATCTTTCTTGGATCATTTGTATACTGACTGAGTACATTCACTGCAAATGTTATATCCGGACGGGTATGATTTAGATATATCAACCTTTCAATCAACCATCGATATGAGCTTTTTTCCACCTGATCAAAGTCTTTACCTTCTCCCAAACTTAGGTTGGGATCAATTGGAGTGTCAGCAGGTTTACACTCCAATTTCCAGTCTTTTGAAGTAAATCAAGAATATACTTGTGTTGTGAAAGAAATACACCTTTTGAATATGCAACCTCAATTCCCAAGAAATATTTTAATCTTCCTAGATATTTGATATCAAATTCTCTAGATAGATTTTGACCAAGGCATTTAGTCTCTTGAATGTCATCTCCTGTTATGATGATATCATCTGCATACACAATTAAGGCTGTAACCTTATTTGGGTCACCACGCTTAATAAAGAGAGTGTGATCCCCATTTGCTTTGTATGTACCCAAATCCTTTCATAGCTTAAGTGAATCTCCCAAACCAGGTTCAAGGTGATTGTTTTAAGCCATATAGAGATTTCTTCAAGCTGCAAATAACATTATTTTGATGGGTAAATGTGTAACCTAGAGGTACATTTACATATGCTTCTTCCTCCAAATTTCTTTGAAGAAATGCATTCTTCACATCAAACTGATGCATTTTCTATCCTAGATTTACAGCCAATGCTATAAGTTTCCGAATGGTATTCAGCTTTGTAACAGGAGCAAATGTCTCAAAATAATTAATTCGATAAGATTGTGAATAGCCTTTAGCCACCAACCTTGTCTTGTATCTTTCCAATGTTCCATCAGCTTTAAACTTAGGAGTATATACCCACTTGCTGCCAACCACCTTTTTTCCTGAAGGCAAAGTTACTAAGTCCAATGTACAGTTCTTCTCTAGTGCATCAATCTCTTCATCCATGGCATGACTCCATTCTTTGTGTGACAGGGTTTCTTCTACTATCTTGGGGATAACAGTTGTCTTCATGTTCATGAGAAAAGTCTTGTACGATGGTGTTAACCTATCATATGATAGGTAGTTGACTATAGGATAGAGTGGTTTATTTATACAACGTCTCTTTCCTTTGCATAGAGCAATGGGTCAATCTAGTTGCTCCTCATCAATGGCTTCAGTGGACTGATGATCCTCTTCTTGATCAGTATTATAAATTTGAGATGTGTCTCTTGTACATGGACTACTTTCTTCTGTTGGTTCTCTTTACAGTGCAGGTAAATCATTCATCTCAATTGGTATATTTTGTGTCTCCACTCTAGATCGTCTCCTATACACTTGTATTTCTCTGATTCTAGGAATGGGTGTCTCTTGGATCATGAATTCATTTATGTCTCATGGCTCCCCCAATCTGGGTCTACCCACTCGACCGCAGCACCCCTCTAGGTTAGCTGCCAAGTGTTGGCTTGCCGGTGGGTGAAATATTTTTATATGTTATTCTTTTATATTTTTAAATAATAAAAAAATTACACTAAGTAATTTAACTTCAGACTTCTAAAAGTAATAATATATCTTATGTGACAATCAAAAAGAATATTTCAAGACCAATCTCAGTATCAGTGGCAGCAATCGAGTTCTTTAACTCTTGTGGATTTTTCACCCTATAATATGGTTCCAACTCATTAAAAGTCACTAGCTGAGATGAAGAATTATTTAGAAGCAAGATTATAAGACTTGTAACCCTTTTGTGTAGTTGAGCACCCGACAAATATGCATTTTATCGATTTTGGATCAAGTTTTCCCACTATGCCTTAAGCATGAACATAAATTGTGCATCCAGATACCCATAGACGAAGATGAGTCTTTAGTTTCACATGAGGATAGAATTTACTCAACAGTTCCATAGGACTCTGTTTCTCTAGTGTTTTTGTTGGAATCCTATTTAATAAGATGAGTACTAGTGAGAACAGCTTCACCCTAATATGTTTTTTCTTGAAACAAAAGAGCTCTAACTATATCTAGTAAGCGTCTAATTTTTCTCTCAGCCACTGAATTTTGTTGGGGTGTATTGACACAAGATGACTCATAATTATCTTTTTCTGATCAAAGTAAGAGGACACAGCATAATTGAATTAGTCTCTAGCATTATTTAATCTAAACCTTTTGACAACAGTTCCGAATTGATTATAGATCATTTCACAAAAAGATGTTATCACTTGGGTGGTGTCTGATTTTGATTTTAGGAGGTAAACCCAAGTAAACCTGGTACAGTCATCAACAAACAAGATAAACCACCTGCATCCAGACAAGCTAGTCATAGGTGCTGGCCCCAAATATCACTGTGTATATGATATAAAGGGATTGTACGATGTTCACCAGCATTTCCAAATGAGGAACATTTGTGTTTGGCCAATTGGCAAGTGTCACACACTAAAGTTCTTACATCAACACCTTCAAACCTAGAAGGAAACCATGTTTTTAGGAGATCAAAGGAAGGATGTCTAACACGGCAGTGTTGTAACAATATACTATTCTTTTTGTGTTCACTGACTTCACTCCAAGGTGACTACTGTACATACATCGTTGCATGATCATCCTCTTCCCAGTAGAGCAAGTCTCCTCCCTTAACATGTCCAATCTTTAGTCCTGAGACCTTGACACACAATAAATATCCATTGCCCTCAAGAATGAAACGACAATTAATATCTTTAACAAGTTTTTGTGGTGAAATCAAATGAGGCTTTGATTTAGGCACATGTAAAACATTTCATAAAGTGCCTAAATGATTTATTCTCAAGTCCCCAACTCTTCAACTGGTAGAAGCCCGCTGCCGGCAGTAATAACTTTCCTCTGCCCATCACATTTCGTATAATCAATAAATTTGCAGACACTTGAGGTCATATGGTCTGTGATGCCAGAGTCAAAGTATCCAAGACAATCTAGAAAAACTGTTGAATGGATATGATTTTGAGAAAAGTTTATTCTCACCTGACTGAATGCAAGGATGTAGAGCTCAACATATTCTTGAGTTTCTCTACTTCCTCCCTCAGTCTTTCAAATTCATCACCCTTCTGCTGATTACTAGGATTGAGAGGTTCCTTCATCGCAAATTGACCTTCTATAGTCTCTGCTGGTTGAGAAGTGGCCACATATGCTCTCCCCTGTTGAGGTGGTCGTCCATGTAGCTTTCAGCAGTTTTCTCTTATATGCCACTTCTTCTTGCAATATGAACACCAAAGGTTTTCTTTGTTATCCCACTTCTGATATCTTCCCTGTGATGCGGTGATTGGGTCTTGATTTCCCTCTTTTATCTCTAATTGATTCCCCTGATCTTGCTTGCTGGAGACAAAGGGTATTGACTCCTTCCCAATATTAATTAGACTCAATCTACTCTCCTCTTCCATAACAATCTGGATAGCTTCATTAAGATCATGTACATTCTCACGATGGAGAATTTGACCCTTGAGGCATTCATAATCAGAGTTCAGTCCCATTAGAAATGTATACATTCTATGTTTCAACGTATACATGCATTCTCATAACTAGGGTTATTTACTTGCCAATAATGGTCAATCTCCCTCCATATAGCCTTTAATTCACACGAATATTCCACAATTGATTTACTTCCTTGCACTAAATGTGTTGCCTTAGACACTAGGCCATAAATCCTTCAATCATTGTATTTCTTTGAACAGCTGTTGTGAATTTGATCTTCACCGAGTGCATGAATAAGAAATTCTCATACATCTCTGGTGTCATTGTACTTAGCAGCCATGTGTAGATAATATCCTCTTGTGATTTCCATCCTCCATATTGGATCCGATAGCTTCAATGATTTTTCTGTAAGGTGGTCTATTAAGCCTCTTCTAAGAAGTGTCAGATCAACAAATTGCTCCTATTGATGAAGATTTATCTCATTGAATCTAATTTTCACTGGGATATTTGGGAGAGTATGATATAGTCTCTCCCTTTTTCCAATTATCATTGGAGATGATACGAGTTCCACAGATTATGAATCCCCTGAATGCATTCTAAAAGTCTTTGTCCTTCATACTTTTCAGAATGCCTCAGTTCACTGCTTGCGGAAGGCTTCTTTCTTCCTTGATGTTGCTCCAACATAGAAACAAGAAAAACAAGATTCAAGAAACAAGAAACGAGAAGTATCTGATCCTATCAGAATCAGCACCGCTCTGATACCATGTTGAGAATTAATCTTAATTGAGATTCTTGCAACTTGGAGAATGCAAGGAGTTGATCTTCACAATCCTCCTCTTCTAGGAAGATGAATCAGTCACCACTTCTTCGAGCAGAGTTTCCAAAATCCCAAAATCTTACATCAATTATCTTGGTTTCCCGCTTAAGTACATGTTACATGAGTTAATGGGCCAAGCTCATTACATTAGTCTTTAGGTAGATCTGTTAACAGTCTAATGGTTCCACTTAACATAGGGCATGACAGAGATGGACGAAAATACAGTGTAAAGAAACAGATAGAAAGGAAAACAATCCTAGAAAGTTCAACACATGAATTACAATTCCTGGTCTTTTTTTCTTGCGTTGTTGTTTTGGCGACTAGCACAAGCTGGGTGTTGGTGTATGGCTTAGACCCTGAAGTTTGGTGCATTAATGATAGCAATGTTGTCTTAAAGATTCTAATGGAAATAATGATTCGACAGGTACTGTGCTATATTAGCTTTATCTGAAGTTAGTTTGAAGTATTATCACCTGTTAAAAGTGTCCACGTATGTAAATTCAAAATAAAGCACCTCTATCTTTGAGGCAATAATAGGACTTTATTCCTACCTTTGATGGCAACTGTCAGAACTAGCTTTAGATCATATGGGTGATAATTTATGAGGGGAAAATTATTTTCAATGCTTCTGTGAAAATGTCATGGTTCAATTCTTTTGTAATCCTTTATCTTGTTCTGTTGATTGATTACTTGATGTTGATAAACTTAGCTTTTAAAACTAATTTTATTAGGCTACATTCTAGCCATGAGCTGAAATATACTATTATCAAACATGTGAGATTTAATCTATTATAGTGATTTATGTTAAGTAATGTTTCCTTTCTTTTGTATACAACTTTCTGTCATTAAGAATATTTCTGCAATGAAAGAGGTGCTCTAAGGCAACGATCAAAGTGACCACTCACCCAAGATTTTCAAGGTATCTGTCTCTTGGATTGCTCACTTGCTGCCTAAGGAATTCCCAGCAAATTATCTGGTGTGAAAGTCCTTTGGGTAAGGTTGACAGATCTAGACACTACAGTTCTTGGTGAAGATGGATCATGCTTGGAATTGCCCTACATCTTTTTCAGTTACTAAGACAGAAATAATGCTTCAAAGGAAGCATTTGTTTTGGGAACTTCCGTGCAATTTGAGGTAAAGCGTGAAAGCATTCTAGGATTTCGGGGAGATGGTGTAGGTTTAGCAAACTTCTAAATTCAGTATACTATGCTAGGTTGTCCGAGATATTGGCATAGCAATGGATTGTGGTTATGATAGTTGGAAATGGCAATTGGCACCTCAATAACGTTTTGTATATTATTAGCTCTCCATAAAAATCTTTTAAATGTGTAAATTGTCCCACAATGTTTTTGGCTCCTTGAAACTGGGGAGTTTTGGGACTTGGGGGAAGCTGGTTTGTGGTGGCATCTGTGGAAATGGTAGGCCATGTGATAGGATGGCGAGGTGATTGATGAGTATACTTGAGTCATTTGGACCAGTAGTTAGCAGTTGACCACATTTAAACATGGCCAACATGTAAATAAACAGATCAAAATGGAAGGACTAATACGTAAGAGTTGTAACGGTTTTAAGAAGGTATAAGAACCATCAGAAGATACAAGGAATTTGCGTGGTGATAGAAGTAAAAAGCCAAGATATGCTAGACTATCGAAAGGCTGTGGTACCTTTCGTTAGGACTTTTAACACTTAAAGAATGGTTTGTTGAGTTTTCAACAAATCTTTTTCGCAATGACAAAATCCTATCAAAAACAATTGACAAGCATTTTGCTTTTCTTTTGCTCAACCACTGTTGTCATGAACATCATATATACAAAAGTTGTTGTAATATTTTATAAATACATAAACGTTTGCATTTGGTGTTTGGACCCACCCCCCTCAAGGTCAATTGAGTATTTTGTCATCTCTTTGTGTCTTATTTTATATTTGCTCTTTTTATCAAGCAATTGGAATAAAGTTTTGTTCTAAATGCTTGTGTGCTCTAATGACTTCTAATATCTCTTCACTTTGCATCCACAAAAGTTTTAAAGGAGTTGCATAGCTGAGCTAATATACATCTTTGTTCTTCACATGATAACTTTAGTAATCTCTTTTTTGAAGTTGATGGCACTATATGTATTAAAAATAAAAAGAAGAGGAATATGCAAGAGTTGGGAAATTCAAAGGGCACTCACCTTTTACTTTTCTTGCAGTTTACATGAAGATTTCATTAGAACATTTTAAGGCATTAAAACCTTGAAGGTACATGTATAAAATCTTTCACCATTGCATAATCAGTTATTCCATTTCCTCAGGAGTATGAAATGATGACCATGGCTGTGTGAAAGCTTTGATGTTCAAACACTAGGTTGATCATGTGTCTATAACCTCTTGAGGGAAATCCTCCATGCCAAAATCTTCATCTTAAAATGAGTCATGAATTTTCTTATTGTAAAAAAGGAAAACCCTAGGTTGTCTTGGGCTGATGTATGTGGGTGGAGAGGGAAAATGAAAAATGAGTTTCATATTAAGAGTTAACTGGGTTCTGGTATTTATACCAGACCCACATTACAGAGATGAACTGGGCCAATGAATTGAATTAATTTGAAGGAAAAAATTACAATGAATAAGAAGTCAAAAGACAATAACAATATAATAAACATCAGTTCCAACATTCCTTCTCAAGATGGTGAATGAAAAACAAGTAATTGAAAAACAGTACTATTCAAGCCTTCGGTAAATATTTCTAAAACTTGATCATTTGTAGAGACATGTGTAGTACAAATCATTTTGCTCTCTTGCTTCTCTTTGATGAAGCATACAATCTCAATGTATTTGGTTTTATTGTGTTGAATTAGGTTGTATGCACTGTTGTCTATTGGTTTGTTGTCAGAGTAGAGTCTCATTGAACCATCCCTCTTGATCGTCAACACTTCTAAAATAATCTTCACTCACAATACTTCATATTTTTCTTGAGTCATGGCTCAGAATTCTACTTCTAGACCTTGGTACCATATTTTGCTACTTGTTTCTCCATGTAACGACATAATTAGCATCAATATAGACTTCAAGTATCAGTCCTCGTTTTTCTTGAACAAAATACTTTTTTCTGGTGTCCCTTCGGGATGATATGGTACTTGGTGAATTGTATGCAGATGTACTTATTTTGAACTATGCATAAATTGACTAATCACACTCTATATATGATACGACTCATGTTTTAAATGAGAGAAAGAGAGGGGAGGGAGAGGGATGATGATAGGAACACGTAATAGAGAAGGCTCTTGCCATAATCATGGAGTCTAGCACATATGTACCAGATGGGCCGGCATGACCTAGACAACTAGATGGGCTGATTGGCCTAGACATATGTACTCTAACAATCCCCCTCAAGCTAATGTATATATCATATGCTCCTAGCTTGTTACATAGATATTCAACCCAGTGATCGTTTAGTGGCTTAGTGAACATATTAGCAAGTTGATCTTTTGATTTGACATGTACAATAGTGATAACTGTGCCTGAAGCTTCTCTCTAACAAAATGACAATTAAGAGTGCATTTCTTTATAGTCACCTCTATGAAGAGATTAATACTGAGCAACTGTCATGGTTTGTTGCTCAAGGGGAGTTTGGTATGGTATACCATCTGCAAAAGTTTCTTTATGGTCTGGAGCGATCTCTGCAAACTTGGTTTATATAATCTGTTGGTTGTATTTTGCCGATTGTCTATATTGATAATGTCATTATCACGAGATGATCATAAAGATACTTCATGGCTGAAGGAATTCTTAGATATTTGTTGGGGATTGAGCTTGATTGATCTAAGGAGGGTATTGTGTTAGTTGATGGAAGGATTTCACCTGACCTCTAGTTGCATCCTGCCTATTTCTTTTGATCACCTTCCATAGTGGAGAGCAAAGAAACATCAGTCGAAGCCTTAAAACTTCATTCTCACGAAAATAATCTTTCATTAGGGTTGGTATTTATACCAGCCTACTAATACGGGGGAAAGAGAGAGAACCGGACTGGTTTAGACTGGGCCGGTTTGGTTCATAATTGTACGAAGAAAAATAGCAAAAAGAAAAGAAAAATTACACAGATGAAAAACAGAAAACAGCCAAGTCATATTCCACCATATTGCAAACAGCTAGTGAAAGTATGTCCTTGATCTCCTTGATGGAACAGATGTCAAGTACAAAATCAGCTTCCACTCACATAAATCTTAACTTGAAATTATCTTTTGATGAGAGAGCCATATTAGAGGATCCAAGGAGGTATAAATCTCTAGTTGGTAAATTGAATTATTTGACCATCTCCTGACTAGATATTCCTTTTGCTACAAGTGTGGTGAGTCAGTTTATTGAACGACCACACACCAAGCATGTAGAGGCTGTTATTCAGATATTGATATATCTTAAGAGAAATCCAAACAAATGACTTTGGAAAAGAATAATGGTCATTTCACAGTCCTAGGTTCTTCACACAGATTGAGCTGAGTCCGATTTAGACAAAAGATTTATCAAGAGCTGTTGTTTCTTTCTTAGTGACGATCTAGTTTCTCTCTGGTCTCACGATTAAGTGCTGAATCAGAATACAGGTCAATACCACATACTACATGTGACCTTATATGAATCAAGAATGTTAAAGAACTTGGCTTTCTTGATCGAGGTCCTATGGAGTTCAAATCTGATAATTAGGCAACAGTCTATGTCGCCTCTAATCTAGTTTTCATGAAAGGATGAACTATATTGAAGTTGGTTGTCATTTTGTCAGAGAGAAGCTTCAGGCACAACTTATCACCATTGTGCATGCCAAATCGAATGATTAACTTGCTAATATGTTCACCAATTATTTGAATGACCATTGTTAGCTGACAGCTCTGGGCTGTTCTCTCGCCTCCAATCCACTGGAGGAAAGGAAGAAGCACGAACCAGTCAAAAAAACCAAGAAAAAAATGCGACCTGATTATAAGAGATCTGTCAACAAGGACCAGAAAATAACCTTCACATCAGCAAGGGGATCGTTGACATGGAACCAGAAAGGAACAAGAGATACGCTGACAAGGAGGATTGATTCACGTGCACCGAAAAAAATGAAGAAGTGGGATAGATTGAGAAGAGATCATTTTTCTTGTTGATGGAACTGCTTCACAATCGATCAAAGCTCTGATACAGTACCGTAGAAGGAGAATACCCAAGGTTGTCTCAGCATTGCAAACGTGGGTGGAGAGGGAAAACCAAAAATGAGTCTTTCACACTGAGTAAACTTGGTCTAGTATTTATTACCAGACCCACATTATAGAGATGGACTGGGTCAATGAATTGAACCGCCCAAACTAATCTGAAAGACAAAATTACAATAAGCATTAATTATCAATTAGATTATCTGTTATCTGGAATTTCATTTTATCTTTAAATTATGAATTGAAAAAGCGTTAATCTTATATATTCATTCGTTCATTCATGGGACATGAATGGAACAAGTGTCTTCCAAGAAACATTGTTTTTTTTTGTATGATATTTATTATTTGCTTCTTTAAGCTTAGAGGTTCGTCGGTCGTAGATTTTTCTGATTGTTTCGTGCATGAGATCAATTGATTCAAGTGAAATTAAAGTAATGCTATTCTAGTCACAAAACCATCAAGTAAATGTTGTATCTTTCTTGCTTCTTAACTATTTTTTATTTTCTTCTGTTCATTATCCCATATTGAATGACCCTAAATCAACTTATGTATTGACTTGTTCTGCATTCTCACTTCTTCCTATTCTTGAAAGCACGACATTTTCTGTAGTCTCACATGTTGGTTGCAATCTCAATTCTTTTTTTATTTTTCTTCGCTTTTTTACTTAATGTAATTTATTTTCTGTTACTATAATCTTAAAATATTTCACGAAGTCGTTATAGCTCTGAATCCGGTGTTGTTCTCCATAACCTGGTATGCCTTTAAATATCTATGCTGACTTTTACACTTGATGTCAGGTGCCATTTATTAGGGCTCAAGTTCGACAGTCCATTTCTATGATACGTGGGTAATTTATCTTGTCACTGATGTTGTTAGATTCCTGTGCAATGTTGTGATGTGAGAATTGATGCACTAACACAGCTTTATTTGTTATGTAAGATTGGTCTGTGAAGACATTTCAGGGGGCCAGGAAAATTTTCCCATACCTGCTACCAATATAGTTGATGATGCATGTTTTCCACCCCCAGGCAAGTGCAGTATCAATTTAGGTTTTTTTCTTTATATAGTCAAGATTCTCAGAACTGGAACCGCTACAACAAAAATCAATTAAATACCTGAGATACCAGGGTGAGATATGACATCGTGAGGAAGTTGACTCATATATGCTTATAAATGGTCAATGAGATCGTGCGAGTAATATGGATTCTTGACGGTGATGTTTGCTTTAAGATTTTTAAAGTTGAAAAGGCTATGGAAAGAGTGATTGACTCAGCTAGGAAAGAGTGGGGGAGGCCTATTAATGGTTACATTGCCACCTGTGGCTAATAAGTTGATGGTGGCGAACAGCCCAGAGCTGTCAGCTAACAATGGTCTTTTAATTCCAATGATTGGGGAAGTGGAGAATTTCATCAGGTTTCACTAATTGGCTTCTGAAATTCCTGCATAGTAAGGGTGGATGCCCTTCCTCCTATTAACGTCTTAGCCATTACTTGCTAGGATTTCTTGTTTAATGTCTTTCTGACATCTCTTTTTGATTACATTGCATTATACATAGGTTATAGGTATTCCAAATCTATCCAAGTGGCAAAAGGACTGAAGCTTCCACGTAATGCTCATGGCTGTAAATGCAAAGGAGATTGCATCAATCCTAGACTCTGTGCATGTGCAAGGTTTAACGGCTTGGATTTTCCCTACGTGAGGAGGAATGGTGGCAGGTGATTGCCATGCCATTTTATCTTAAATCAGTGAATGCTTTGTCAATTTTTATGCTAATGCTTCAACCTGGCTTTCATTGCTTACTCTAAAGGTAGTTTTAATTTTCATTTTGTGCTCCTCATAGATAAGATGTTTCCTTTTTCTGAAGACCTTGTTAAACTACGATATTCAAAATTTGTCTACTGTTTTATTCGCTGCAGTGTTGTAGGAGTGTAGAAAATTATAAAATAAAATTGGTTCTAATTAAGCACATATAATCAGAACGTTATACTTCAAGCTGTTCCTTGCTTTGGTGTTTTCATTTTATTATGCTTTCTCACTTCGACTTATCTTAGATACCCATCTGTTTCAGCTATGTATTGACTAGCCCAAAGACTTCCGAATCATTTTGTTGTGCTAATTTACTGCAGTCTGCCTTGTCTGTAGAGATAGACGAACATACTGCATGACGTTCTTGTAGAATATCCTTGCCTCTAAGATACTTTGGCGTACAGTCTGAACTTTAATATAGCTGAGTATAGCTGAGTTGGAGGAAGTCTCATGAGATCCTTGGTATGGTCAACTTTCTAGTGGATGTAGGTAACCCCTAGACAGCCCTGAGGCAAGAGAAGACAGAAATTGTTGGTTGAAGGAGCATTTGCTGCTAGCATTTTGGGTGTTTCTATAGGTGTTTCTATGGGTGTTTCTATCTATTTTCAACTGTTTGTTCTGGTTTTTTGTATGTTGATCTCCTTTCTGTGCTTCTTGTTTTTATTATTTCTTTTCTCTCTCTTTCCACCATTATCATGTTTTTTTTTTTTAAATATTTTGGCGTGGATGTTACTTGCATCTTTTGAAGGTCTGTAATAGCATAATTTCATTTGTAAAAAGGTTGAATAGCCATTTATGTCAAGCAATCTTCCATGTATTCTCTGTCCGAATTTCGGTAACTGCTTCACACCAAGGTGTTCCTCTGACTGTAAAATAGCTACGAGATCCTACTTTGCATGACCCTTTTTCCGTAATACGGCCAAAGTGTGAAATCATTAACTGTTTTTTAAGAAGTAGAAACCTCAGGTGTCAGGTTAGCAAGCTATTTACCATTTATTAGGTTAATGATATGATATTATTTTCTCTTGTTACACCTGCATAATTATAGCTTGATATGATATTATTTACTGCTTTATTGATTATTTTATTATTTTACCAACTAGACATGCATCACTTCTGGTTTGTTTACCTTCATCAGGTTGATCGAGGCTAAGGCAGTAGTTTTTGAATGCGGCCCCAGTTGTAGTTGCCAGCCTGGTTGTGCCAATCGGATATCTCAGCAGGGATTGAAGTATCATCTCGAGGTCTTATGCTTTTTGTTATATTAAATTCTCTTTCCCAGTGGATGAAGCACATTTGCTTCATGCTCGTGTTGATCTGTATAGTCACTCTGGACAGGTTTTCAGAACTCTGGACAAGGGATGGGCAGTTAGATCGTGGGACACCATTCCTTCTGGTGCACCAGTCTGTGAGTACACAGGGATAATTAGAAGGACCGATGACATGGAGAACGTGTCCGAAAACAATTTTATATTCGAAATTGATTGTCTGCAGACAATGAAGGGTCTTGACGGAAGAGAGGTGATTTATATTCGTGCTTTGATAATGTTGTGCAAGCCATTTAATTGCTTTTGTATTTTGACATTAAGGTTGGAAAGTTACTGGGATGAAATAACTTGTATACCATGGCATCATCAAACTATTTTTGGATTTCTAAATCGTGATGCACTGTGTAGGGAATTCACACCGTGATGATGGTCATCACAGGAATTTGTAGCTGTTAGGATTTCTAGGTCATGTTACCTAATGTATGGGAATTCACACCATGATGATGATCATCACGGGAACTTGTTGCTTGAGGGTATACTGGGAGAGATCTTGCAGGGTTCTCTCCCTATTTAAGGGGTGACAAACGTCAATGAAAAATAAGATGGTTTCCGGCTCCTCCCCTCTGTCCTCTGAAACAGAGGAAAGTTACTCTTCACACCGTCCATTTCCCTCCCTTCGTTTCAACAGCCTTGTATACCATGGCATCATCAAACTAAAATCAGTCATTTATTCCTGAAATGTAGAGCAAGGCTGGTAAAGTTTAAAGGTCTTTATTAGGCCTTTGGACCAGCAGCAGCTCTGGCACCAGTGGGTGCCCATTGATCATATTGAGACATTTATCACCCACAAAGCATTCTCAATTTGCTGGATCTCCACAAGAAAAAAGAGGGTTTAAATCATTGATATCCTTTAAATTCTTATTAGCCACCCACGAAAATGACTCAATCAATGAGCGCAAGGGTGCATTTCCAGTCCTTAATTGCCAAGGATCGGTATAATTTTGCGCTGTGTATAAAATTAAGGCAGCCTGTAGCTGTGGTACTCTGTTCTCTTGCCATAGTCTGTTATTCCACTGTTCCTTGCATCCATTTCACCTGTTAGGCGTAGCCAGTGTCTTCAGTGGCTCCCTATTTAGCGCCACGCATAGTTCCTTGGTCACTGCTAGTTTGATCAGGGAAACCATTGAAACATAGTCTGCTAATAATGATGCCTGTGGATTCTATCAGAAAAAAAATCATTGGGAACAAAAGCAGACTGGGAGAGCTCTCTATTGGCCCAAAATCATATAGAAAAATTGTAACGGGGCACTTGTCTTTTTTGAAGCTGTTACCAATAATATTACAATAAGAATGTAAGAGTGGAGATAATCCTCCTTTTGGGATGGTCGTCTTGGATTGGTGGCAGATATTCTGAGTTTCTCAAATAAACTTTGCATTTTCCTTTTTTATGCATTTAGTTTTCTTCCAGTTTCTTTGTCAGAAGTACCGTTTTTTTGTTGTGGTGTTTCTAGTACTTAATGTACTAGGGTGTCTATCTGATTTCCAGAAACGGCCTGGAGATGTCTCATTTATCATGGACGTTGATGAGAAGAAGCTAGAAAACCCAGAGTTCTGTATAGATGCTGGCTCCATCGGCAATGTTGCCAGGTTCATCAACCACAGCTGCGAACCCAATCTCTTTGTCCAGTGCATCCTCAGCTGGCATCATGACATCAGATTAGCCAAGATAATGCTGTTTGCCGCGGACACGATATCCCCTTTACAGGTGAGCATCCTCTTACATCCTCTCTCTCTCAGCTGCACACCAGAGCATGCTTCTGTGTGCCATCCATCTATCATTAATCAGTTCTGATACAGCTATTTTTTTCCCAAAATCATGTTTGTGAGTGTTGCTTGAAAAGATAAAGAATGTGATTCGTTCGCCCGCCCTGTGAGAACACACCTTGCTGTCTCTTTTTAGTTGGACAACAATTACGCATCTGTTGCTTCATGCTATGTAATATGGGCGTCTAGACCTTGCATTTTTACAAAAACTGCTGCACTTTATGTATGCCATGTTTCTAAAATGAAAAAGCAGGCACCCATTCTAAGGTAGGTAGCGTGACGACCGACGATTGACCGCCTAAACATTGTGAGAAAGTAAAGAGAATATGAGATGTTTGTATGACTAATCAGAGGAGCTTCAATCAAGGAAACAGAAGCCATCATTGTTCAGATATGAGGACCAGTGCTTTCAGCATTGCTCGTGGACACGGGTGGGGCAGATTATCATGCTTCTAATGAAGCAGCACCAGCTTCAGAGAGCCGGAGTGCTGATGCCAGTCGGTCGCTGCTGTGTACTTCGCTCTCGATGTCGAAGTATCATGGCACATGCCACATCTCTCTATCTTGTAATCCGTCTCTGATAATTGCCGGCCCTCGTTGCAGGAGCTCACCTACGACTATGGGTACGCCCTGGACAGCGTCGTGGGACCCGACGGGAGGATAAAGCAGATGGAGTGCCGCTGTGGGGCCGCAGAGTGCAGAGGGCGCCTGTACTAAAGCAGAGGACAGGCGGACTCATTCAATCGTAGAGGAGCAGGGATTCTGATGGAGCCACGTGATGGAAATCTTGACCGAAGCCCCTACTTCAATGTCAACTCTTGTGCAGAGTCGTAGTTCTCTCGCGTCTCCTCGGCTAGCTGGTGTCTCAGTTCTCGTATTATTGACCGATTATAATTGTACATGGGTGAGGCTTTCTTCTTTTCGCTGGTCTTGGGATGGTTGCTGTCGACAATGTGCTTAGGCGAATGGTAAGCGTTTAGGCGAATGGTAAGTGTTGAGGCAACTGGCTTCCAAAAAGCCCAAGCTTGAACTTTTTTCAATCCTTTTTTCATATTGACTGCTTCTGGGTCCTGCTGGTTAGGAAAGGATCCAAACCAGGTAGGCTCTTTTTGAGACTCTTACACAGTTGTCTAAAGCAGATTCTTCTATACTTGGCCATACCAACACGGTATGTGAAGTCTTGAGAGAGGTTAAGAGCTTATGCGCTCGGATGGTTTCAAAGATGGCCACATTAAGGTGTTGGCACTCCGCTTAGAGAGGCTACTAGTCGGTGAAGCTTTGCTAACCATGACGGATTAAAAGTAAGAGATCCTGTCGAGGAGTAACTTATGAAGGAGCAGATGGTTCTGCATGATTATCAGCGTAGCATCTCTTTTCACTTTCGTCTCCATGTAAAGTCCTTTCTGTAACCGAAAAAGAAGCTTTCTGCCGGATCCATTGCCATCTCAGTTTCACATACCCTCTCAACACCAACGGGGGTCGTGAAGTGCCTCTCAGTTTCATCTACCCTCTCAGCTTTCAGTTTCATCTTCGTCTGGTCATTCCCACCGGTGGGACTGCCGAACAACTCCGACATAAAGATGCCAGGATAGATTCGTTGTGCTATTTTTGAAAAGCTGGCCAAAATAATTGAATCCCGTAGAAAATGGAGAGCTGCATCGCCTCAGAGGTAGTGACAATGTTTGAATCTCGTCACTTGGAACATCTGGCAGTATGTTATTGCATAATTCACATCATTGGCAATTGCGCGCACATCAACCCATTGAGATAATCGTCTATTCCATCAAAACGTGAAGCTGAGGACAAGTGGATTCGGTACAGAAGATCATGGCTAAGACTACTCCCCTGTTGCACAACAGGGGAGAAAATGGAGAGAAAACATCTCGTCATGGGGATCGAGAGGATAAGAGGTTTCGGCATATCAGAGAGATTCCCATCATGACGTAGTCATCAATCCCCACTGTGGCGGTGCAGATGTCCCTGTCAGTTATCTCGTCTCTTGCAGAGGCCAAGGAACCTGGAAAACAGAGAAGCAGATGACACACTGGAGATCGAACAAGAAAGAAATCCAACGAAAAAAGAAAGAACCAGAATTGCGCGAGTGAGATGTGCCAGCCTCATATTACGTTCATTTCACAACGAACTGGATCCGCCTCAAAGTATATTTAACACACTATCACAGGCATTCCTTATGCCGGAGTTGGATCCCCACATAATCGGGTACCTCCTGCTGAAGGATTATGGCGACCGGGAGATGATCAGGCACTCTTCACCAATGCAAACACGAAACAGATCAGCAGAGATTAGGGGGGGAGGGGAGGGGAGAGAGAGAGAGAGGTGCGAAGGCAGCCAGAATAACAAGGGAAGAAGACATGTGTTGGCAGTGTCAGCCCATCACGGCTGACCCATTCGGGAGACGTGCAAGGAGCATCCTCCCATCTCACCTATTCGGGAGATGTGCGAGAAACCACCTCTTGTCTAACTTGCTCAGGAGATGTGCGAGGAGTGAGGGGTGGTGACACAGTTGTCACCGCATCTCGTTTGACTCATTCAGGGGTCATGTAGGGAGAGAGAGACGATTGTCAACTCATCCCTTTTGACCTATTCAGGGGTTGTGCAAAAAGAGAGGGAGCAAAAAAATGAGAGGTTGAAACTATCACCTCTGAGATGTGTGGGCTCATCCACACGGGTTGAGATGCCTCCTTTTAGGAGGGCAGTTGCCTTTTCTTATTTTCTATAAATATGACATGTATTTTTGCTTTTTGAATATAATGGACAATGAAATTTATCTTTTTTTATCAGCTATCTTTCTCTTTTTTGGTCTTTATTATTTCTTCTATTACAAGTAAAATCATTGTAGAAGGAGATAAAGAGTTTATTATTAACTCTCTAGTATGTGGGTCATCTCGAGAGTGTTGAGATGTGGATTAGAGGTGTATGGTGGAAGTCTTGTTCTCATGAAAATTCTTGATAACTTAGTGATTTCTCTTTTATTTACTTCTATTGACATATAGAAATTGAGTTTTCTCACTATGATAATATCTTATATATTTATTCTTACAAATGGTATCAAATATATATATTTAATTATTTATAAACTTACTATAACTTTTAAGAAGCATATTAACATCTAGAAGTTAGATAAATCATCTAACTTTAATCTTTGAAAGTATTATATATATGATGCATTATTGTAGACAAACTTATATAAGACTTTAGATGGATCAAAGTTAGACAAGATTAGTAATATTGATTGAAAGATAATATAGAAGGTTGGAGGTTTTATTTGTAAATGTTTGTCTGATTGAACTCTTCAATAAGTCATCGATGAATTTCATTCAAAGAAACTCTAAAAGAAGTTAGAGAAATAATATAGATCAAAGTCAATAATGAATAAATTGACATTGAAAAGAAAGCTATTTAGGTTACACATATCACAAGGAAATGATTTAGCATTTCATATTGATTATTTGAACTAACTACTAAATGACTTGCTTTATACAGAATCAAATGTTTTGATGAGAACAAAATTTTATTACAACTTTGTTGCATGGTAGTATAACACTAATATTTTAAAATATTATTGATTTATTAATGAAGTATTATCATTAGAAGAAAGATATTAGTGAAGCTCAGTGATGAAGGGTAGAAGAGAATGTAGAAGCCTGAAAGAGAAATAATTATTAGGAAATAAGAAGGGTTGGTCTAAGTCACAAATAAATTGGTTGAGAAATAAACTTGTCATAGGTGTTATGAGAAGGGACACTTGTAGAGAGATTATTTGAAAAACCAAGTGATAAGATAGTAGGAAGTGAATCTAATTTGACTAATGTTGCAAAAGTTGAGGACATAGAAAATGGTGAAGCCTATTACATTATTGTTATAGTTGAAGAGTTGTCAAATATATAGATTATTGATATTGATTACTCTTATCATAAGTGTCATAATACTTACTAGTTTAACTCATACAAGAGTGTAACAAGAGTTATTTTTATAGAAAATAATGTGGCTTGTAAAGTTATTGGCAATGGTTTGGTGAAGGTTTAAATGTTTGACAAAGTGGTCTAAGAGTTTAAAATATTTGTCATGCTCTAGCATTATATGAGAATTTGATTTCACTTAAATTTTGGAATAAAAATAAAAGGAGTAATCTGCTGTGACACGTTCAATAAAAAAAAATCCTTTTGTAGCTAATCATTTATTGGTCAAAATTGAGAAACTCAACATAAGGCAGGAAAAAGAAATAATAGTAACTTGGTCTAGAGCATCTACAATTATACCCACAATGATTGGCCATACAATCGCTATTCATAATGGAAAGGAACATTTGTCCATTTATATAATAGATCGTATGGTAGGTCACAAATTAGGAGAATTCGCACCTACTCGGAGTTTCGGAATGAGATATTACTTCAAAGATAAGAATGAGATCTTTAAGATTATCAAGGAATCACTTGTTGTGATAATGGAAAAGCATTAATGGGAAAATATTTATAAACTTGAGAGAAATGCTATTGTAGGTGGAGCTTAAACTTTTGTTGTGACATGAAATGATTTCATAATTGATGATACTCTTTTATGATACTTATGATTAGGCCATATAAGTGAGATAGGTATGTAGAAGTTATATGCAAGAAGATTGTTAGATGATGTGAAAAGTTGTAAATTAGATTTTATAAGTACTATATCATGGGAAAATAGTGTAGGGTGACATTCAAGGTAGTAAAGCATGAGACAAGTAGTGTGCTGAATTATACTCATTCAAATATGTGTGATTTAATTGATATAATGTTGATAGGTGGTGCTCATTATTTAATAACATTTATTGATGATTTTTATAAAAAGTATGGTTATTCTTCTTAAAACACAAATCAAAAACTTAAAGAAGAGGAAGATCAAAGCCTTACAAACTAACAATGACATAGAATTTAAGAATTCTAAATTTGATCAATTTTGTGACAAAACATAACACTCAATACTATTGTACAATGAATTAAATTCTACAACTATTCTACATTCTTATCAGATGTTCTTGATGATTATGTTATATTTATATTATTTACAAGAGATGACAAGCCTACAACTTTTTGGGAGATAATTAATTATCTTAAAAAAGAGAAATGACTACAAGTGATATTTGAAGAGCAAGCATCATTAGACAATAATCACACATGAGAATTGATAGATCTTTTGTAGAGAAGTGAGTTATTAGGTACAAATAAGTGAACAAAAAGAAGATTGATGATTGATAGTGACTAGCCACAATACAACGTAAAGATTCTTATAAAAAACTTTACATAAAAGTAAAGAATTCGTTATATATATATCTCATAAGTTTTCATTATCGTGAGTTAATAATTAGTAAATAATAAAGTTTTAGCTTTAACTCATGATAAATAGACTTATATTTACGTTAAAGTGTGAAAAGTAGTTTTTAATTAATTAATGTGAATTTTTGAGTAATTATGTGATTTTATACAAATTTATATGATTTTTAAAATTATACTTTTGAGATAAATGAAGAAAAAGAAATAAAAATAAAAATATAGCAAAATGGAGGGGAACCTATCAACCAGCTAGGCCTACAAGTAAGTCGGAAGCATAGTTGGGGAGGAGCCATGAGTAGGGGCTCGAGCAGCTAGGACCGATACTCCCCTTCCATGTCACTGGTGGCCAAGGGGCTATGAGGTAAGGAGTGTGATGAAGGGGCAGTTAGGCCGATCTAATAAGAATGTATGAACCCTAGACTCTAGGTCTGACCATTTAACTTAAGTACAGATAGGCGTACCAATATACATAATTAACTCAGGACAATTCGAGAAAACACTCGATGATGATAAATGTGAGGCCCTCTTAGTCTAAGGCTGTAGCTCACGAACAGTCATCGTGAGGTAGCCTAGGGCTGCAATTCACAAACGATGACGAATTTGGCATAGCATTGAAAGTCACGATCTGATAATTGTCCTATCCTATTTACGTTCTCTTGATGGCGGTGAAGATGAGCTGAGAAAACCCTTCGAAATATAATTAAACTTAAGTAAGAAGGGGTATGGGGCTAACCTTCATGGCTGCGTAGCCCGGTGGGTCATGACGAGTAGAGACTCGACATAGCAAAGATGTCTAGGGAAGAGCAATGCTCAGCGTCGACAGTTGGTCTTGGTTGAGAAGTCTTAGTAGTCGTCGTCATAAGACATGGCGCGGTCGGCGTGGGCATGGGCCCGATGGTGGGCCGAAGGGCATGCTAGCGGGCGTGGGCCCGCTGGTGGGCCGAAGGGTATGCTAGCGGGCGCGTGCGGCAAGCCGCGCGGCGGCCTTAGGGCACGCGGGCGGCGGCCTTAGGGCACGCGGGCGGCGGCACCGGGTGGGCGCGCGGGCCGCAGGAACCGGCGCGCGGGGCGCGCTCGGCGGCGATGCTTCGGCGGGAATGCCGAGCGTCAGCGGTGCTTCGGCGGGAAGGCCGAGCGTCAGCGGCGCTTCGTCGGGAAGGCCGAGCGTCAGCGGCGCTTCGGCGGGAATGCCGAACGTCGGCGGTTGGGCGGCAAAACAGCCGTCGCCGGAAGGATCGGCCTTCTCTGGCGGCGCCGGGAAGCGGAGCAGAGGAAGGAGATGATCCCGGCCGGCGATACCAGGGAGGGTTGAGCCCTCCTGGTCTAGGCGGCGCCGGAAACGGCGCGACGGCGGCGGATCGTCGGGAAACTCCGGCGGGGGCCTGTGCGGAGCTTGGACTGGATCTGGCTCGTCGGCACGGCGGCAGGGTCTCTTCCGACGTCGGCAGCAGGTCGGCGTTCGTCGGCGAACGGCCAGCGACTGGGCGGAGCGGCGGATGGCGGCTCCGGCGAGTTTATGGTGGAGTTCCAGAGGAAGAGGTGACAGTCGAACCAGGAGTCGAGAGACTCCGGTGAAGTGCTCGGGGACGGCTCGAAGGGAGGCGACGCGAGCCCCTTTCGTCACGACGGCGTGACGGGGTTCCAGCAGAGGCGGCGGCCGTTGCAGCGGCAACCGCGACCGTTTCGTCCGGTGACGGCGGCGATTCCACGGGCGACAACGAAGCTGCCCGGCGGCGGTGGAACTTCTCAGGCAGCAGCGTCACGAGGAACGAAGTCCTCAGGGTATCGACGGCCTTCCTCTCCCTCCTTCCCTCCTTATTCTGGGTCACGAAGAAGGTATCTCACAAAAACGATAATCTCTCACAAAAAATACGGCGCTCTCTTGAGGGGGGGTCCTACCTCCCCTTATATGGGGGCCCACAAGTGGGCTAAGGGGAGGTGGGTCCACTTGAGGCCCTCAAGCCCATAAGCCACAAAGGCTACAAAAGGGGCTTATTGGGCCTCTTAAAGGGAGACCCAATAAGCTCCCCTTAAAGGAGAAAGAGGAGGGCCCTCTTACGGTGCTTAAGTGGGCTTCAAATGAAGACCCAAATAAGCCCCAAAAGAGGCCCAAAAGGAAAGACACATAGGTCCCCCCCCTAGGGTTGTAATTGGGCCTCAAAGAGAGACCCAATAAAACCCTAAAGAAAGGGAGACATAAACAACAACACACACACATAGAATTGGGCCCGCTAACACACAAATGTGAGGCCCAACAAGTCAACGTGAAAATATAAAGAAAGATAAGGGGTGAGCTTGAGCTCATCGTCATTGCAGAGGTAGAATGCCATCATCTTGAAGGGCTAGGCCATGTAGCGAAAGCTAGGCTCCTTTGTCTTCACACGTTGATCAGGTTGAACTCAGATTGTTGGTGTCTCTTGAGCTAATGGAGACGGGTCTCACTTGCCATCAGAATAGTCGTACACATGTGAGAAAGGGACCTGATTAGAAATGTAATATTACTATATATTCGTCAGAAATTTCGACGCACAATCGATGTGAGACTAAACCTACATCACACCTTCCTTAGAAAGGGCAAGCAACTAGTGCAAGTTCGAATCCTCCTAGAGTCAAAACTCATATTTTTTATCTGATTATTGTGACTTTCTTGTATATCGTAGGTGAAGGATTAAGCAATCAGAATCACTAGATCATCAATGAAAATCTCGTCAATGTAATTCACAGAGCATTGTTACTAAAATTGTTGAATGATTCGTGATAAAAAGATTGCAAATCTATCGAATAAAGCAACTCTGATTGATCGACGAATAAGTCATCGTCAGGAAGAGGATGATCCGTCGGGAGATGAGTTTCTACCTCCTGAGAGCATACTGGATGCAATGAAGAGCCTCCTCTTGCTGTGCAGAGTTGAAGATGAAACTCTCTAACACATGCCCCACCTCCATCTAGCTCCTCTCTATCGGGTGACAGCCACTAAAGAGTTGCAAAGTTGCTATTTTTCACTCCATTAGGTGACAACTATTGGAGACGATTCGACGACTCATTTTATTGATATCTAGACTTTGCAAGGAGATCAAAAGATTACCCACGTCGTCTTTGTCCAAAGAGAGCTTTTAAAGTTGTAGACACTACATAATGATCCTCTTGAACGCTCAAAATTCTAGTACATCATCAACACATTGCCCCCACAATGTTAGAACTCTATTTTCTTACTTTCAACTTAATTTTCACTTCAGTTAGTGATAATTTATGTGATTTAAATTTACTAAGATATACTTTATTCAATTATAACTCTTCTTGATTTCATAGATCTTAATTTGATTAATTAAATTATTTGTAATCTCTTACATAAGAATCGTCAATTCACATTCACTCGATTTGCATTTGCTAGGTGCTGACATCATCTTGATATTTGCACCTTTATTTCCTTTTTTCGTGAATTTAAAATATATTTTATTTTTATTTCTTAATATAAAATTCATAGAAAATAGTATTCTTTGAGGAAATTATGAATAATTTCTTGCTATTATATTACATTCCTATGATCGACTTAGAAAATTATTACTATTTTTGAAAGTTTTATTAAATTATAATTAATATATTTATTCAGAAACACTTCTAAATATCTAAAAATTCATATTTTCTAGTTTTATAAATTTTAAATTTACATGATTTACTTTACAATGACTAAGTCACGTCAATATCTTTTCACCTATTATGAAGCACTTGTATATTCACTTGATGTTAACTATAGTTACATATAAAGATATGGAAATTGAGTAACTAAATGTGAAAATGTCATCTTTTTATGAAGATCTAGAGGAGACCATTTACATATAGTAGTGAGAGGATTTTATTGTGTAGAAAATATAACATTTTACCTGTCAATTGAGTAAGTTACTTTAATAGTTAAAGTAGACAGTGAGATAGTGGTACAAGAAGTTTGACTCTTATACACTACAAATTGACTATATAAAGTATGATTTTAACTATTATGTTTATATGAAAACTTGTGGTGATCGTTCTTTGATTATTTTGATATTTTATGTTAATATTATGTTCATTACTTTGAAGAATTCACATTAGATTTTTAAATTACAAATATTATTGAGCAAAAAATTTGACATGAAGAATTTTAGTGTGACAAAGAAGA